ACACTAGAACAAGTAAATTCGATTCTTCTCTTATTCTCATTTACTTTTTGATGATGATGATCAATTTGAGTTTTGCTCTTTTTACTAATCTTGTTCTGGCTGTTTCATCTTTACTATGTGACAGGTGAAAAAAGTGTTTCTAAGAGAAGTCCTGTACGATTGATTTCGAGATCCCTCGTAGAAAAACCATACCTTATTACATAATTCTAAATCCTCTAAATTGTTAGAATTTAAAACATATACTTCTATGTTATGTGAGCTTTGTTATTTAGCTTAATATAAAAACATATCCAATTTTGAATTTGTTTGCAAGAACTCTTTATATGAACGATCTCTTTATTTCAAGATTTTTCCAAAGCTAGATTGTCTTAAACAACACACCACGCCATAATATATTCCTAAGAAACAGTGAACTCAATGAAAACCGTTTTAAGCCCTTGGAACCAAGTAAACTCTGGATTTGATGATTGATCCTTTCCCTTGATGGCTAAGCTTGAATCCTGGACAAACAGGAAACCCAACAACTTGACCCGCAGGAACACGGCCATCCGAGAACTTCACGACGCTCTCCATGTACTGAGAGTGAAACTCAGCTCCTCGGTTTGCTTCAAAGTGACTTGGGGATGGGTCGAGCGAGAACGCCAAAAGATGAAGCAGCCAGACCGCTTTAGCTAATCCCAAGAACTCTCCATAGAACTGACTTCTTGGGTGGTTGCCGGCTAGAACCAGCTCCCGCTGTTCCGAGTCTCCGAACAATGACTCTTCCATTTTGTGGTGAATGATCGAAAGATACTTCTTTGAGCAGAACTTACCAAAATGGCAAGTTGGTAAGATCCCTAGCAACTCCATAGGATCCATTGCTTTCATATCTTTGAACTGCGCGAAGCAGTCACGGCGGTATTGATCCGGGTTGATAAGAGAAGATAAGCTTCCATCCATGTAAAACGTTTCGTGATCGAATCCTTGGAAGATTTTCCGACAGATGTAAGACTCAAGAGCAAATTTCGCGTGCTGGTTCGGGACAGAGGACTGCACCGAGGATGCAAACGAAGAAGCCGACATTCCGTCTGATGAAGCTGAAGCGGCTTCAATGGACCGAACAGCCGCTGCAATGTCCCAATGTGCAGCTCGCATTAGAGACAATAGTATCCCTGTGAAAGACTTTGATGCTTCTTTCACCTGAATCATCGTCATCTCGAATAACTCCGGCACAGGAGATACAGCGATTTGAGTAGTGCAGTTAACTTTCCGGCTTGAAAGCAATCGGTGTTTCTTGCCTCCGTTACCGTTGGCCATGGAACTAGCCACTTTGACTTTCTCCTTCAGATTCTCAATCTCAGTATCTTTCACCTTCACTTCTTTCTTCAGCTCCTTCACAACAGCTTCGTACGGCGCCACCGCCTCTCTCAGCATTCCTCTTCCAGCGTCGTTTTTCCGCCGACCACCACTTCCGGTACCTCTCATCCTCCTGAATCTCTCCCTCAACGAACCAATCCTTCTCAGCTCAGCCACCATCGCCATGTCAGCATCGTGCATCTTCTCCGGATCCCACGGCGAATGTGCTTCCTGAAGCGCCACGTAAGCTCTCTTCATAGCAGCCGCCGCTGTGAAAACTTCCTCCATCACCATCTCCATCTCCTGCACCGTCTCAACACTCACGCCGTTCCTTCCGGTCTTAGCCCTAATAGTCTCATCTTTACCATTCTCCTTCTCCAATGCATCTTCGTACTGAATCTCACCTTCCTCCTCATTCTCCTCTTCTTCAGTATCGTACTCTTCCCGGCGGTTTCCAGCGAGATCTTGCCGGCCGGCGGCGAGCGGATGCAACAAACAAGACGCAGTAACTCGTTGAATCAGATCCGAGAAGTTAGAAACCTTGTTCGCCATTTCTCCTCGCTTCTTCGTCTTCCCAAATTCGCCGCCGCTTCTACTGCAAAACGCCGTTCAAATTATCAGAAATTGTGGAAATCAACAACGAGTCAAACCTCTGGGAAGTGATAGAAGCGTTATTACCTGCGGGAATGGTGAGTGGTGTTCTCCGATTTGAGAGCAAATCTAGGAGGATCTCGATTGAATTGAACAGAGTACCAGTACTCAATGTCTTTGGGCTCAGTTTCTAAGCTCTCTCGATCACTCTTCTTCTTTTTGCTGCACAATGAAGAAAACCTAATTAACGTCACCGGAATAATGAATTCTCCGGCCGACGAACGCAATAGACGGAGATTTCTGATTATTCTATCCTAATCTCTGAGACTGAGAGAGAGTCAGTGACTCAGTGTGGGGAGAAGAAGAGCAATAAGAACTGATCCGTAATTACGGAATTACCCCTGACTTTTAAAAAAAATTGTAATCGAAGTGACTCGTAAAAGCTTTACCTCGATTTTGGGCCCTCGAGAAAAAGTTTTTGGGTCTTTCCACAACTTTCTTTTATTGCACATGCTCGTCCTCTTTCATTTTTCATTTTAATTTTTTTTTTAATTAGCCAAGATTGTTTTTTTTTAAATCCAAAGTTAATTTTGCATCATATCGTTTATCACATTTCTTCTTTTCCCCTTTTGAAATAGGAGTATGTAAGAGATATATTTAGCTTTCTATTCTTAATCATTTATAAACTTCAGAAACAAATATGGATTATGTAGTTTAAATTTGTTTAAGAATATATTTAATCCTTTGTATATCTTCTAAGAAAGTAGCCTTTTATTAAGTGGTAAATTATTCAAGTATCTTTTTTTGTAAATCTCTATTTTGATTGGAAGAGAAAGTGATCCCATAAAGTCATGAGATGGATCTTGCCTTAATCCAAACCAAATCATATAGAAAATTCTTGTCCCCTTTTTATAAATCCAAATTTCATCATTAAACCCATGTTAAGAGAAACACTTTAAACACATCATACTTATTACTTAATCAAAAGAACATAGTATATTTGCCAAAAGTGATTACCTGTGATTCCTGGGATTAAGTGAGCATAGAAGTATGCCTGGCAACATTTTCTCTTCCTCTCTCTCTCTCTCTCTCCCTTTCTTTAGAAACAAAGAGATAAACTCTAATATATGAAGAAGATGAGTAATGTGAAATTGAGGTTCAAAGTTTCTCATATATAGATAATTTATTGAAGATTTGAGAGAAACAGGCCAATGAGGAAAAAGGGTTTTGATGGGACAAGTATCAAACTTTGATTATTAAATTATGGAGTGGGATATTTCTTGTTTCAAGTTTCGACATCTAGCCATTTGTTGTCTAGTTTGTTCTTACAAATCATATAAACTTCACTGGAAATATCCAGAATCAAAACTGGAGTCAGAATCAGAAACGCTCACAAATTTATAAATGTGATTTAAAAAAACTACAAAACGATTTCAATTGAGGTTGTCATATATATAAATCAAAAACGCATGACCTTTCTATGTATATATCTTGCATAAGAATGTTTTAAAATATATATGAATTGTGCAAGCTACGAAAAAATTCAAGCCAGTTCTAATTTTGTAACCCTATGCAAAAAATTTTGTTAGATAATTGTATCAAATTTCTGTTTAAAAACAAAAAAAAATGATGGTATCAAATGGTGTATCATTTCTGTGTCTCTCTTGTTTTTTATGAGATATTCACTAATTAACCCTAGTTCCCGTGAAATAATTAAGTTCGCCAACGCTTCCTCAAACTTTCTTAACCCTAATGTGCAAGTTTGACCTAAGAATAAAATTATACTTAGTACTTGCTTCTAACCCATGCATATACACTTAATACAAAAGTGGAAGCCATTGAAGAGTTATTCTAAGCTTTCCAAGTGACATAGTTGACAAATCCAGTACTCCCATTATTTGATAGAATCTTTTGTACTAACCTTTGTATTGTGTTTCAGAAGAAACAATTAATGATGACCAGAGGTTGGTACTTGTAAATATCTTAGAAATATATAATGTTGTCAAATATTTTCCTTTTATCGCATCCAATTTCCACTCTTAAGCTGCTAGTTTAAATCATTAAGCGTACATAATATAGTTGATTCAAAACACATTTGCTAAACAGAAAGGATATTTGTGTATAATATAGTATTATCTTCCACTGATATGAACTATGTACAAATCTTTCAACAAAGTTACTAAATATTCGAAAAATAGTATATGCATGCATATTGATTATATTGGTTAGTTCACCTTTAAACAAAGAAAAGAAAAAGGAAGACAAGATTAGTAATCATGAAATGATATGTGTAGGATACGATGAGAGGGATATAAGAGGAAAGGGTGTGTCCAAAGGCGTAGGACATGGATAGGTCTGGAGACAAAGTGATGTGTGGTGTCCCCAAAAATTGACTATGTTGTTAAGCATTTGTGTTTTACCAATCTTTTGGACTCACCTCTTAAATCTTTCTTTCTCTTTTATTTTTCTCCTATCATTGTTTTGGCCATTTTGTTTTCTCCACCCACACACACGTAGCATTTACACAAAAATAAAATTTACAATTAAAATGGACAAAATATAGATTTTTTACTAAACGACCTATACATAATTTAAAACAGTGCCATCACAGAACTTTTTTTTTTCCACATTTTGCATGTCTTTATTTAAACTACTTGCATGTCTTAATTATTTAAACTAGATTAGTGAAGCTTCTTGTCAACGTCGAGCCTCTTTTTCGTTTCCGGTAAACTATCAAGTCAACAGTGTACGTACACCATGGCCTATCATTAAAGTTATTTGGGCCAGTATTTATTATTAATGGGCCGAAGTCGAAAGCAAGCCTATGGCCTTTAGAATTTATTTAGAATATTTGATTAAAAGAAATAAATTAAATTGAATTTCTCTTTCAGACAGAATAATTAGAGCATATCAGAGATGCTGACAGACAGACTAATACGCTGTCGTTTTAACGTATTTTTCTTAATATTCCAAAAGAATTTATCTGTGGAAAAAAAAATCCATCTAAAAAGGCGTAAGAGGTCTGGATTCGTCAAAAAGGTCTTTGAGAATCCAAAAACGTCTTATGGTTTAGCTCTCGATTTTCTCATTCGATTCCTTCTTCCTCCGGCTTCAAGTCGCCGGATCTTCTTGTTTTCCGATTCACTTGGAGATTTCTCTTCTCCTCTAAACACAACACGACGCTTCATAGTTTTTTTGTTGTGATTCCGTTTGTTTCAGGTTAGCTAAATCGAAATTAGTTTCCTAATTTTGTTGATTAGATCGATCTTTTACCCTCATTATTGTTCTCAATAGCTTCTATGGATTTGGTTTTCTGAGTATTGCTTCTTGATTTGTAGGAAGAGGCATGTAATTCAGGATTTCCGGCGATTTGGTGGGACGTTTGGAGAAAGTTCGAGTTTTTAGTATTCGTAGGAAAGTTTTCTTCTTTTGTTTTGGTTTGTAGATTTTGTTGATTAATGGTTGAAGGTGAGAAATGGGGCTTCGATGGTTTTGAAGAGATTGTGTATTATCGTGGAAATGAGATTGTTGGAGATTGCAGAAAGTCATCTGATTCGTATTCACGGGTTTCCTTAGGGACTTTGGAGAAACTGAGAGTTTTGGTTGTTTAGTCTTTGAGAAAAGGTTTAGGCTTTTAGCATTTCAAGCGTCTTTATTAATAAGTGAGTTTGTTTTTCGAGCTTAGAGATGGATGAAGAGGCTACTTCTTGGATTAGGAGGGCTAAGTTTTCTCAAACGGTTTCTTATCGTTTGAATTCGTCAAAGTTGGCTTCTCTCCCTTTTATGGTAAACCAAGATAAGATTGCTGGATTGAGAACTATACCCCAGAGATCATCATCTTCGTCGTCGGCATCATCATCGGATCCCAAGTTGGTTTCGAGTAACTCACAGACTACGGAAGATACCTCGAGTTTGGAAGCTGATGTATATGTTGTTGATTCGGAAATACAGACAAACCCTGTAACTAATAAGCAGAGATCTGTTTCTCCCTCGCCTCAAATGGCTGTTCCTGATGTGTTTAAGGAAGCAAGGTCGGAGCGTAAGAGATTTTCTACTCCACATCCGAGACGGGTGGAATCGGAAAAGGGAATGAAGCCTAAGTTATCTCATAAAAACTCCTTTGAAAAGAGATCATTTAATTTGCGGTCTCCATCAGGTCCTATCAGAGATCTTGGCACTCTGAGAATTCAAGAGAGGGTGAAGAGTAAGAAGGACACAGGATGGTCTAAGCTTTTTGATAATACTGGTCGTAGAGTGAGTGCTGTAGAAGCTTCTGAAGAGTTCCGTGTTGATATGTCAAAGTTGTTCTTTGGGCTTAAGTTTGCTCATGGGTTATATAGCCGGCTATACCATGGTAAGTATGAAGATAAAGCTGTTGCCGTGAAGCTTATCACTGTACCTGATGATGACGATAATGGATGCTTGGGAGCTCGTTTAGAGAAACAGTTTACCAAGGAAGTCACCCTTTTGTCTCGATTGACCCATCCAAATGTTATAAAGGTGATTTCTTCTCTCTCGTTATGTTGTCTTGGTTGATTGTCATGTCAGTCTAGATGGAATGATTACGGTTTTTGTTGACTTCTCTTATCTTATTTGTGTGCTAAAAACAGTTTGTGGGAGCGTATAAAGACCCGCCTGTATATTGTGTCCTCACGCAGTATTTACCTGAAGGATCGTTAAGATCTTTTCTGCACAAGCCTGAGAATAGGTCTCTTCCTTTGAAAAAGCTTATAGAGTTTGCTCTAGATATTGCAAGAGGAATGGAATATATTCACTCACGACGCATAATTCATCGGGATCTTAAGCCGGAAAATGTATTGATCGACGAAGACTTCCATTTGAAGATCGCTGACTTTGGCATAGCGTGCGAGGAGGAGTACTGTGACATGTTGGCTGATGACCCCGGAACATATCGGTGGATGGCACCTGAAATGATAAAACGGAAACCACACGGGCGTAAGGCCGATGTTTACAGCTTTGGACTCGTTTTATGGGAAATGGTAGCTGGGGCAATCCCGTATGAGGACATGAATCCTATTCAAGCTGCTTTCGCAGTCGTACACAAGGTAAATATTCTGTGGGTCTCCTGACTATTTCATGATTGTAATCTTCCGTGGAATTTTATGCCATGTTTCAGCACAAGGACTGTCTAATGGTTATGGTTAAAGGCTTAGAATTTAACATACAAAAATCTTACAGCACAAGTATATGTAAGGTCCTTTATTGTTCAGTTGGTTCAACCATTTGAGATATGAAAAATGTTGATCTTTGGTTCAGAACATTAGGCCAGCTATTCCGGGAGATTGTCCAGTAGCCATGAAAGCTCTGATAGAGCAGTGTTGGTCGGTTGCACCGGATAAGAGACCAGAGTTCTGGCAGATAGTGAAAGTGCTTGAACAGTTTGCGATTTCACTGGAACGTGAAGGGAACCTGAATCTGTCTTCGCACAAGATCTGTAAGGACCCAAGGAAAGGTCTGAAACATTGGATCCAGAAGCTTGGACCAGTCCATGGAGGAGGAGGAGGCGGTGGCAGCAGCAGCAGCGGCCTTGGTGGCTCGGCCTTGCCTAAGCCAAAATTCGCTTGAGAGACGTGAAGAGTCTCTTTTGTAAATTTATATATAATACAAAAAGAAGGGTTTTGTGTTTGTGTTGTATCCTTTTTTTTGTGGATTGTTGTTGTTAGTGATCTTTCATCGTCAATGTCATCTTCTCTGGATTTGATGTGTAATGACTGCCAACTGGGGAATGGTTGTGATTTGATGTTTATGGGATTCAACATCTTCTCTACTTTGGCTTTCTACTTTACATATGCTTTTGTGGAAATTTGATGGCTTAATCAGTTTGTATATGTTTGGCTCCATTATTTTAGTTTGTGTAAGAAAATGCATTAAGTGTTAGTTCGAATTTGAGCATTTTCCCCGAAACTCAACAAAAGTAATTTGTATCTATCTATACAATAACAACAAAAGAAATTTAAGTGACGTGTGTATTTGTATTCATCTAAGTAAAGATTTTTCTTCAAATGAGGGAAGCAGCAACATGTTTCACAAATTGATATCATCAAGGAGAGAGTAACTCAATGCTATTCTCGTTGTCTTCGATCCTCGGCAACGCAAATCTGTCTGAATCACGACCAATGAAGCTATGTGTTGTTGAAGAACAGGAAGAATTAGAGGCAGAGGAACATATCATCGTCTCCTTCATCTCTCTCCTTATAGCCCATAGCTTTTCCGCAATGTCTTTCATAGCTGGACGTGTAGCTCTCGTCGGGGCAAGACATTCGCTCGCCAGTCTCAGCATTTTCTCAGCCACTTCAATGGCGGCTCGGTTTCTCTTGAGAAATGGATCCATTATGAGAACAGCTTCATCATCTTTGAGTCTCCTCAATGCCTGCACAATATGAAACAAGTTTTTCTTTGATTTAATGTTGAGATTATCTCAAGCTTATGGTGAAGGGGGAAAGAGAAAGTGACTTACCCATTTAACCGTGAGTCTGTCTTTTCGTGGTCTCTTTAACTCAATGGGACGTCTTCCAGTGAGAAGCTCTATGAGCAAAACACCAAAAGAGTAAACGTCGCTCTTGTCAGTTAGTTGAAACGTCCTGAGGTAATCTGGATCCACATAACCTGCAGATCCTTTGACCTGAGTCGATATATGAGTAGCCCCGAGATCTTCCGAAACTAAACGAGCAAAGCCAAAGTCTGCCACTTTGGCTCTAAGCTTATTCGTGATGAGGATATTTGATGCTTTAATGTCTCTGTGTATTATTGGAGTATCTGCATTATAAAATGATCCCTAATGCATAAAATCTTGGTACACTAAGCTATACTGTAACACCGATAGGCAACAAAGAAGAGGATATGACAAGAGTACCAGTATATGTGTGCAAATAGGTCAATGCATGAGCTACATCAATCGCAATCTCAAGACGTTCTGCCATTTCAAGGCGGTTACCCCGTAAACCTGTGTTTTGATATAGAAGAACAATAGTTGAGAATTCTAAATTCAGATATTTTTTATTTGGAAAAGTTCTCTATGCTCTAAAATTAGAGACTGGATTTTTCTTTGTCTATACACATAGAAGAAGAAGGAAGTACCTCTTACAACTTACCATCTAGATGTTCTCGTAGATTTCCATTGCCAACATATTCAACAACAATAACCTTTTCATCTCCATGTTCAAGAAATCCATACAGCTTTACCAAATTCATATGCTCAATCTTTGACAATGTGTATATTTCATTCTTGAACTCTAGCAACCAGCTTTTGCCATAGTTGTTCTGCCACAGAAATTTTGAGTTATATAGATCATTTCTTCTCCGAATTATTCTTAAGAAACTACTTCAATCTCTTATCCACATATTTTCCAAGAAGAGGAGTTCAATCACTACCTTTCTCGCGCGCTTGATAGCAACAATAGTTCCATCATCAAGCTTTCCCTTAAAAACAGTTCCAAAACCGCCTTCCCCAATTTGATGAACCGATGAAAAATTTGCAGTTGCCCTTTGAAGCTCCACAAAAGAAAATATTACCGGGCCTTGGTGCCAACTTTTGCTAGAAGAAGAATCTTTCCCAGGACTTTGAAATCTTGAACCAGAAAAACGATATTGACCTGAAATCTTTCTTTCTGTTGACCTTCCAAAAGAGCTTGGTGATGAATAACCAGTCCAGCCTGATACTGCACATATGGAAGATAAAATTGTCACAGCAATACAGAGAGCATAGATGCATAAAAAATATATCTCATCTATGAAAGACCCTCAAGTTTGTAACAAAGTTTGTTTGTCATAATGAAAGGCATACATCACCAGAGCTTAAAAGATTCAAAACAATCATGCTCCAATATACTTACATGTAGATTCTCTGTCAAACGTGCTGCTCTCTCCAGGATCAGATTTACATTCTGTTGGCTTGAACTTTCGTTGTCCTAAGAAAATAATAGCAAAGACTTTCCTAGCTGCCCTTCTGATGGCACCGAGGACGGAGACATTCCTCGCCTTCTCCTCAGTACCTACATCACTCCAACTATACTCAGAATCAGCTTTTTGATGCTTTCCATTTGAGAAGCGGAGAGGCGTTGGGGTTTTGCTCCTCATTGGCATATGTCTATAGGCATGGTTATAGGAAGGTGAATAATACTTCTGATGACCAAATTCCAAGAAAGAAAGTATGTTGCAGTCATGTATGTTTCTTATTCTTTCTGTTAAACGCCAGATACATTTGTGCATATAATATAAGCATAATGACCCATTATTATCTGTACAATATATGTTCTTTAATGTGTTGTAGACCGATTCAAAGATATTGATTGGTCTTGCAAGTTTTGCTGTTATTCTATTTTCATAGTCAATGAAAATGAGCAAATGATGTTATTCTGAGTATTTTGTATACTTTTGACTTTTCCTTACAAGAATACTCGACTCGAGAGTAGAAAACGACTCATTGATATTAAAGATGACGGAAATAAGAAAAGAAAACTAATCATATGTCTCTGAAATCTCTCTCTATTGACTAAGTAACAGAGTCTGAAGTAATCCAAAACTAAAACTTAATCAAACTTTATGAAAACCTAATCTCATCAAGAAAGTATTTAGAACTGAAGAAGTAACAAGAGAAGCAGAATCAATACCTCTGTACTAGAGGATTGAATGTAGAAGAAGCCTTCACGTTGCACCTGAAATAAAGTTTTATACATGAACATTGAAAAAAGGAAATATTGACTGGGTTATTTTATTCAATCCAGTAGAGAGAATCAGAAGAGGAGACAAACTCAAGATTTTCTCTTGACAAGGAGGATATACATCGGGTTCTGATATTTATTTACTCAGGAACAATGACGGTTCTCTATCTAAAGCTGCAAGCTGTGTAGATGATCCAGCAACAAGTAGAATGTGGTCCGTCAAAGCTGGCAAGAAGGTCCACATATATAGTTTAAGAAGATGAAAGATGAGTCTTTTGTACAAAATCCTTAGCCACAAGTCATCTAAAAGATGACAGAAAAACTCTCAATTCAAATGATATGTTGAAATTCTTTTTTCAATAAATGCATGAGTAAGATACCAAAAAGTAAACTACATAAGCAATGAGACTGACCTGCTGTGACAAAAGAAAAAAAGTTGAGTTCTTTGTCCAGTTGTATATATATGGTGTAAAGTATTGGGAGATTGATGAGATTGACCCAAACCAAATCTCGATATCTCGATATCTAGGCTCGGTTAGGGTCGATCTCATCGATCTCCGAATATAAAGAGATTACAAAGGATACATCATAACTTGGAACAAGCCCATTAATTCCACAAAAGAAGCTAGCTAGCTCCAACAAATCCACATGCTATATAGTTAGTTGGAATTAGCCGTTTTGTTGGCATCCATGAAAGCATCACAAAGAAGAAGCCTTGTAAGTGAGTCATTTAAAAGTCAATTACATGAACTTCAACCATAGAGAGAAACCTCTGAACATGATCTACTTCAAAGTTTTGTACTTTGACTCTATCCATCAAATTATTACTTGCTATTGATGAAATTTAGATAGTGAAATTGTTAAGACGAGTAAAAGCAATGGTGTACAACACTAGATAGTGAAATTTGTCATCGTGATGAATTTCGGCATAAACCGAAATGATAAGAAGAATAACCTGAATCACTCGATTTCCATGGAATTCAAGGCTCATCGATGTAGTTAGTTCCATAGAAATTTGTACTCTTCGCAGCACTGTTTAATTTCTACTTTTCCGGTACAAGACGATGACGACGAATTCGTTATTTAGTTATTACACAAGAAATGACCCATTCCTAAAAGGCTTATTTGTTTCCTTTTGGGCCCAAATAACAGTCTTGGGCAATCTTAAGCCCAAAAACATTAAAAGTTTTTTTACCATGTTGAAATTCAGATTTGCCTTCAGTTGCTTCTCTTTTAACGTTTCGATTCAGCACCGTAAAATTACACTTGATTCTAGTGGACTTAAACTCGTCGGAAAATTCCAATCTTTTTTACCAGAAAGAAAACAAAATCGGTACAATCACACTGAGACAAAAACAATTACTACTGTGTATTTTTGGGACCTGCTATGGTTTTTTTTTTTTAATAAAGAACACACAACACTCTTTGGGAACTTGTCGTAACTCCGAATCTCAATGTCACTCGTCAGCCATTGCTGTCCACAAACGTTTTAGATAAAAATAGAAATTACTATATATTCTTTATTTTAGGTAAATGCCATAAATTAAAAAATCTATTAAAACCATTATAAAGAGTGCTTCTCTGTTTTTACGCAAACTATTTATAAAATAAAAATGAAATATTGTTTTGAATGAGATAACACACTTCAGTTAACAATGATGTAACATTTGAACAAACCCACTTAATTCAAAAATTAGTTTAGGACGTCGTTGCATCAAAAGTAAAGAGTGTTGGTCAAATGTTATATCACTAAAATAACTCTTAGTGCTCTACTTGGAAATCAATCCACTAATCAAAACTCTAATAATATATCCAAAGTTCCAAACCAAATAAAGAATGACAAAAGTTGACATTGAAGCTATTTCTTGATTCGAAGGGAATCCAAAGAAATGACGGAAGCAGCCAAATATTACCCCCCAAGGTAAAAGAAAACAAATGGGCACACGTGTTTTCACCATTTTTCAATCTAATTTTATTTTTCTTAGGTCTATCTATCCACTAAATTTTTAATATTTTCACTAATTAAGAGCCTTTTATGTTCGTCCTACAAATGCAGAGGTCAGGCCCATAATGGGATGTGTTTGTACACTTTCTTCCTTTGATTCTCTCTGCCACTCTCATGTGACACAATTATACCATTTTTTCTTTGATATTTGTACTAAAACATAACATTATTTTCTCTGTATTTTCATTAACTCATTTCTGTATTTTCATTAACTGTAACAAGTACAGAAATAAATATAAATACGCATTAAAAAAAAGCATAAAGAAATAATAAAATGTGAGAAAAAGGTTTAAGGAAAGGGAAAGGGAAAGGGCTTCTCTTCTCTATAGTGTTTGACAACGCCACTCTCTTCTCTTCTTCTTCTCGAGATCCTAAAAATGTCACTGACAGATTCTTCAACTTCTTCCATTCACTGAACTGAAACCACCCTGAGAGCCATGACCCACCAAACCCATCAGCGTCGTCGCCGTCGTCACTCCGCCGTCTGTCACCGTCATCCTACTTCCAAACCCACCACCGGTTTCTGTGCCACCTGTCTCCGTGAACGTCTCTCCACCATCGAAGCTCTCTCTTCCTCTGTTTCAGCTTCCACTGAGCTCCGCCGTGTTCGTTCCTACTCCATTCGTGACGCATCCGCTTCTGTTTTGGACCAGCCACGACGCAGATCGTGTGATGTCAGGTCTAACGACGGTGATGATGAGCTGCTACAGAGCTCGATTCGGTTCCCCATTGTACCGGATTTGAAGGAGGACGATGAAGAAGAAGAAGACGGAGAAGAAATTAGAGGTTTTGATGATGGTAAGAGACTCGTTGAAGAAGAAATCGAAGATGGAGAGCAGAAGACGATGAAGGAGTTAATAGATCTGGAATCGAGAAATCAACAAATCAAGAAGAGCAATGGCAAAGATTCGGTTTTTAGTAGAACACTTAAGAAATTTTCACTCAAACATAATCAGAAGAATGGGAAAGTTCCAGATTCCGGGAACAGTCTCGGCCGTCGCTCATGTGATGTAGATCCTAGATTGTCTCTCGACGCAGGTCGAATCTCTTTCGAGGAGCCTAGAGCTTCATGGGATGGATGTTTGATTGGAAAGACATATCCAAAGCTGATTCCTTTGTCCTCTGTGACTGAAGATGTTAAAGCCTCGCCGGAGAAGATAACCGGTGAGAAAGAAGACGAAGAGGAGAAGAACAATCCAGGTGGGACAGCTCAAACGAGGGATTACTACTTGGATTCACGGCGGAGAAGAAGCTTTGATCGATCATCGAGACATGGATTGCTTGAAGTTGATGAATTGAAAGCTATTTCGAATGCTAAGGTATCACCTGAAACTGTTCGTTTGTTTCATGGAGCGAAGTTGCTTGTTACTGAGAGGGAACTTAGGGATTCGAATTGGTATTCTATCAAGAATTACAAACCAGAGAGCTTGGAATTAGGTTCTGAAGGTGTTGGTTGTGTTGCTGCTGGTGATGTGAAGAAGCAAGATGGTTTTGGGTTGAAGAAGACTGGAAAGAAATGGGCTAAAGGATGGAACTTTTGGGGATTGATTCAGAGGAAAACCGATACAAACAAGAACGAAATCAAAACCGAGCAAAGTTTGAAACTTGGAGGGAATACAATGGAGGGTTCTCTTGCTGAGTCTCTGTTGAAGCTTAGGAGAGTGGCTAAAGGAGAGACCAATGGCGATGTTAGCGAGAAACTCATAAGAAGCTACAGCGTTAGTGCGAGAAAGTCTTGTGATGGTATGTTACGAGGTGCTTCTATTGTTAATGGCTTTGAAGGTGGAAGAAGCTCTTGTGATGGTCTGTTTCATGGCTCTATTACTGGTGTTGAGACCGGAAGAAGAAGCTCATGTGAAAACGGATTGTTTCATGGCGTTGAAGGCAAACATAATCATCTTCTCCAGAGAGATGACAAGCTTGGTACTTACTCGCCCGACAACCTCAGAAAGGGTATGGTTAGATTCTACTTGACGCCATTTAACAGCCATACAACAAGCAAGTCCGGTAAAAGTAGGCTGATGAATTAGTCTGATCTCTGATTGTTAAGTTCATGATGGACTATATTGAAGCTGTGTTGTATGTAATTAGCAATTACCATGTGTGTTACTTATTTTCCCATTGTTCTATAGATATATGAACTAAAATCATATGCCCATGTTGTTCTCTCTCCTTTTTCCTTCTACTTTTTATGTGTATTATTAATACTCTTAAGAGTTCAATACAACAGTGAGTTTGTTATAACTAATAAGATATTGGCTCTGATCAAAACTAGACTGGAAAAATCAATAGTTTCAAACTCAAGGTATTGGGTAAATTTGATGGGAGCAAAAAGCATCAAGTTATATTCCAAAGGGTTTAAGCCAAAACATGAATCAAGCTAAGAATAAAGGGCAAGAGCTACTTACCCAAGAGCAAGAACGAAACACTTGTACGAGTGGTTGAATCATTAGTCTAACTGATACACAGCCTAAATTACACAAGTTTTTATTGTTTTATCACATCCCTTTTACACCTTATTCAAGATTATGCCCTTTCTCTTGAAGTTCAGTAATGACCTCATTCCTCATCCTCAGCCACAGTTTCTGAGCCTCTTTATCAAACTTCTTCTTCTCCATTTCCTTCTGGTAGTTGTCAGCTTCACCTTCGGACTCAACAATCCCTTTAGGCCCAAGAGAGTCGAACTCGTGACCTCTGGCAGTCGTGTGTGAGAAGTCACATTGAAACCACAGCACCAATTTCAAATAAAACAATGCAGCTTTCTTCACGGTGACTTTAGACATCAGGACTTTTTTCATATTTATTATTACAAAAAGCAATATTCCATAAAACTCGTAAGCCATTATAGGTGATAAGTCTTACCTCATCGAAACCATAATTACATAACAAGTTACGATCAGGTAGAAGTTTGGGGGTCTTTGTAATCAGGCCTACAATAATCATTCCCAAATTGAAAATAGTACAATTTACAAGGGACCACAGTAGTGATGACCATGAAGGCATACATATCCATTAAGCCAAACGAATGTATGTCGAGTACTTTTAATGTGTGTGATATATAAGTATGAAAAGTGAACACTAATACTAATACTATTTACTATCATGCTAATTATCTGGAGTAGTATTTTATTTACACGACCATACTATATTCTTATGCAAGAAAAACAAGTCATTTGTCCAATCTTTGACCTTTTAAATGAATTTAAAATATTTAACAAAGTACCCAAATAGATAAAAACATTTCATAAATTCGGATTCCCAGAAAATTAAGGTTTAGCACTTATTTGAATAATCAAAGACCTTCGTTTGAATTACCTATTCAACATTTGTATAATAACTTAATTCAAACAAAACCAAAGAAAGAGCGTGAATTGACTTTGACCCTAGACCGAATTCTCCAACGTCCACGTATTTGCTGATAAATTTTGACCGCGCGCCACGTAGATTGAAGTCAAAATTGTTCTTTTATTCACTTCAACCCATAAGTCAAATAAGCATCTCGGTTTTCAATATACCGGCACCAACTTTTCCAAAGTCTGTATATGTACCTAACAAAACCGGTTTATCATACCCGGTCAACACACAAATAATAGTTGACCATACAACCAAATGATACCCCTTAAAAAGGACTCGCATCTGCGTTACCAAGTTCCATCATCAATCCCACCTAACAACACATAAACACTATATCTCTTTCAAAAATATTTAAAGAGAAAAGAATCTAAGAAATCAACAATGGAGAATCTGAGAAATGGCGAAGATAACGGTTCTCACTGGATCACATTTACGTTCATTGATCAATCTTCAGTAACGATTCCTCTCTTGAAGTGTTTCGGTCTCGAAAGTTCTTCTTCGTCTTCTTCTTCTTCTTCTTCTTCTTCTTCTTCTTCTTCTTCTTCTTCTTCTTCTTCTTCATCTCACAGCGAGGAAGATGATGGTATGGTTATAAAGGAGGAAGATGATGGTATGGTTATAAAGGAGGAAGATGATTTATTGCAGAAGAGTAGACCCAAGCCTCCGCCAAGCTCAGGAAAAGGAGGCAAACACAATTAGGGTTCATAAGTGTCATAAAACCTATACGTGTACTGTATACACACATATATATACAGACTTAGAAACTTTGGTCTAATATCGTAGACAATATAAAGTCATTTATTTTGAATGTGAATTGGATTAATAAAGATCGAGTTTGATTTTATTGTTTGTGTACCGATTTTAATAGAAGCTAAGATCGCAGAGTCACTGATCTTAGTTCGTTTCGCAAGAAACCTTCTTGGCACGATCTTGTCGAATCATGTGACTATGTGACTGAACATTAATACTTGCTAACGTTAAATGCTGCTTCAACCTGCATGGGCCTCATCAGTTAGGCCCATCAATGATTTTAGAGGGAAATTATCGGCCAATTAATTATTGTTAGATAATTTATTTTTTCTTGCTTGTCGTTATTAATGTGTCTTATAACTTTTTGTTTGACGGAAGATGCAAATTGAATACATCAGTTAAATAACGGTGACGATATCATTCAATTAATCGTCAACTTTTCATCTATTAATGCCATTAATTATCCTCCGGTTTTGGAGATAATAGTATCCAGCAGGTTGCACAAACAAACAAAAGCCGATAACATTGGCCGTTGGATGTACGACACGTCAGCGGTATACACACGTAAGCAAGGTTGACGATAGGTCAAATAATTACGATTTCAGCCCTTTGGTAAGTCCCCCGCGCTTATTTTTTACTCCCTCCGTTTCAAAATATAAAACGTTTTGGAGAAACTTTTTCGTTTCACAATATAAATCGTTTTCAAGTTTCTATGTAAATTTTAATATTTTATGATTACTTTTATTATGCAGTCTCTTTTATGATTGGCTGAACTTTTAAAAAGTAGATATTTTTAATCGACGTGATTTTAGATAAAACGTCTTATATACGGAGGGAGTATTTTGAGGGAAAATTGAAAAGAAAAAAAAAAGAAATCTAACAAACTCTTTAATTCCTCTTCTGACTGGATGGGACGTTAAAATCACGCAAGAAAGGACGCTGCAAAAAGAGAGGTACAGTCCAAAAAACTCTTCGTCCTCTTCTTTGATTTTCGAAAATCTCCGATCTAACCGCCATTAAACCCTAGCTTGCTTTTTCTCTGTTTCTCTCTGCTTCCAGCGAAAGCGGAAGATTCTCATTCGTCTCTTAACGCTGTTATCTGTGATTTTTTTTTGGTTTAGTTACACTCGAAAATGAAGAAGAAGGGAGCGAAGAAGAAGGGAGGCTCACGAGGAGGTCGTAAATCTGGTTCTACTCCGTCGACGAGTAAGAACGATGAGCCGGTGGTAGAGACCTCGACGCAGGAAACTCAGCCTACTCAGGAGGAGGCAGAGGAAACGGAAGCTAAGGTGGAATCTCCGGCGCCTGCGAAGGAGGGAGAGAACGAAGAAGAGACGGAAGAGAATCAGGAGGAGGAAGCGGCGAAGGTTGAACCCAAGCCTGCGGAGGAGGAAAAAGAAGATGCGAAACCTGATTCCCCAACGCGTCAGGAGAAGGATGAAACTGCGAGCAAAAATAATGAGGCGAAAGGTGCTTCTTCTTCGCAACCAGTGCTTCGTCGTGGTCTTTGTAAGAGAGCCACAAAGACGGAGAAAGCAGAGAAGAAACCGACTCCGAGAGCTAAGCGAGCCAGAACGACGAAGCCACAAGAACCCGAGCCTGAATACTTCAAAGAGAAGCGTAATATGGTATGCTATTTTACTCTTCTTCTGGTTTGTAATCATCTATTCGGCTTAGGTTTTCTGCCTAAACCTTATTGAGAAACGTTAAGGATTTGTTACTCGTTTTTCATTGACTCGTTGTGTGTTCCATGTTCTTGTCTTTGAAGGTGACACCTGAAGATGTACGCAAGCTGAATCTTCCACCTGAGCATGCCACTAGGACTCCATCAGGGGAAACATTTGTTAAGCAAAGTTTGCAAAAGGTTGCTGCATTTAGTTGATTGATTATCCTCAAGTACCTCAAATTCTGTTGAATAATTTCTTTCAGGAAATACAACCAATTATAGACAAGATCATATTGTTTATCTATATGTGATGGTACATTTTGTTTCTTATCTATTTACAGATTGAATCATCTATAACCCCTTCTGATAAGATAGGAGTTGCATCGGTTGAAGGAGAGGTTGGGGAAATTATTCCAATGAAAATGGATTGGATTCCTTACACCCCACTTGAAAAAAGGTGTATAGACATCCTGAGTTCCACATATATATCTGCACATATTTTCGTAGGAGGGCTTAATCAATGATAAGAGAAACAGACAGTACATTTGTGTGTTACTATTCTTAATTTTAATATTTATGCGAATTGTTGCTAGTTTCATCTGCTTTTGTTCTTCTGCAGGGATAGACAAGTTGATAGAATGAACTCTCAAAATTTTCACCTTGGGCTGTACTCAGAGAAGGTAAATAATATCTGGTATCCTTTTCTCTCAGTGTCTTGTTACCATGAAAGTTATAGAAGACTGTGATTTGTTCATTTGCTTTGTAGAGGAAAAAGAATTACATTACATATGGTTTTGAAGCAGATAGCTTTATCTGAAAGTGTGATGCAACACTTTGCATTCTTTGCTTATTCTCATTTACATTCAGCAACTTAAAGTGCAGAAATTGGTGTATTCAGTCTAGCTTTGTAAATATTCTTTGCAGGTCTGCTCTCAAACATTTGAAGGTCGACCGAGTTAAAAAATTCAACTATTGCCTTGTGAGCATAAATATTGATGCTTAGCTAGTTATTATTGATCATAGATTCTCAGTACCATGTGATCAATTGCTCGAAATTTGTTTTCCTTAGACATCAAACTCTAAATATTACTGTTTTGATTTGATTTGCAGATATCAACAACCCATTTAAGGTAGATGAATCTGAGCAGAGCACTGTGGTTCAAATAATGTTTCAATCTGAGCCACCTGTAAGTTATTTTTGTCTTCATAAATGGTTTGACAATACAATATGGTAGTTTCATATTGAATCAAGCTTACTTGTCCTTTGTGTAGGTTGAATGTGAATATGACTGGGTGAATAACGACATTCAGGTGCAGTATCTGACTTTTCCAATACGACACCTTACTTGAAGGTGACACCTAAAGATGTACGCAAGCTGAATCTTCCACCTGAGCATGTCACTAGGACTCCATCAGGGGAAACATTTGTTATGCAAAGGTTGCTGCATTTAGTTGATTGATTATCCTCAAGTACCTCAAATTCTGTTGAATAATTTCTTTCAGGAAATACAACCAATTAATTAATTTAGGAAATACAGCAGATTATAAACAAAATGAATAATTTATTTCAGGGTATACTTCCAGAAATTCTTGAAGAGCTTCTTACTGCCCGTAAAAGAGCTAAAGCAGATTTAAAGGTAACTAAACTTTTGATTCTGAACAAATTCTTGCAGTATGTGCATACCTGTACACAGCCTTTAACTACTACTATTGGAACTGGTATTTTCTGATTTAGGAGGCTAAGGATCCACATGAAAAGGCTATTTTAGATGGTAGACAGTTGGCAGTGAAGGTAAACTTCTTACTGCCAGTTCATTTACCTTGGTCATTCAGAAGAACGATAAGAATGTTCGGAAACTTCTGAAATATATTTTCCCTGTAAATTGCTCTTATACCTCAAGATGTGGTGATAATATCAGGGGATAACGGCTTCGAGAGAAGTGTCGAGGAATTGAAAGCTGCAGGGCATAGAGTCTTTCTGCTGTATCGTGAAATCAAGGGGAACAAAGTTTCCTCGGGTGCACTTTGCAAACAAGTAAAGTTCTTCAGAAGTGATTGGAGGAGGTTTTTAAAGCTTGAGGAAATTGAACCGAGGCATGTGAGGAATAATAAGAGGCAGCAGAAGAGGATAAAACATTTCAAAGAGAAGAAGAAGAAAGATAAAGCTTCTGAAGGACTTTACTTGTTTGCAAAATCACCCGAGGAAACTTTGTTTCCCTTGATTTCACGATACAGCAGAAAGACTCTGTGCCCTGCAGCTTCCAATTCCTCGACACTCTTCTCGAAGCCGTTATCCCTTGATATTATCTCCACATCTTGAGGTGCCTGTTTCTTTTCTCGTAGCCACTTCTTTATACTCTTAATTTTTGCTTGATCTGCTAGTTGGTTGTTGGCGGTGCTGTTATCCCCAGGTCCTGAAACATAAAAAAAAAACAGTTCATTAATTACTCATATGAATTGTTAACTCCTAACAGTTACTTCATTACTCATATGTAAATCGGTACTTACTGTTTCTTGGAACGGCATGTATGATTTCTGTACCATGCTTCTTATGTTCCTTTTATTCTTGACAGTTTTTGTGGAGATTAAACTTATATTTGTTTTTTTTAGGGTATCTAGCATAGGGATGGAAGAGAGAGATCTAGTAGGAGATGGCAATTGCCAATTTAGGGCATTATCTGACCAGCTCTATGATGATGAGAACCACTAACTATATTAGGCAACAAGTTATCGAAGAGGTAAGATCATTTGGCAAGTAAAATACCATTTATTATTAAATTTAGTTTTGAGAGAGATTGACTGTTTATTATTGCAGCTGAGAGCACATCCTGAAAGGTACCGTCGTTTTGCTGAAGCTGAAGCTGGTATTAGTTATGAAGAATACTTAACGAGTATGGCAAGGTATAATGATAATAGTTACATATTTATTTGTGTTGTTAAATTATGCACACTTATTCATTTTGTAAATGTTGAACAACAGCGATCAACACTGGGGAGACGGTATAACCCTAGCTGCTGCAGCACAAAGGGTATGTTTTTGATATCATGGTTTTGTTTTAGTATCTTCCATTTAATGATAAAATCATTGTTTCTCTTTTGTCCAGCTTGGTGTAAGAATACAGGTGGTATCGGACAATGGTTTTACCCCTTTCTCGCCGGACCGTGAGACTACTCGACTTTTGAGGTTGTCCTTTCTAAGAGGTGGCCACTACACTTCATTAAGACCAAGACTCTAGGGATCCTCGAATTTGGTGGAGATTTTGGTTGAGGTGGTTTCTTATGAGTTACTACTCCTGGAGTGATCAAACCCATCAGCACATAAAGCTACAACTAGGACTAAGGAAACAATAGCTCTTGCATTCTTTTCCATCTTTCTATTTAATCTATCTCTTTCTTTTTCTTTTTCTTGCTTTTTTTCACTTTGATACTTGGATAGTATTGCTATGTGAAGAAACTTGGAATTTATAGAGAAAAAGGGTATTAATTTACGTAATTAATTGGACATAACTTAGTAGGGGTGTCAAAATGGATCAACCAACTCAAACCAACCCATAACCCAATGAGTTAAGACTTAAATGGGTTATGAGTTGATACAACTCATTTGTTAAATGGGTTGAGTCAACCCATAAACTCAATTAATTTGATGGTTTTAATGGTTAAATGAGTTGACCCATGAAAATAAAATAATTGATTAATAAAAATATCAATAATATAAAAGCACGTTTTTGGCGGGAAAATTTGTGAAACCGCGTTTTTGACAGAAAAATTGTGTAACCGTAATTTTGGCGGGAAAAATATGTGGAATCGCGTTTTTGGTGGGAAAAATTTGTGGAACCGCGTTTTTGACGGGAAAATTTGTGAAACCGTATTTTTGGCGGAAAAATTTGTGAAACCGCGTTTTTGGCAGAAAAAATTTGTGAAACTGCGTTTTTTGGCGAGAATATTTGTGAAACCGTGTTTTTGGTGGGAAAAAATTGTGGAACCGCGTTTTTGGCGGGAAAAATTTGTGAAACCGCGTATTTGGCGGAAAAATTTGTGAAACCGCATTTTTGGCAGGAAAAATTTGTGAACCCGTATTTATGGCGAGAAAATTTGTGAAACCGCGTTTTTGGCAGAAAAAAATTTGTCAAACCGCGTTTTTGGCGGGAAAAATTTGTGAAAATGTAGTTTTTGGCGAGAAAATTTGTGAAAGTGCGTTTTTGGCGGGAAAAAAATTGTGAAAACGTAATTTTGGCGGGAAAATTGGTGAAATTGCGTTTTTGGCGGGAAAAAAATTGTGAAACCGTATTTTTGGCGGGAAAATTTGTGAAATTGCATTTTTGGCTGGAAAATTTGTGAAACCGTATTTTTGGCGGAAAAATTTGTGAAACCGTATATTTGGCGGGAAAATTTGTGAAATTGCATTTTTGACGGGAAAAATTTGTGAAAACGTAATTTTGGCGGGAAGAAATTGTGAAACCGTATTTTTGGCGGGAAAATTTGTGAAACCGTATTTTTGGCGGGAAAATTATGAAACCGTTTTTTAAAGAGAAAATTGTGAAATAATATTTTTTTGCGGGAAAATTATGATATGATGATGATGATGATATAATAATGATAACAATATTAAAATAGTGACGATGATGATAATGATACGATAATAATAGTGATATTAATATTATATTTGATGAGTTAATAGTTAATTCATAAACCATTACAACCCAACCCATATGACCCATTAACCCATTAACATTAACTCATTTGAACCATTAACTAATTATGACCCAAATATTAAAACCATTAAGCTAACGAGTCGGGTTGGTTCGAGTTGACCCATAAAGTATGGCCCATTTTGACACCACTAGACATAAGTTATATGTTTACAAACATATAAACAACGGAAGAATTTTGAAGATTTTCAAAAAGTAACCCATATTCTGTAACAAATTCCGGCGAACCTTACCGGGAAAGTCACCGGCGGCCACGGCGGTCCGGCGACGACACGGCGGCGGAATCCCGGCGGCGAACGGACGGCAGCCGGACACGGCGGCTCCGGCGAACAGCGGCGGCGCTTGAGATCCACGCTCCGAAGACTCGGTGGCGCGTGGTTGCGCGTGACACGTCGGCGGTGGCAGCGCTTGGTGTCTCCGGCTTCGTCTCGTCGTCACGAATCCGATGGTGACCTTGGTTTTGCGAGATTCGAAGCGGTTAGAGAGAAATCTTGAAAATACTAAACGGTCCGAAACTAAAACCTTTAAAACTCAGTTTTTGGAGTTACCTTCGACTAAGCTTTCCGTTGGCTTAGTCGGCTCGGTTGCGGAAGAGGCTGGACGGCGGTTCGGTGGTGCTAACTCCGGCGAGATTTCTGCAGAGTAACTCTACTCAGGAGAGTTGTGGAGAAAATGTAAAAGAAGAGGGGTATTTATAGAGAAATAGATGGGGTACCTAGGGTTAGGGTTTGGGCCTTATGGGCCTCGAGATTGGATGGGCCTTAGGCCAAAAATTTGGGTTGTTACACAATATCCCGCCAAAATCAGTTTGAAATGGAATTTTACAAAGAAACCAAAAAAATAATGAGAGACAAACATTTGAGAACCAAAACAAAAGCCGGACTTGTTTTGATGTTCTTCAGCTATTTATTGCAAGATGCAGAGAGATCTCATATGATAGGTAAGCACAAAGCACACGAAAATGTCTGAACCCCGAAAAATGAAGCTTCTAAACGGTGATTCCAAGGGACTTCTTGAATTTCTCTACCTCTAAGTAGACAGTTGAGTAAGGTAGAAACTCAGAGAAGTAATCTCCGCTTAAATGGTTGATGGCTACAGCAAGTTTTGGGATCTCTACGGTTTCTTCATTAGTTAGAGTTCTTATGAACCTTGCTGGATTGCCTCCCCATAGTTCACCTGATGGGATCCTTCTTCCAGGCGGCACAACCGAACCTGCTTCCAGGATTGAGCGGGTCTCTACCAGCGATCCTTCCATTAGTATTGAGTGTTGACCGATAATGCACTCTGGTTCGATAGTACATGATCTCAGAAGACTGTATGCACCCACTGTCACATACCTGTCGATCAATGTCTCTGCTGGTAATCCTGAAATTTAAATAGACAGTAACCCTAGAATCAAATTTTGAATTTTATCATATCACAAGTAAGAAGTGGAGAAAAGAGTAAAGATTTAGTGTAATATGTAAAACAAACCAAGACCTGTTCTATCTTGAAAGATAGACTAATAGTTTTGTCAGTGTGACCAAAAACATCACTAACAAATACTGTTTGTATAGGTTCAACGATAACTCAGTGTGTTTCAGTCCAAATACAATCTCAAAATTCAGATCGTGATCAAACCACAATGTTCTCTCTTCAACAGCTGCTATTTATAGAACTTTGACATGGACCCTTTCACCAAGTTTGGAGCAAAATCAATCTCACATCCATGTGATACAGCTTAAACACCATAGAATCCCACTTCCAGTAGCAAGTAATCAGAAAAGCAATTCCTTGCAGATTTCTCTCAAATCCCAAAAATCCTTATTGAGACATTGTTCCCAAATTTTTCCTAGGAAACTTCTTACTGCTGTACAAGATGATCGTGTGTGGTAGACTGGTAGTATCTACCGAGCTAATCTATTCAACTCAAGATATTAAGCTCAAGCACATATCTTCAGTCAGTTTCTCACCTAAAGAACTAGGCATTTACACGCAGTAATGCTCAAAAGAATGAAAACAATAGCCAAAGCGCACTGAACGATTCTTAAAGCAAGAAATTCTGTACACAAGAGAACACTATTTTATAGAACCAATTTACTTAACTATACGTCTAAGCTTTTGACTCTTCCATAAGCTTTTGATAGCTGAAAATAGACGATAAAAAAATCCCTAAATCCCAATTAACATTGTCTTGATTCCACCAGCAATAACTAAAAAGTAATAAACCCAGGAATTGGATAAGCAGAACACAAATTTCCCAAAAATGGAGGAAACAATAACCTGTTGGGGACGACCACGCGGCATGGACAACACACCGTTCTTGTACTGAACAGCTACAGAGCCGCAACTACAGATCCGCAAATCCAACTACACATCAGAAAAAGATACATGACACATCAATAATCATGAGAGCAGTGGCAGCGACCGGTAAGAACTAGAGACAAGAGCTAGGAAACCAAATTAGCATCTTTATATGAGAGCAAGAAACTTTTCTACACTATCCAAACTCAGACAAAAATCAATCCATACATGCATTATCTAGTAAAGAATCTAGTAAATAGACTATCTTGTAATGAATCGACGCGCCACTCGTCTGCATATTCCCAAATTCAACCACTCGACCTCCCGCCGGAGTTTTTGTTTTGTTAAGAGACGAAGCTTCTCGTGTGATGTGAAGGTTAATGGTGTGGTGACGAATTGTTGATACCCACGTGGACATACTTTAGTTTTATTTAAAATATTTTTTATTTTGGGGGAAAATATTTCGAACAACGTGAGACTTGTAGGCTGTGAGGTTTTTGGCCCAGCATGCTTTTTCATATCTAATGTTTTAAGTTTAGTGAGTCCATCCATACATGGAGCTAAGATGCTTTTGGTAACTGTGTTGTGACATCAATTCATTGTACTTTCTTTCTTTTAACATCAAAATATTCAACACTTAATAAATATTCAACACTTTCGTCATGATAATTATAATTTCTGTCAATCAGGGATGGAAAAAATTCCTTAAAAATACATTGTTAAAATGAGACAGAGCGTATAATTTTATTTCATTTATTTTTAATATAGAGGCTTTTACTTTTTAATATCCAGATAGAACATATAGATCTTTTAGTCTCATAATTAAATTTATCTGTTTTAAGAAAAATTCAGTTTCAAATTGCTAAAAAGAAAGAGTAAAGGCAAATCGAATTACCAAACATAAAAATAAATCCATAATGTAATCAACTCGTGTGTAATAATGGCCATAAATAGCGTAATGACGGTAACACCCTTTTGCCAAATGGGTAACAAATCTCTAAACTACTTGTCAAATATTGAGGATAGCATTGTAAATGACTAAAGATAAGAAATCAATAGTAATATATTGCCAAAATAAATCGAAAGACCAAAATTAAAAAGGTAGCAATCTCCCACATTCGGGAGGAAAGACCAAAAAAAAAACGTTTTAGTTTTACAGAGAAAATCACAGAATATTTCTTTCTAATTTTCCCATCACTTTCCCGGGAGAATCTCTATAATCTTTTCTCACAAATCGTCGTTTTCCCTCTTGCCGTTATCTTTCTCACGAACATTTGAGAAAAGAGCATCTTCGAGACGGAACTAATCCTAACTTGGTTTAGCTCAGTTTTCAATCCCAGAATCCGTTTGTTGACCCGACGAATTTTCCTGGTAATAGCTTTGATTTCACGAGTTTGTGATCCTTAGTCTTTCTTCTAAACGCGTTTGCTTGATTAGTTACGCCTTCAGAAAACTTTCCTTGTTCGAATTTGTTAATCATGAAATTGATTTCCGTAAGCGTTGACGATTCCGAGGGTTTGATTTCTTCAATGATTATACAGTAGAAATGGCTTGCCAAGGCGGGGCTCCAAGACGACTGCGTCATTACACGGAAAGAAGAAATCCATGGAAATTGGCGAACGAGGTCCCGACACTGGCCGGAGATCTTTTACTGTTTCTCGTTCTCCTTTGTAAGTCTCTTCTGCTTTGTGATGTTAGATTCTACGCGTGATTTTTGTTTCCTTTTAGAAACAAGTAAAATTAGTTCTAGTTTTGTTCTCTTTCCATTGAAGCTTTTGTGATTTGGCTTTTTAATCTTCTTTATGTGATCATTTGGATTTGGAGGGTTTAACAGGAGGCGAGCGGACTGTTAAACGGTTAAGGCTATCGAAAGCTCTTACAGTACCAGCAACTACAACTATATATGAGGCTTGTAAAAGGATGGCTTCACGACGAGTTGATGCCTTGTTGTTAACTAACTGACTCTAATGAAATGCTTTGTGGGATTCTTACAGATAAGGTATGTCACTATGACTGCGCCAAGCATTGTAAAAAGTTGAGACTTCATGATCTGTGTGTGTGTATGTCTTCTTTCTTGGGATGTCAGCACCTAGCTACAAGAGTGTATAATATAATGTCCAAGTATCAACGATGACGTAGAATAAAACGAGGGCTTCAACGAAAAGCATGTAAATCACTAGAAGGGGGTACACCGTCGTCATCTCTTCAGTTCCTGCAATAGTACTATACCACGAGAAATTCCCTAGGCAGCCGAAAGTTGTATATATATGCTCAACCATGAAATAGAAATTTACTTCCTGATTGATTTATGTTAGCATTAGGATTTAGGATACCTTATAACAATTAACAAATACCTAAGATAATAGAAATTTTCTTGTGTTTTAAGTAATGATCTGGAGTGTATTTTTCATCACAAAGATAGCACAATCCCTTAGCCCTTCTGGCACTCATTTCTTCTTGAGATAAAAATTTTCTGACAGGTTTCTTGATATCAGTGTTGTTGATGTTCACTTGCTCTGAAGAAGGAGGAGAATACTCCCTTTTAACAGTTGATAAGGGTCTATGAACAGTGTGTGAACTTGTATTCCTGCTGTTAGACCATTGAGTTGATGTAGTCTTAGGTGGTGGGTGTGCTTTCTCATAAAGCTTCCCAAGCAAATAACATTGTTTAATCGAGAGAGGCTCAAACATACGAATATGCATTTGTGTATCCACCCTTAATCCAGCAAGGTAAGCACTCACAAGATAGTCTTCAGGGAGATCCACTCGATTCTTAATCAGTTCAAATTTATCATGATAATCCACAATTCCAGATGTCTCTTGCAATTGTTTCATCTCAGAGATGGGATCATCCAACAAATCCTCAAACCTATCCAACACTTCCAATTTATAAGATTCCCAATCCTTCAAGACTCTTTTACTTCCCGGAGTGTGAAGCAAAGATCTATGCCATGTAGCCGCTTTTCCGTCAAAATGTAAGGCAGCCATCCTCACTTTCATGTCCAATGGTGTGTGATCAACCTCAAAAAATTCCTCCACCTGAAACAACCAATCACGAGCACGTTCACCGTTGAACCTGGGGAAATCCACCTTTCCGATGCGTGTGAATCCTGCATAATAAGGCGGTGGTCCCGATCTATAACCCTGGAACTGTTCTGAACTTCCATCACCAGAACTCGGCGTCGCCGATACTGCCGGAAAGTTCTTAGCCATCCCCAGTTTTCCACTTGAAGAAGTCTGATTTGACTTCATCGATTTAACAATTTCTAACATATCGGCAATGTTTTTATCATTTTTCTTATTTTGCTCAGCTACCGATACCTCTAAAGCTTGGGTTCTGTTGAGAATCAGGTCTAGCCGCGATTGGATCGTCTCTTCCGTGGCGTGATCTAACTCCGAAGCTTCTTCTTCCACCGGATTGTTTTGCAACGAACGAGATCGTAACTCCCCCACCATCGTTTCCGAGGATTAGTGGCTCTGATACCAGTGAAATCGTAAAAACAGAGTAAGAGAATTTAAGAGAACTTCTGAATATTATTAAGATAAATGGATTACAACGTTCAAGATAAACGCGGCACCATCTTCTCACCTGCAAGATCCCGTGAAGGAAATCCGGCAAAACGATGAGGAACAACCCAGAAACTTCTAGAGAAGTACAGAGAAAATAAGTTTTTGCATAATAAAACTGTGAGCTAACATTTGCTCATATACTGCGTAAAAGTAACGACGTTAACAACGACTTCCGTCACAGAGAATCTTTTAGCCTCCAGCTCACCACTCCGCACGTGCCCTCCGACTTCACACGTGTGTTGTTGACCTTCTAGAAAGCTATATCATTTTATTTTCTAGATCCAGCTAAATATATATATCGAACCGGATGGAACGATATCGCTTGGGTCGGTTAAGTCTTTAAAAATTCCACCGAACTATTACTGTATTATTATTACTCTTTAAAAAAAAATTCCACCCAACTATTAGAGTTTAACACTCAAAATTTGTGCTTCCATTGGGTTGATTATTTTAAATTTAGGGTTAGTATTTAAGGGATATGGTTTAGTATTTGGAATTTAGAATTTAGGGTTTGAAAATTGAAAATTTAATGTTAGTTTGGTAGTATTTTTGTTCAAAAAACAAAAACAATGGTATTTTAGAGAATTGCCCAATAATACTAACCACACCCAATAGAAAACACACAAAAAATATATATTAACCCATCCTGACACAATTTACATTAACTCTACATACAGTATGTGTTTTATATCTATATATACAGATAAGGAAACAAAGATGTTTCAATACCAATTGTCCTGGTTTTGTCTTAGTGAATTCCCAAATCCCTCTTGGTCTTGTCTTCAAGGTGTCCAAACCTGACGCGATCAGTGGCGGATCTAGGAAAATTGTTTGATGGTGTCAAACTTACAAATGAGTTGAGTTCTAATAATTGAGTTGGGTTCAAGCTTCATAATTAAACTGATATATATTAAAATTTTAATGTAATTAAAACGTTTTTAAAATTTTAATGGTGTCAAATGCACCCACAATCATTAACGTGCCTCCGCCACTGGACGCGATAATGGAAAATAGATTTTACATCGCCCGAGTAAGTATAGCTCATTATACATGTCAATTATACTTCAGAATTCAGATAATATAATCTAGTGACTTGTCAAATAATTTTTTGGTTTTATTATAATTCTAAATTACAAGGACAATATAAGTGGGAACTGGTGGTTAACATTGGGTAAAGACATAAGCATAGGTTTCTGGCCAATTCAAACTCTGGTAGGTTTAGGTGATAGTGCGACTGATATTTTCTGGGGCGGAGAAATTATCAGTGTCCCGAACTCAAAGAGTTGTCCGATGGGTAACGGCCAAACCATGACGGGTCCATATCCGAAACTATATGCATATGCACGCGGTGTGTCGGTTCTTGATGGAAATAAAGGAACACTTGTGTCAATAGATCATAGAAACGATCTTGTATCAGATATCGGTTTGAGTTATGTTCTACAAAGTCTTGATGGTTGGGGTAAAACCGTTTTCTTTGGTGGTCCTCCAGGTGTTTTTGGAAGATAATGTAATATTTATAACTAGGTGAAGGTGATGATGCCTTGGATTACATTCAACTCAAAAATAAATAAAATTTTAAAATAAGAGAAAATTTTGCTATTTAAATCATAAATTTTATCATTGATCGCCAAGTAACTCCAACATGTGCTCCACTGCAAGTACTAAGAGTGGAACTTGAGGGCATACGAAGAAATAGATTCAACAGACGCTCAAGTTAAGAAAACTTAAGACAATGTACTGTATATATTTGGCTTACAATCTTAGTATTGTTTAGATTCTCTCGGTTCAAGTAGTAGAACAACATAATTCACATCCTATTCGTTTATGATGATGTCTGAGGAACAAATTGTTGACGGGTATTCATCGAGCTTGTCGGAGGATACCAACTTTCCGATTTGACTCCAAATCCTTCTCCGGCTTTATCTATTAATTATCTAGCCAAGGTGGCCACCACCTTTGCCATGGGTGTGACTTCTCATTCTCTGTGTAGGCGCTCATAATTTGAGATGTTTTACAGAGTGAATAAACACTAAAACTTGTCAAATCAAATATCAATGACAATAGTTTCAAACACAAGGTATTGGGTAGCTTTGATGGGAGCATAAAGCATCAACTTATATATCAACGGGTTTAAGCCAAAGCATGAATCAAGCCAATAATAAAGGACAAGAGCAACTTCCCCAATAGGAAGAGCATCAATGGTACCGTAGAACAGAAATCAGTTTTGTACTTTCCGCTATACGTAGACAGAAACACTTGTACGAGTGGTCGAATCCTTAGTCTAACTGATACACAGCCAAAATTACACAAGTTTTTATCAAAACTCTCTTGCACTTCATTCAAGATCATACCCTTTCTCTTGAAGTTCAGTCATGACCTCATTCCTCATTCTCAGCCACAGTTTCTGAGCCTCTTTATCAAACTTCTTCTTCTCCATTTCCTTTTGATAATTATCGGCTTCACCTTCGGACTCAACAATCCCTTTAGGCCCGATCGCTGTACCGATCATCCCTCCCTTTGCAACAAAATCCTCCATTGCCTCTGTATCACCAGGATAAGGAAACTCACGCCGCTCATACAAATGAGCCAACTCTCTCTCCTCCTTTGGTCTCGGCTTCAACGTCCACCAACCCAAAGGAGACGTTTCATTGTATATCCAAGCGATACCAAAGATTGTGTAAGTGCAAAGCAATGCTTTTCCCACTTGTTTCCAAAAAAACATATCGTCACGCCCTAACCCAACCTTCTTCAGGTACTTGTTAGCATCCATTGACTTCAAAGCCTCTATTCCTATCACCAAAAATAACCAACCAAGTCAAAATGAGATTTCGTTGAGGCATTTCATCGAACACCTTATGTGACACCATTAACTTAGATTACACCAACAACTAGAAGTCGAAACCTTTGATAAAACCCAACAATTTCCGGAGATATACACGAATATAAGACAGTGATTTCATGGATCAATTCCCATTTATTTCATCGACGTATATAATTCGAGAAAAGACAGAAGAAAGACGAGATTCGATCGGGATTAAAGGAGAGTATGGTAGAAAAATCTCTCACCAGTTTTAGCCTGTTGAAACTGTTTCCGCACCATCTTCTTCCCCGGAGAGCTAAGAGCTACGAGCAAGCTTCTGTACGATGATCAACGAGCTAAGCCCAGCCACATTCAGAAATTAAAGCCGAAGAATTTCGATCTCAGACTAATAACACAGAAAAGCTCCATTATTACGTTGTCCTTTAGAAGATATTGGGCCTATTAACTTTGTTTGGGCCTTATTATTTACTATCATTTGTACAATTGTGGTTTCGACGTTGCGGGTGTAATTTAGTAACGATTCGATGTCGTTTCGTTAATGTCTAGCCTCCGAATTAATTTTGTGGATAACAACTGTCGAGAATTCAATAATTGGATTAGATGAGCTGTTAAATAACAACCAAGAAGTAGCGTTTAGCTTTACCTTTCAAAAGAATTATATAAATTGTCAATCATACTCTTTTTCTTCTAACTAAACATCTCTTCTACTAGTTTCAAACGCAAATACCAAACCAAATGAGTTTCTTTTTTATTGCGTTTGACATTTACGTTTACAATTAATTATAATCAAGTTTCCTTAAGATGTTCAAGCTTATGAGTTTGTTTGAAAAAAAACATGAACGCGAACGTCATAGGCATTATTTATAATGACTTCATTAAATTACACACCAAAAAAAAAAAAAAGGAGATACAAAAGAGCCAATGTGGGTGAGTTTAGTTAGATGGAGGATGAAGTTAATTACTTAACCCTAAATACGGTTGAGCGACCAGATCACCTAAGCCCTTTTGACCTGTAAAATCTCGTTTCTTGATCTTCAATTTTACTGTCAATATATCTAATCTAACTCGAATCATATTAAGTAGAAGCAAGTCTTTCCATCTTCTTCTTTCTTCTTCCGGTAAGTTCCCTTCAACGACCTTACGACATTTTCAGGACTCTTCCTTCAACCTAACAAGTAAGAAATCACATGAAATTTTCTTCATACCACAGCTAGCTTGCTTTCATAGTACGTCCACACACACACACAGACTAGTTTAAACCATCGCAAACATCAAGACAAAGAGAGCTTCGAGACTAATGGCTATTCCAAGACGGTTTTGTATCTGCGTCCTAACGCTCTTTGTGTTCCTTCTTCTGTCGCCCACCACCGTTCACTCCATAATCCGACATTACAAATTCAATGTAAGCCTTTAGCCTTCCCTTTATATACATGTACGTCTATGTAATTAGGTGTGTATTTGCACACAATAGTATCTTTTTATCGAGTTCGAATACCAACAATGGAAAAAAGACCAATCATATTAATTATGTCTCCGGTATGACTTATGAGCATATTTTGAGCCTAAAACCTATAGTTCTTTGGTTATGCTGCATGCAAGATAATATGTCTACATACGCTTAGATTATCTAATCTAACGGTTGTCGCATAAGGATTCATGCATGAATAAGATCATGCAGTATGTACTAAGCGTAAGAATTAAAATGTGTATGTACTAGGTGGTGATGACGAACACCACGAAGCTGTGCTCGTCGAAGCCTATCGTCACCGTCAATGGAAAGTTTCCAGGGCCCACCATTGTTGCAAGAGAAGACGACACTCTTTTGATCAAAGTTGTGAATCACGTGAACTACAACGTCTCCATCCACTGGTGAGCAACCTCAAACAAACCCATCTTATTTGAAGATACTAGTGAAAGCAGTCTCTTTCTTTGATTAACTTTAACAATGTTAGACCCAACAACTAACTAACAATAACGGTATAGGCACGGCATAAGACAATTGAGGACAGGGTGGGCAGATGGACCGGCTTACATAACACAATGTCCTATCCAACCGGGACAGAATTATCTCCACAATTTTACATTGACGGGTCAACGAGGAACCCTATGGTGGCATGCTCACATCTTGTGGCTTCGTGCCACGGTGCACGGCGCCATTGTCATCTTGCCTAAGCTCGGTGTCCCATACCCTTTCCCTAAGCCCTACAAAGAGAAAACAATTGTTCTTAGTGAGCTACTACCCAAAATCCAAAACACAGCTTTATTTAAAGGATTCTCTCTACAATTATACTTATTCTTCATAATATATAGGTGAATGGTGGAAATCGGACGTGGAAGAACTTATAAACGAGGCTTCAAAAATTGGAACAGCTCCTAGCGCTTCTGATGCACATACCATCAATGGTCATTCAGGCTCCATCTCTAATTGTCCTTCCCAAAGTAATCATTTACCAATAATCCTAATTTCATAACCCCTTTTAATTAAGTAATTCTCTCTTCTATTTACTTCTAATTATACCATCAAATTATGACACAACGATGACACTAATACAACATGCACTAATACAAACCACTACATTACATGTTCCGGTTTTTCTTTTGATTTATTTCGCTCTTTTAACTTGTAGGTAGTTACGGTTTACCGGTGAGAGCAGGAAAGACGTACATGTTACGGATCATCAACGCGGCATTAAACGAAGAGCTCTTCTTTAAAATTGCTGGTCACGTACTAACCGTTGTAGAAGTTGATGCTGTTTACACCAAACCGTATAAAACTGACACAGTCTTCATCGCCCCGGGACAGACTACTAACGTTCTCTTAACAGCAAACGCAAACGCTGGTTCCAATTACATGGTCGCCGCCACAACATTTACGGACGCTCAAATCCCATACGACAACGTCACAGCCACCGCCACTCTCCACTACATCGGCCACACTGCCACCGTTTCTGCCTCCAAAAAGACCGTTCTCGCATCACTTCCGCCGCAAAACGCAACATGGATTGCGACCAAATTCACTAGATCACTCCGGAGCTTGAACTCCCACGAGTATCCGGCTAGGGTTCCAACAACCGTGGACCATTCCTTGTTCTTCACGGTAGGTCTTGGTGCAAACCCTTGCCAGAGCTGCAACAACGGTGTTCGCTTAGTGGCCGGAATAAACAACGTAACGTTTACCATGCCTAAGACCGCTTTGCTCCAGGCTCATTTCTTTAACATTTCCGGCGTATTTACCGATGACTTCCCGGCGAAACCCTCGAATCCGTATGACTATACGGCACCGGTAAAGCTCGGCGTTAACGCTGCGACGATGAAAGGGACAAAGCTTTACAGGCTTTCATACAACGCGACAGTGCAAATTGTTCTGCAGAATACAGCGATGATCTTGTCCGATAACCATCCGTTTCATCTTCACGGGTTTAACTTCTTCGAAGTTGGTAGAGGTTTGGGGAACTTTAACCCGGAAAAAGATCCGAAAATGTTCAATTTAGTGGATCCGGTAGAAAGAAACACCGTTGGAGTTCCAGCCGGTGGTTGGACTGCCATTAGATTCATCGCCGACAATCCAGGTAATTAAATAATACAGTATATATATACAATTTAATATAATGCCTAGAAGTGTAGCTAATTGTTTAATAGGGATTGGTTCTTTTTTTCGTTATACATAAAAAAGTTGTTATACTTTACTCTTTGTCAAACAGTTTTTGGCTTTTTCAATCACGAATTATTTTTTTAGTGTTTATTATTCTTGTAGCTAATTATTTATTCGAATATTCGGTCCAACTTGGTAACGTGTTGTTTTTGGGGTAATTGATTTGTTTATTTTGTTACATATATATATATGAAGGGGTATGGTTCATGCATTGTCACTTGGAATTACATACAACTTGGGGATTAAAGATGGCATTCGTCGTCGACAATGGGCACGGCCCTGACCAGTCATTGCTTCCTCCACCCGCCGATCTTCCCAAATGTTAGAATATTTTATTTAGCAAAAAAAAAATGTTAGAATAATTATGTTCTTTTATTATTTGTTTCACTTCTTATTTTTGTGGAATTTTTATCTAGAGGTACTTTTGGGAAATAATTGCTGTGGTTTCGTGGATCACTCACAAATTTTTCTTATATGTAATTAAAAAAGGGAAGATAAAAGGGAAATTGTACTTTTATAATGATTTTTTTTTCCGGACAGCGTTATTCACTTATTCTTCTGCTTTGGCTTTTTTACTTCTACTTTTTTGACAATTTCTGTTGCAACTTGTCAAGTAGATTTACCACAGAGGAAACATAAATAAAAGAAAAACCATACGGAGCTTAATGAAATCGTATAATATTATGAATTTATAAATGTCAAATGTCACGGATCGTCTTTGGCAAAATCAAAAGGTTCTGTCGGTGTTCCTTGAAGTTGTTAGTTAAATGATTTTTTTTTCTGTTTATAATTTACACACGAATATTGTCCAATTAAGTCGTCATAATCTCTCACCATTAGACTATATTTCTTTTCCCTTATTTTCCTCTCTATTTCAACATTTCATAACCCTCACATCTTGGAAGTCCTAAAAAGCTCCAAGACATTGGAATTTAAAATCTAATAGACACTTCTGTGAAATACAAAATGATAGAGAAAGTTGATGTAGCAGATTTTGGGAGGGTAAGTTGTGTAACACAAGAGGGCGTCGTATTGAACTCATAAAACGCAGATGTGGAAGGTAGCTCATATGTAACCATTTGATTGGATACTTCTGTTTTTTTTTGGTAAGAACTTCTGTTTGTTCATATGAATAAACAACTATTTACATGTGTATAACTATAAATTATCGAGCTATACTGGAATCACAATTTCCATGACAATATCATAATAATAACTTTTATATGAGTAAATAAACAAATTGTCAGGGAATTGATTCCAAAAGATTTTGGATGTTTCACCCATTTCGCAAGACGTTTGCCCCTTGGTGCACTAAAACCTCAGTATGATTTTTAATTTCCAGTTTAAACAGATTTCTGAGTTATTCCTTGCTTGAAATATTAGTCTATAATAATACCAATATTAGTATGTAAATTAATAAAAGAGTAATTATTTTGGAAGACTTCTATTAATGGGAAAAGTTGTTTGGGGAATATTATTAGTTGTTCCAAAAATGGCAAAAACTACTATTCAATTATTGCCATTTGCCATGCCTCTCCAACATTTAGACCTTCCCCTGCATATACCTCCTTGTAAGTCCAAAGGGGCAATCAGAATTCCAAAATAAATATAATACGGTTAGGATGTGAACATCCTGTTCATTAAGAAACTTGATTAAATCATTAATATGCCAAAGGAAAACATGCATATATTACAAATTCTGACAATGACATACATTATATTTTTTGGCAATCTGGCAACCACACATCATACATAGAATTAATTTAACAGTTTTTTGGGGGTTAAAGAATTAGTTTAGCATTTTTTCATATATGAAACATGTGCAAAAGATTTTAGAATTGACGATTTCATTCTTAGTGATATGATCACTTCGATATCCTTTAATTCATATGAAATGACATTAGATGGTTTAAAAGTGTTTGGTCAATCCTTTTTTGGCAATTGAGTAATTCCGAAGCATGCATTTTCTAATTTTATTAAGATTAACATGACATAGTTTTTTTTTTTTTTTGATAAGATAACGTATTGGAGAAACTTCTAATTAGACTAATACAAAAATTGTAATTGAGAAATACCAAGTGTCAATAAATCAATTGGTAAAGTCTAGATGTCGTCGGTTTGAGTGACGCTTGAGATAAGACTATATAAAATGTTTTAATCTCTGGTTTGAGGGGATATATAAACCTAGGTCCATAACTTTTTAGTTATTCATAAGAAAAAAATGATTGGGGGACAAAACTTTTTCTCTAATAGTATATGATCAAGGTCAATTTAAACATTTTGAACTGGATTAAGTTGATATAGTAATATATTATTCTCTTAAGTACGGTATAGTACCATTACCGGCCACGTAACACAAGCTTACCAGCGTAAAACAATAATCTCTTTGACTAAAATGTAATTAATTAATTAGGGCTCCCTAAACACTGTAATTAGGACATTTTAATATATATCTATGTGATCCGTGAGATGAGGAATGTTATGTTGTACGAAACTCGGTAATGGATTTCTTTGACATGTTCCAAGATTCTTCATAAAATAAAAGAAAAAACATAAAAAAAATATGTGAAGTAAAATCATTATGGTATTTTGAATAAAAGACAACTCATGCGATGGTCAACTATTGTGATAGAAACTTCTTAGCAAAAAAAAAAAACTATTGTGATAGAAACTCAACCATAAAATCAATTTGACATTCTTGATAAATGAACTTTTGCTGCTAAAGGGAATAAATTAAGAGATACATGGTAGTTTAGTGATGTACCATTTAACCATCTTGTAAAATACTACAGTATACTCTTTCTTTTTCATTTATCATAAAGTTTTATCTAATGCAGTAATTTATACGAAATTTCTTATGTTAAATGTTGATTTATTCCAAAAATCTGTTTCAAAAATCGATCTGATTACTAATAACCTCCATAGAATCTCTGCTCCAAAACACCACTATGAACGTTACCAAACCAAACCAATTTTGGAGCAATCGAAGATCTCACGTGTCCACACCTCATTAAATCACAATGAATAGATCTAACGTCTAGGAATCAGCCACGTGAACAAATCATAATGGAGAAGACAGATTCCTCGAGATCTTGAAAAACAGAAAAAAAAAAAAAAAAAACAATAAAATAGAGAGGACCGACCAATGATAATGCAAAACGCGGATCTCACGTGGACCCCTTTGTACAACTTGGCCATGTAAGTTACCACTGATCTCGACCGTTCATTTGGCGGCTCCTTTTTCCCCATCTGACACATAAAATCCCAATTTGCCAATATTAAATAAACTGTACGCAATCAGTGAATATAAAGATTATAAAAGTACACAGAAGTATCATCAATAACGTATACTCCCTCCGTATTTTAATAATTGTCGTTTTAGAATTTTTATTTTTTTGAATTGGATGTCGTTTTCAAATTTCTATGCAAAATTTCTTACTTTTTAATGTTTTATGACATCATTTAAAATGTGACATTTGGTATATAGAGACGATTGTGAACAATTTTTTATTTCAATTTTATACATGTTTTACTTTAATCATGATCTATTTTTATTTCCAATATATAATTGAAGTGTCCATTTAAAACGACTAGATTGATAAAATTTCAGCCATTTTACCCAAAACTGAGTATGATGTATTGACTGTTAAGCAACTATGTAAGGTGACAAAAAAGTATAAAGGAGTAAAAAAAAAAAAGAATCAAATCTTTAATTTTATGCAATATATAATAGTAATTATAAATAAACAGTATCACTCAAAGATTAATTTCTCAAGAATAGAACTATAATAGGAGCCCAAATCATCACTTCCTTTCTTTGCCTACTTCTCTCGTTTTTTTACTCGAGAAAAGTTTATAATTTGGTTTCTGGTTTTAGTTTTCTTTCCATTTATGGGCTCATTTGCTTCTTCTTGCACGTTATAGTTTTCCTAATTGGGTAAGCTCCAAGGTAGCTTCTTCAATATTAATTTCCTTTTTTCATTTTCCGTAGCCATATGTTTATTTTCCCGAGAAATATTATCCACACCCAGATTTAAATCTCTTTTAACTCTGAGTCTCTGATACTTAAATACCACTCATGCTTATTAGCTCCACCAAATCTGGAAAACCAATAGATTCGTTTTATTTCTTCTGCAAAATCTCAGAGCTACCCTAAAAATTCTCTCTTTTTGACTCACTTACCAGATCTCGACTAGATTTTACTCAATTCATTTTCAAAAGGTTAAAACTTTTATAGATTCCTTGAAGTGGGTGTGGGTCTAAGCAATGCTTCAAAGAAATTCCTATGGTTTCTTCTCTAAACAAAATAAAAATGAAGTATCATTTGCTAGTGATTTTTGTGTTCTTCCTTTGATTCTCTTATCTCTTCCTTCCCATCAATAAACCCAAAATTTTAATATTATCTTTGGGATCTTATTGATCCCAAATTCGTAAATCCGTTGACCTTTGTCGGTATGTTTTGTTCTTACTTATCGTAAAAAAATTAAAAAGAAAACAGAGCTAGGTTTTAGTTTTCGGACATGGAGATTCTGAGGCCGACGACGTCACACGTGTCCGGTGGGAAGTGGCTTATGGATGAGACTAAGAGCGCCGTCGCAGCTTCTGGCGAAGGTGCCACGTGGACGGCGGCGGAGAACAAGGCATTCGAGAATGCTTTGGCGGTTTACGACGACAACACTCCTGATCGGTGGCAGAAGGTGGCGGCGGTGATTCCGGGGAAGACCGTGAGTGACGTCATTAGACAGTACAACGATCTGGAAGCTGACGTCAGCAGCATCGAGGCCGGTTTAATCCCGGTCCCTGGTTACATCACCTCGCCGCCTTTCACTCTAGATTGGGCCGGTGGTGGTTGTAACGGGTTCAAACCGGGTCATCAGGTTTGTAACAAACGGTCTCCGGCCGGTAGATCGCCGGAGCTGGAGCGGAAGAAAGGCGTTCCTTGGACGGAGGAAGAACACAAGTAAGTCTCTGTTCTTTATTCCGGTTTATTGGGAATTGACATTAAACCGGAATTAGATGATTTTATACCGGAATGGTAAAAATTAAATCTATTTAAGAATCAGCTCAGTGGTGAAATTGACATAAATGTTGGCCACTAATCATGCAAAGTAGTAAAATAGTTGAACATAAATCATGATTCGTGACACGAATTGATTAAATTTATTTGGAAAAATATCCAATATTTACATTACTAGTTATTAAAAATGACAATTTGATAGTATAAATGTATAATATTATGTGGTATATAACTTTATGAAAATATCTTAGATTAGATATTTGTAATTAACAATCCGGCTATTTCTAATTGGCTTGAACAAATGCATGCATAATCGTAGTATGATTCACGATTATGCAACACTGTCTAGCTACAAAATCTTGCCTAATCACATATATAACCCATCAAACCTAGATTGAACAATTTATTTGGGTGAAGATTCAACATTTACATTTTGATATTGTTTTGTAATGTATGTAAATATATTTGATTCAATATTTGTCACAATTCAGGCTATTTCTAATGGGTTTGAAGAAATATGGGAAAGGAGATTGGAGAAACATATCTCGGAACTTTGTGATAACACGAACGCCAACACAAGTCGCTAGCCACGCCCAAAAGTACTTTATCCGGCAGCTTTCTGGCGGTAAGGACAAAAGACGAGCAAGCATTCACGACATAACCACCGTGAATCTCGAAGACGAAGCCTCTTTGGAGACCAATAAGAGCTCCATTGTTGTTGGAGAGCAGCGTTCAAGGCTAACCGCGTTTCCTTGGAACCCAACGGATAACAATGGAACGCATGCGGATGCTTTCAACATAACGATTGGAAACGCTATCAGTGGCGTTCACTCGTACAGTCAGGTTCTGCTTGGAGGGTATAACAATGCAGATTCTTGCTATGACGCGCAAAACACAATGTTTCAACTATAGCTAATGGAGATCCATCTCTCTAATTGAAGGGTGTAAGTGAAATTCTTAATTTTTCATATGGACGAAACAATCATATTTGGCAATTGTACAATAAACGTCCATTGTTTTAATTCCAAATTGAAATAGTTAATAAAAGCCTCGTGACAGTGCCTAAGTAATCTTTGAGTTAAATTGTTAATTGTTTCCTTTTGTTCTTTCTGACTCAGAGCTGTGTTATTTTACATGTAAAGTTTCAAATGGTTGCAAGTTGCAAAATAACAAGTGGTGTGACAGAATAAAAAATCGGTGCGGTTAACATGTTGAATGCCAAACTAAAACGATATACAAGTTAAGCCAAATTAAATCGTCTATAACAGCTTACGTTATATGCATATATACAACATAACTCCAACTACTAAGTCTACTCATCAACTTCACTTCTGGACCACCGATACGAAATGGGCTGTCACAGCTTCACATCTAATAGACAAAAGTTCATCGATATAAGATTCATGAACCGGCTTGAAGAGTAAACCGAGATTAATTAAACCTAACAAAACATCATTATCATATGTATATAGTATGACGCATACCAAAAAAAAAAACTAAATCCGGTAGTGTGCAGTGTTAGTTGTTGAGGGAAAAAAAATAAAAAAATTATGTAATACAAGTTGCAGGGAAAAAGTTCAAAGACACAAAGTTCAAACTTAATATCCAATATTTGTCGTTTAATGTTTGAATAACGTATAGATCACAATATGGCATTATTCGTTGTTCGTCTCAATCAACCAAACTATGCTTTCAACAACCACTTGAAGTTATAACAACGGACAATGTTTGAGAACAGTGCAATTAATTAAACTTTATAGTTTCTTTTTCTTTTTTTTCAATTTTTTTTTTAAATTTCATTTTTCCTTTTTCTAGACATTATAGTATGTAGACAGTAGACACTACATCTTAAAAAAAAATCTTACATTTTTTTTATAATCAAAGAATTTTGAAATTCAATCCATAAAAAAAAGTACAAGTCATTGGAATTCATTCCATAAACATAAATCTCTTTCTTAACTTTTGTTGATAGTTCAATTAATTGATATCTTTTGTTCATTGTTTTTATATGATATCTATAATTGAACTATCAACAATGATTAAACTAGAGATTTATTTTATAAAATAGCTTTTACGAAAAAATTAAAATTACTTAATTGACAAGATTTATAGTCTAGTACGTAGTTTGTGTTAGGGTCGGGTAGTCAATGTCTTACCGTCCCAATTAAAACTCGACAGAGAAAATTAAAATGATAAATTAATTCATCTTAACTAGTTCTTATAGATATTTTTTGGGACAGTTTGGTAGATGACCATATAAAAATCAGTGATAATATAATAAAACAAGTGGTACATTTTTTTCTGAGTGTTTAAGAAAATTTTACCTAAAACCGAAACTTCTACAAAATGTAAGATGATGATGTTATGTCAAAAACACACTCGAATTTTGTCATGTCAAGCCATCATACACCCATTTAAAAACCAACAGAAACAAAACTATAAAACCCTAAAAACTCATTCATTCAAATCTGTTTCTTCCCTGATAGCTCCCAGTCTTCAACTTGATTTCCCGATAACCTCCAAGGAATATTAAACGGGACTTGATATCCCGTAAACGGATTAACATTGAAACCCGCAGACCTCGGTACCATCGGTTCACGATTGTAATAAGGTTGTGCTTGCATCTGCATCAATTGAGTACCATCGTTTCCCTTTGACATCATCAAGCTTTGTGTTAAAGCTAAGTCTCTCCAGTTCTCCATGAGATTTGGGTCCATTTGAATCTGACCATCATGAGGTGAGATTAACGAGAAACCCATATTATTAGGGAAGCCTTGAAACTGTGGCTGCTCATGAAAATACTGTGGCATGAAATGTTGATCCATAAAATTCTGCGGGATTGGTGTGTCCATGGCTTGATGATGAACCCTATACATACTAAGATCCTGTCTCATTACAGCTTCATGTAACTTCTTATCCACGGCACAGAAAATCTCATGTAGTTGCTCTCGTGAACACTTGTCTAGCTTCTCCTCCCAATTACAATACTTATTCTCACGCTTCACTCTCTTTTTAGTCTCCACCTCGTTTGTCTTACCTACGTCGTTAACGAAAGTCTCCACGTTGGTTTCTTTCCTGCAGCTGGTCGACACTGTGTCTTTGTACTTGCGTATGATGTCCCTGACGTTGGTCTCGTCCCTCGGCCATATTTCTGGCTCGGGAACCACCTCATCGGTAGCCTTCGTGGGACCGTAGACGATGAGACATGTCTGGACGCCGCAGAGAGTTGAGAACTCTTGTGCCTTCTTGTAAAGACTAGCTTTCCTCTTCTTGTAAGTTGTTATCCTTGTCTTATCGTTCGCTATCCTTTGTAGGTCCACTTTCTTCGGAGCCATCCTTTGTAACCTGAGTTATTGTTATATATTACAGAAAAACATATAAACCTTCCCAAAAACAAAGTACAGAGAAATTGAATTGATATGTTTTGTAATACTTGTTAGTGTTTATATGAGTTTAGGCTTTCTAGTATTTTTCTCTAAGCCAAAACAATGATTTGAATCATCTTTTATGTTTATAGGCGTTTTGTGAATAGTTTGGTCTAATAAAAGCTCAAATTATGATCAAAACTACCCAAATTAAAGGCGTTTATATATGTTTTTTCTATGCTAACCCCACACGATCACAAACCATACGATAGTGCAAAAGAATTTTGAAACACCTTCACAAATAAATCAGAAAACGCAAAGCAATAGTCAAAATCCGAGAAATAGCTAGGAGCTAATTCTCGACACCCTCAAACCCAAATTAATACCACAACAGAACAAAAGAAAATGGAACGTGAAATAACTTAGAGCCAGAGCAAAATTAATGAACAAATGTATAAATTGTTTATGGAAAAGATAGTATCCTTACTTGATTATCAAAGCAAAAGTTTCAATGAGGAAACCAATTTTTGAAGCTTCTGTCGGAATAAGGGTGAATTGAGCTAATATATATGCGAGATTTTAAATATTGAGTTTGATTTAGTTTGTGTTTATGGAAGGTTGTCAAAGATCACGAGATATATCCTTTAAATGAATATGAGAGTTTAGGAAAGAAGAATTAAAATGGGGATATTTAGTTTGCCAAAATGGAAAATATACTAACTTGAAGATGCTTACCAAGAAAGACAAAAATGTTAAACACAGTTAAATTTATTTCTTTCCTTATTAGTTAGACGGTTTAATATTTATACACACATTGCAATCTTGTTATATATAGTGTTCACCTCATCCACTTTGACGCCGGAAACTCTTAGAGCCGTTGTGGACCGTACAATGCGAAACCGTCTTCTCTCATTTCCGGCGAAGGACCACTCGTTGTGAATGTCTCGATTGGATTCGTTTTTTTTTCAGGATATTGGTAGCTTAGGTTGTAATATGTTTTGCTAATACAATCTTTATCTTTAACAACAAAAAATGAAGAAGAGAAATGCATGCTATAGTCTTCTATTAGTATATTCATAGGATATAAACCATCTCTATATATTACAAAAAAATGAGTTACCTTTACAAGCTGTATAATCAAACAAAAAGGCCATGAAATAATGATACAACAAAATGTTTCACCTGTTATAAAATCAATCCATTTAAAAAGTATTCTTAACATATTTTCTTTGACAAGAATGTAGTTACTAACTTTTCCTTGTGGTGTATACCTTATGTGCAGCTTTACTTATATTCTTCATCATGATTCTGTGTGTATCATCAATGTGTTAATCTTCTGCAAAAAAGTAAGCATTTGGTTATAAACATAAGGAATATGAAACAATTTTCTGATCAACAATGATTTATTCTCCATTTTTGAATTACGACTAACCTAAGACTCTGTTTTCGTCTTTTGTTGTTTGGATCTCTGCATTTTGCATTTCCTCTATTACTTTCTTGGATTCTTCATCCTCTCTAGCGACTAAACCAATGTTATGGTGTAGTGATTCTAAATTAAGATCTAGTTCCTTTTCCATAGCTTCTCCAACTTGCTCATCAAGTTTCAGAATCACTTCATCATTTTGCATTTCCCCTCTCGCTTTCTTGGATTCTTCATCGTCTTCTCTAGAGACTAAACCAGTGTTATGGTGCAGTGATTCTAAATTAAGATCTAGTTCCTTTTCCATAGCTTCTCCAACTTGCTCATCAAGTTTCAAAATCACTTCATCATTTTGCATTTCCCCTATCGCTTTCTTGGATTCTTCATCGTCTTCTCTAGCGACTAAACCAGTGTTATGGTGCAGAGATTCTAAATTAAGCTCTAGTTCCTTTTCCATAGCTTCTCCAACTTGCTCATCAAGTTTCAGAATTTCTTCATCATTACTCTCACTAGAAGCTACGTCGTCGTTGGCTACTGCAGCAAATTCATCTGTATCAATAACTTGAGAGATGGCATTTGGAGCAATAACATCGTCTTTCTCTAGTTGTTGGGTGATGTCTAACGTTCTTGGTGATATCCCCTGGGAAGAATCTATACCACACTATTCAATAAATAAAGAAACAATTACTAAACTTAGAATCAAGAACCAACAACAGAGGAAAAAACTAGTACAATATATTATCTTAGTAAATGGTTGTACGTAGATAATTATGTATCATCACATATTCAATGAGTCAGATTTGTCTAAAATATGTCAAAGATGATTAGAATAGAAGTTGAAACCTGTTGAGTCCATGTTTGTGAATCTTGTGAGTTTTGAGTGTCGGCTAAAACTACTGATTCTTCCTCAACATTAGCTCTATTTATGTATTCTTGGGACGATTCATAAATATCTTTCAATAAATCTGATTTCTCTCCTTCTCGTGGTGAGTTATTAGCATCTTGGACTTGCAGAGGTATCACATCACTAGCAATTTCTGCGTTTCCATAGACCTCAACATTTGCTCTATTATTGTATTCTTCAGACGATTCACCATAAAAATCTTTCAATAACTCTGTTTTTTCTCCTTCCTTAGAGACCTCCTGATCAGTTGACTCATTTAGTGGTATCACATCACTAGAATTTTCTTCGTTTCCATAGTCATCAACCAACTGTGTATGAGCATGGCTCGAAGATGCTTCCACGACATTATGAGTTTTCTCTTCTTCTACTGACCTTGGTTTCTCATCAGTACATTGGACTAATTCCTGACCATTCTCTTCCATAATCTGATTTTCTGTTTGTTTTGTTGTTTCCTCAGTAAACTTGTTTAAGTTTGATTCTTCCTCTGCTTCTACCTCTCTCTCAAATGATTCTATATAGGGTGTGTCCAAAGAAGCATCCAACAAGCTCTTAATTTCCTCATCTTCTCCTTGAATGCTACTCAGCATTTGGTATTTCTGCTGATGATCAATGATATCTAAATCAATAATCTTAGGAGATCCACAAGGATCATCATTTTCTACTTGTTTCACATCAGCCACTTCTTCATCAATCAAATTCTTCATGGATGAATCCAGAGTAGTCAGAGATCTCTGGTCAGTTAGTTCTTCAGTCAAATTATTCAGATTCTCCGAGTTGCCCCCATCGATAAAGTCCAAGATTGTTTCAGGCTCTTCTGTTATAGACGACAATGAAGCACTTGTATGGAACAACATACCTTCAAATTTCCCAGAGCTTGTAGGCTTGGACACATCATTGGAACTAGAAGGTGTCTGCTCAAAAATCTCTTCGGTTTGGCTTTTTCTATCAAACAATGACATATCATCAACTGTTATAAGGTCTTCATTTACCACACAATTCTGATCTGGTTTGGCCTCATGTTTAGTCCCTGGCTCATTATTCTCCTCTTTTGATCCTATTCCACTTCTTGATTCATATTGGTGAGAGATCCTCTTGCGTGATTCTTCATCGCGGACGATTTCTCTGTCAATATCTGTATCATAAATGTAAGATTCCCCGCCATTAGACCAGTCATCAAGCCAATCAACTGTTGTAGGAGGTGAACCAATCTCTGAAACCTCAACTTGCATATCCGAGGCAACTGAAAATGTTCGACTGTGCGAATTTCCGCATTTTTGAGCATACAACATGTTGTTATCATCTAGTCTTGGCGCTACTAAACCTCTAGGCAATGTGGTTGGAATATTATTTTTTGTTTGGTTCACAAGGTAACTGGGATTATTATCCATCGATTGGCATATAGCTTCCCTGAGCTCGGCTTTGTTTAAACGGCTGAGTTCTGACTCACTCTCTTCTGAACAACTTGAATCATCAAATTCTTCTTTGTTTGAATCTGTCTCATTATCATTCATTTCTACCTCCCTTTCTTCGCTTTTTCCACTCACAACGCTTCTATTATCGCCGTCCTCTATTGTAGATTCTTTTTCATTAAATGGGAGATTTTGTTCAGTATGATCCATATATTCATTGTCCAAATCTGTAAACAAAAGAGAATACACATTATTCACAGAGCAAATACAAACACCAAAATTTAATAACCAGAAAATATTAGACCTTATACCTAAACGTTTCCTAGTAGTTGAAATGTCTGAAGCAGAAACTGGGCTGTTCATACACTGAGCATGTTCTGGTGAAAACAGAGCAAAGCGACAGAAGCTCTCATGACGACAAAGGAACATATCTTTCTGATTAAACAATGAAAATTCTTGATCAAAGCTATCTCCAGTAAGATTAGGTCTTTCTTCTTGAGGATCATAAGGAATGTCAAAAGGGTTTCTTCCTTGTAACAACACAGAAGGAGCTGAGCCTGGAATCTGTAATCCCTTAACAGTAGTACCATCTGATGAATTATATCGACGTTTTTCAAGTGAGTTCCTCGAAACCGTAACGTGAAGGTTGTTGGTGTTGTTCTGTCTAGGGCTAGTTGTTTCTTCAGCTTGAAGCTTATTCTTTTGATCTAGAGCTAGTCTAAAGAGTCGTCTCGCTCTTCTTCTAGCGATTAAACTCTCTAGTCTCTTGTTTCTCTCAACCTCTGAAATCCCATACTCATTAACATTACTCATCTCCTCTTTAATCTCTTCTTTACCATCTGATTCTCCATATTTGATCTCACAGTTGCAAACCATTGGTTCTTCAACGTCAAGTTGACCTAAATCACGAGAACCTTCCTCTCCAAGAAACTCCTTCTCATTGTCTTCTTCCTCTACTACATTGGTTTCTAAAGCTTTTGGAGACTCTTCGAAATGAGGAGTACGACCAAGGAGATCATTGTAAAGAGAAGTCAAGATAACTTTGTCTTTCTCTTCCTCGCTTGTCTGTGAATCCCATTCTTCAACTTTCATTCGAGCATTTCGTCGGACACTTCGTTGTTGTTTTAAATGACATCTCTTTTCTCCTTCACAACTCTTCTTTGGCTCTGAGTACGAACTTGAGAATCTTAATCCTAGCTTTTCGCGGGCATACACTAGAGCACATGCAAGAACCGGTGACGAGTAAATCAAGAAGAACAAGAGAGTAGGGAGGAAAATGTATAGCACAAGTAAAAACATTGAAACCCCTGACAATATTGGGTGGTTTCTCATGAATTTGATGCTCATGTTCATCGAATATCCAAGAATTTTCCATAATATTACGATGATCTCTTTCGCGTCAATACCCATTTTCCATATAATCAAAAGATGAAAATTGATACGAACATCAATCAAAACAAGATCTTTTTTTTTTTCAGAGATCTAGCAAAGAATTTGGCATCACAGAAAAAAATGATAAATGGAGTTTCCAAATTTAGAGATGATATCGTCTGGAGATCCTCTGTTTCAGGATATTAAACTTTTCTAATTTTTTTTTTTTTTAAGAGGGAATTAAAACGACAAAACAAAAACTGAGAAAAGAAGTTTGGTTTGGTTTGTTAACGAGAAAAATAAGTTTCTTTTGTTTAACGAGTTTTTTTCTGGTAATTAAGTTAATGAAAATTTTTAGGATAAAATGTGGCAAAATAGCTTGGAAGGTACTCCGACAAACCCAAATTAGAACCAAAAATTAAATTTTAGATTCTCTTTGACGATGTTAAAAAAAAAAAACAAATTCTTATGAGTGCTTCTATGACAAATATTCAGAAAATTTATAGCCACGAAATTGAAGATGGTTATCGTTTGGGCCATTATGTGAGCCCTAGAAGCCAAAAAACCAGATTCGTGGCCCATATCCACCGTTTAAAACCTGTGGTCAGGAAAAAAAACCTGAAATCTCATCAACCATTACCTTTCGTCCACGTCACATTAAACCTTCGTGGCCCCACTGCTCTCTATACATCTCACCACACTGGATTCTCGCCTTCAGATAATCTTCTTACAAAACCGAACTCCGGCGTTATCAACGGTGGAGATAACTCTCTTTCTTAGATCCAACGGTTCACATTCGAAGTCGTTGTTCCCAGTAAACCTCGCGTTCTGTAGTGTGGTGACCCAAAAAGAAGATTAGATAAACCCAAAAATGTGTTGCAATGTCTTCCTTTGATTTCCTCAATTTCTAGGGTTTCGAAAGGAAAAATAATGACTTCAATCGAATTGCTAAGTCCATTGATTCACGATAAGTTTCGATTCTCAACTTGTTGTAGTAGTAGTAGTTTATTGTATTTGCATGCTTCGAGCTTTTTCCGAGATCGGTCTTTTTGTTTTCGTCAAAATCCGAATCGATTTGTCTCCAATTCAATTCAACTTCCTCAATCAGTTACAGGGTCGATAAACCATGAAAGGTTCAATCTTTGGCAAGGGTTTTCGAGGAAGAAGAGTACTAGTAGTAGAACGATTGTGAATTGTCAAGAAGGTGATCAGAAAGCTAGCTCAAGTGAAGGAGAAGGAAAGGCGAATTCGAATTCGTCGAAGCAGAAAGGAGGGAAGCAAGGTAAGAATGGGTTATGGTGGTCTAAAGGGAAGAAATGGCAGTGGGAACCGATCATTCAAGCGCAGGAGATTGGTGTTTTGTTACTACAATTGGGTATTGTTATGTTTGTGGTGCGATTGCTTCGACCTGGAATCCCGTTACCGGGTTCGGAGCCTCGCACACAGACGACGTTTATGAGTGTACCGTATAGTGATTTCTTGAGTAAAGTTAACAATGATGAGGTTCAGAAAGTGGAGGTGGATGGGGTTCATGTTTTGTTTAAGTTGAAAGATGATGGGAATTTGCAGGAGAGTGAAACTAATAGTAGTAAGCTCTCTGATTCGTCGGAGACTATGCTTAGAAGTGTGGCTCCGACTAAAAGAGTTGTGTATTCCACTACTAGGCCGAGGGATATTAAAACGCCGTACGAGAAAATGCTTGAGAATAATGTGGAATTCGGGTCGCCTGATAAGCGCTCTGGTGGCTTTTTCAACTCTGGATTGGTAAGACCGTGAATTAGAATGGCTTGTTGGCTTTGGGAAACACTTAGATTGAAAAGGTTTCTTCTTTTCTTGTTTTTGTTGTTTCAGATAGTTCTATTCTACATTGCAGTGCTTGCAGGGCTTCTCCACCGATTTCCTGTTAACTTTTCCCAGGTTTGCACATTCATGATACCGTAGTGTGGTTTTTTAAGTTAAGGCCATGTGCACTTTTCTTAAAAGCTATGAGGTATACACAGAGTACAACGGGACAGCTGAGGACACACAAGTCTGGTGGTCCTGGTGGGGGAAAGGTTTCTGGTGAAGGTGAAACAATCACTTTTGCAGATGTTGCTGGTGTTGATGAAGCAAAGGAAGAGCTGGAAGAGATTGTGGTAGGTTCATCTGTCCTTATAGATGCTGCACTTACTGAACTGATTGTCAAATGTTTCTGTAATAGCTTTTTGTTCATGATCTTGTAAGTTTCTCTTACATTTGGCTTAACTGTTGCAGGAATTTCTCAAGAATCCCGATAGGTATGTCCGTCTAGGTGCTCGTCCCCCTCGTGGTGTCTTATTGGTGAGTTAAATAATGTATTTACCACTTTGGTCATGCGCAGTGTTTAAAATTTATGGCTTTGTTTCCCTTTTTGGTAGGTCGGTCTCCCTGGAACAGGGAAAACCCTTCTTGCAAAAGCTGTTGCTGGGGAATCTGATGTCCCCTTCATAAGTTGCTCTGCAAGTGAGTTTGTAGAGCTGTATGTTGGCATGGGTGCTTCACGCGTAAGGGATCTTTTTGCACGGGCCAAGAAGGAGGCTCCGTCAATTATATTTATTGATGAGGTGTGAATACAAAATCAGTGTTAGATTAGCTGCTGTACTTTGTATCGATGTAAATCTTAACAAATCTATCTGTTTTTCTTTCATTTTTCAGATAGATGCTGTCGCGAAAAGCCGTGATGGTAAATTCAGAATGGTTAGCAATGATGAAAGGGAGCAAACCTTGAATCAGTTGCTCACTGTAAGTTTGTAATCATATGCACTTTTCCTGCCAGAGTTGCTTTCTTGATCTTTGCCTAATCCATTTATATGTTGGGAACTGGTTTACAGGAGATGGATGGTTTTGACAGTAGCTCTGCAGTTATTGTTCTTGGAGCTACTAATCGAGCTGATGTCTTAGACCCCGCCCTGCGTCGGCCTGGGAGATTTGATCGTGTTGTTACGGTTAGTAGAATATCTCGTTCTGTTTACTTAAAATGATCATGCAGAGTAATATACTTCATCAACGCTATCTGACACTTTTTTCAGGTGGAAACACCTGACAAAGTTGGAAGAGAATCCATTTTGAAAGTTCACGTTTCAAAGAAAGAGCTTCCTTTGGGAAATGATGTCAACCTAGCTAGTATTGCCTCAATGACCACCGGTTTTACTGGGTAAAAATTTGTATTATATTCTTGACCCGAAAGTTTCTTACTTGCTTTTTGCTGTATATCTCATTAACTTTTTTGTTTGGTTTTATAGGGCAGACCTTGCAAACCTGGTTAATGAGGCTGCTTTGCTAGCGGGAAGGAAGAGCAAGATGACGGTTGAAAAAATTGACTTCATTCAGGCTGTCGAGCGATCTATAGCGGTATTGTCCTATTCTTTCTGAGTGTATTGAACAGCTCATCAGAATTTGTTTCCTTACATGGCATCGTTTGTTTCAGGGCATAGAGAAGAAAACAGCAAGGTTAAAAGGTAGTGAGAAAGCTGTGGTTGCAAGGCATGAAGCTGGGCATGCTGTTGTTGGTACCGCTGTTGCAAGTCTTCTTCCTGGACAGTCCCGTGTTGAGGTAAAACAATGAGAGCTGCCTCTTGGATAGGCCTAATACTCATTTTTACATGTTTTAATGTTTTGCTATGTCGTGCTGTATTTTTAGAAATTAAGCATATTACCAAGATCAGGAGGGGCATTGGGCTTTACATACATTCCTCCAACGCATGAAGACAGATATTTGCTCTTCATTGATGAACTACATGGCCGCTTGGTAACACTTCTTGGAGGTCGTGCAGCTGAAGAGGTTGTTTACTCGGGGCGTATATCAACAGGTGCACTTGATGATATCAGGAGAGCAACCGACATGGCTTATAAGGCAGTAGCTGAATATGGTCTTAACCAGAAAATCGGACCCGTCTCTGTGGCTACGCTTTCTGCTGGTGGGATTGATGACTCTGGGGGATCACCTTTTGGAAGAGATCAGGTAACTTTAATCTGCCTAAACTTTTAGTTGGTCTTGTTCAGAATGAAAAGCAAACTTAACATGTCATGCTGAATTCACAGGGGCATCTAGTTGATCTTGTTCAAAGAGAGGTGACAAATTTGTTGCAATCTGCTCTGGATGTCGCGTTGACTGTTGTTCGCGCTAATCCAGATGTATTAGAAGGGCTCGGTGCTCAACTGGAAGGTAACACATTACACTTCTGGATACTAATACCATATTTACTCAAACAAAACATAAGACCAGTTTTCTAAACAACAGCTTGTTTTGGCTTATAATCTCTGAGAGGGGCTGGTTCATTCATATGCTATCAAAACAACATGGCATGATATGGTCTCTAGAATCACATGTTGATGGCTTCATATCGTAATCTGTATAGCTCCTCAAGTAGTTGACTCTGTTTGAAAACATGTGATTTGTTTCAGATGAAGAGAAAGTAGAAGGTGAAGAGTTGCAGAAATGGTTAAATAGAGTAGTGCCATCAGAGGAACTTGCAGTATTCATCAACGGAAAACGAGCTGCTTTGCTTCCAGCACAAGCTAGCTCCAGTTAACGTGTACAAAGCCTCTTGTTATCTCTATCTCTCAGGTCAGGCCTGTGTAAGCATCGATGATGACTCTGCCTCACTTATAAGAATCAAAAAGCTAAAAGGATCTACCTACCTCTCTGGCGAGTCCTGGCCATCGATGACTTGGTATGTATAGGAAAAAAAAAGCTTTTACTTGGTATCAAACAGAGCATGTGTTGTTGTATTTGCTACCTTTTTTCTGCAAAGTTATTGGCAATTGTATTATTGTTCCACTTGTATATATACAGAGACCACTTATGTTAATATACAACTTCCTATGGAAAGATGAATCCATCAAGTCCAAAAATGCCAAAACCATGAAAGATCTTGTCTGATCAAGTATGATACATGAAGCTTTTCGTATATTATCAAGACTCTAAAAATGCAGATTATTACACAATTTGATCTCATTTCTTGGCAAAGAGGCTCAGGCTACCGAAGCTACCGTTCTTCTTCTTCTTCTTTGGATTCTATGTGTTCATTTTCGTGTGGCTTTAGTTACAAAGGGATCAGATTCTCACTTCTCAGTGAGCCGTTGGATCGTTTGGACATGAGCTCTCCATAAGTGTCTTGTCCTTTTCTTTTTCTCATTTTTCATATATGTGTCAGTATCTAATATCTATGTGTTGATAATGCTGAGATTATGTTTATTTAGGAATGATTAGTATTGGTGATGAACTGATGATAAACATATGAATGTGTAAGTGCCACGTGGCGTTTAGAGGGAGCAGAGTTTTGGGCTTTGTTTATAGGTGATGGGCTTTCTTTTGGTTATGATTTGCATTCTTGTTGTACCAAATTCTTTTATTATATGAAAAAGATTGTTTTAAGAAAAAATTATTATATTCCACATAATTTATGTTTGTAGAAGCTTTCTATTACTACTATAAATTTCTATTACTTTAGTCTGTGTAATTTTGAAATGGAGGAAATTGATTTATTTTAGGATTGGGTGATCTGAAATTTGACTAAAAATATATCTTGGACACAGAAGCTAACTATTGGAAATTTATCTTAAATTTTTGCATTCACTTTGCCACCCAACAAAATAAAAAGTCAAACTAAGCCCAGGCCGTAAGAAAAAAGAAAAAAAAAAACTGATTTTTTTTAAAATTCATAATCAACAGAGTTGTTAGTTGCTATATACAGTAGTTGCTACATATATGCTTCTTATTTTTTATTTATTTATATCTGTTAAAATATTATACAAGTGACTGATCATCAGGTTATAAATTTAACTTATTCAATCTAATCTGTTGTAAAATTATTCAATAATCAATTATAATCTTCACTATAATCTTTTATCATATAATTGTTTAAAATGAAAATAATTAGTTACTTTTCTGATATGTGTATCAGTGTATGACATTGTGGACTGGCTGATATTTTTTTTATCTATTGAATTTGTTGCCTAAATAATCTGATTTTTCATACTAACAATGTACAGTATAAGGCGACGAATAAAAGAGAATAAAATTTGAACCATAATGACTACAGTAACCGTCCGAATTCAACCACATCTGTATGATCTTTACCATTTTTGGTAATATTTTCCGTTGCGTTCTCTTAGAATTTTGTCAATATCATATGTTTTAGTAGTTTAATTTGTACTTTAATTATGTAGGGTATTTAATTGTTTTTCAAATGTTTCGGTCACAATTGTGTTTGAACTTTTAAGTGTTCGACTCGAAGTAAACCCAGTTTCTTAGAATGGGCTAACTGCCATTGACCAAATCTTTATTCTCGAAGAAAGATCTCGTTGCTAGGCTTATTTCATATCTATAACTAAATTTCCACGATTATTTAAAAACAAAGAAATTTAACTTTTGAAATGCTTATTTCATTTTCGGTTATACACTGCAAAGATTATGGAATTTTTGATCTTGAAATTCGAGTTCATCAATGTCTTCACGAAATATTGTCATTTAGTAGCTCGTTTTATATAGCTAAGCATGTTACATAACACATATAACATATTTATAGATGCTTCAAAAGAAAAAAAAAATCATAACTAAATCGTAACGGGGAAATTAATTCGCTTTCGTGTTCTATTATGCCAAACTATACTCACAATAGTCTTATCTTATCGACCCAAAATTTAATTTTCCCAACTACTTACTCCTAATTGAAACAAAATATAACCTTTCTTACTATAGCCTATGTTAAAAATATCTATGATTTCTACATTTATATAAATACGCACATACCTCTCCTTCACCATATATTGTCTCTCAACAATCTCTCCATACAACAAAAACAAAAAGCCTAAACCGGGAAAATGGAAGCTCTAAACCCTATCTTAACCGGCTACGCCGTGGCCGCCCTATCAGTCTACGCTCTTTGGTTCTACTTCTTGTCCCGGAGACTAACCGGTCCCAAAGTCTTACCGTTCGTAGGAAGCTTACCCTATCTAATCGCAAACCGGAGCCGAATTCACGATTGGATCGCTGATAATCTCCGAGCAACTGGTGGTACGTATCAAACATGCACCATGGTGATACCTTTCGTAGCCAAGACGCAAGGGTTTTACACCGTGACGTGTCACCCAAAAAACGTCGAGCATATCCTTAAGACACGGTTCGACAACTATCCGAAAGGTCCTATGTGGCGAGCTGCTTTCCACGACCTGTTAGGACAAGGAATCTTCAACAGCGACGGTGACACGTGGCTTATGCAACGTAAGACTGCAGCGCTTGAGTTCACTACTAGAACTCTTCGACAAGCCATGGCTCGGTGGGTTAATGGGACTATCAAGAACCGGTTATGGCTTATATTAGACCTGGCGGTTAAAAACAACAAACCGGTTGATCTTCAAGATTTGTTTTTGAGGTTAACTTTTGACAACATTTGTGGTCTGACTTTTGGTAAAGACCCGGAGACGCTCTCTCTGGATCTACCAGATAATCCTTTCTCTGTCGCTTTTGACACCGCGACAGAGGCTACCTTAAAGAGACTTCTATACACCGGTTTCTTGTGGAGGATTCAGAAAGCGATGGGGATTGGATCGGAGGATAAGCTCAAGAAGAGTCTTGAAGTCGTTGAGACTTACATGAATGATGCAATCGACGCTCGGAAAAACTCTCCCTCCGATGATCTTTTGTCGCGTTTCTTGAAGAAACGTGACGTTAACGGTAACGTTCTTCCGACAGATGTTCTTCAGCGTATCGCGCTTAACTTTGTTCTCGCGGGTCGTGACACTTCTTCTGTGGCCTTGAGTTGGTTCTTCTGGCTCGTCATGAATAACCGGGAGGTGGAAACAAAGATCGTTAACGAGTTATCGACGGTTCTGAAGGAGACACGTGGCGATGATCAGGAGAAATGGACGGAGGAGCCGTTAGAGTTCGACGAGGCAGATAGGCTCGTTTACCTCAAGGCTGCTTTGGCTGAAACGCTGCGTTTATACCCTTCTGTGCCTCAGGTGAAAAATTAATTTTTTTTTTCTTTTTAATTATTTCATTCATGGAAACATTAACTATAACGCTTATGGCTAGGCGAGATTTTCATAGAAAACGTAAATTAAGAAATAATTAGTTATTGTATAAATATTGATTTATGTCTAAACATATATATCAACTTGTATAGAAGTTCCTGAAATAAATCTTTGTGACTAGTTGACTAATTAATTCCATAGTTTTTCCTTTTAAGCTGAATATTACAGATTTATTTTTCTTAGTCCCTTAGCTGCTAGCTCTAGTATCAAATGACTGTTACAAACTTATAATTATGATCATAATTAGCTACTTAATTTGAATTATTTTTTACCAAAGACAAAATTGGCAAAAATGACGCAAAATTACTCAGCAGAATTACTTATCATTTATTCATAATAAAGAGCTATGTATAACGTATAGTAACATTCCAAATGACCAGGATTTCAAGTACGTCGTAGACGATGACGTTTTGCCTGACGGGACTTTCGTGCCAAGAGGCTCGACGGTGACCTATTCGATTTACTCGATCGGACGTATGAAAACGATTTGGGGAGAAGATTGTCTCGAGTTCCGTCCGGAGCGGTGGCTCACAGCCGACGGTGAACGGTTCGAGACTCCAAAAGATGGTTACAAGTTCGTAGCATTCAACGCCGGACCAAGGACTTGCTTGGGAAAGGACTTGGCTTACAATCAGATGAAGTCGGTGGCTTCAGCCGTTCTCCTCCGTTACCGGGTGTTTCCGGTTCCTGGTCACCGCGTTGAACAAAAGATGTCGCTGACGCTTTTCATGAAGAACGGTTTACGTGTTTACTTGCAACCTCGTGGTGAGGTGGTTGCATGATTAATTATATTAAGGGTATTATGGTAAATATGTTTGTCATTTCAAGTTTAAATTGTTTTAAGAAGAACCTACTTTATTATATGTTTTCTCCACCTACAAAATACTTATTATGATATATGCACTTTTTGTGCCTTTGTTTGTTTGAGTTTGTTCAACTCTTTTTGAATAAAAGTTTATTGGTTTAAATTGAATATAATTTGTAGAAATTTAGATTAATGCCAATGTCGTAACGTAAGTGTGAATAAATTTCACACTATAATCTCTTAAGTCTAAATTAGTCACTTAATTACTTGACAACATATATAACGTAAGATGAAAACAACCAAAAAACAAAAATAATGAAAGATTTAAATATAATTCGAAGAATAAATTCGACTACGAAGCAAACAAACCATAATTATTTGGATACGAGAAGCAGCTTGGAACTTATGATCTATGGAAAGAAAATTAAAGGACGAAAATTATGAAACAAAGGACGAGAAAGATAGAATGATCATAAAACATCACATGATCATGGGTGTAGCTAGAACAATGGGAAGCAGATGTTGCTACCTTGAATAGAACCAGAGAGCATCTCTATCAGATCCATTTCTCTTCTTTCACTTGTAGAGTTAGCTTGAGACTCAAGAAACTCGTTGTGACCTCCGTGCTCTACGGTGGTGGATGACGTGGAAGATGAGGAAGACGGAAAGTGAATGTCGGAGTAGGACGACGTCGTACCGTTCAACAAATAAGATAAGTAGATATCAGACGCAAGGTGGGGTGTATTCGCCGGAGCTGTGATCGTTGCCTCTTGATGATGAGTTCCAACGTTGTTGTGCAAGTTAGGGTTAGGGTTCTTGATCATGAACCCAGATGACGAAGACTGAGTTACCTCATCCGAAGTTTGGCTCAAACCTATATTCTCAAGAGAAATCGGGTGGTTTGCAAAGATATTTTGAAGGTAAACCAGCTCTTCGTCATATGGATCGCCAAGCATGGACGATGCGGAATCTCCATCAGAATAGATCTGATCAAGATTAGGTGTAGAAAGAACACTGATGGTGTTCTCGTCATTGTTCTTGTTAATGCCATTACTCCCGATGCTTTTGATGTAGTCTTGGAGAATGCATGGCCTTTTAGCTGATGGAGAGACATCGCTATCATTGTTATCAGCGTTTGATTCGCGTTTGTGTTTGCGTTTTGAATTTTGACGTCGCTTGGTCGCATTCCAATGGTTCTTGATAGAATTCTCAGTCCGTCCTGGTATGAGTTTAGCGATCTCTGCCCATTTGTTCCCGATTCTCATGTGCGATTCCACAAGAACCCTCTCTTCTTCTTCACTCCATCCATCTTTCTGATTATTTTTTGTTTGTTTTGGCAAAAACGTAGAGATCGAGGGACATATGTCAGAACCCTAGATCTAGAAAAAAACTATGTTATATGGAGAGAGATCTAGAAAGAAACCTTAATATCAGGACGGAGATGATTATGCCATCTCTCACGACATTGTTTGCCTGCTCTTCCCTCAAGTTTCTCCGATATCAGTGCCCATTTCCTCTCTCCATGTTGTCTCACCAACCTTATCAACTTCCTATACATATATGTTTGTATTAAGAAACGCATATACTAACTCTTTGAATCAATCTACACAAAAAATTATCTATGTATACCTGTCTTCTTCCGCCGTCCATTGCCCTTTGATGAGGTTCTTGTAAGGTCGTTTCTTCGTACTGTTTTGATAATCTCTGGCTGCACTTCTAGCGACCACTTCTCCAATAGGGCTTCTGTTGCCGCCATTAAGGACCAAATGTTTCTCCCTCGTCGGCCCAAACGTTGTGTTCTCTTTGTTGTCGCTTCTAGTCTCAATCGACATTTTCGTCTTCACCATCGGTCGGTCTCTAGAACACTCTTGTTTCTTGGAACACAAGGCATCGTTCTTTTGACCGTATAAGAATCTCTCAACGGCTGTCAACGGCGGCGCAGCTCCATGGACAAGGCGCCGGTCTTCCATAGGAAAAAGAAGAAGAAGAAGAGATTGGTAGAAAGGAGAGGAGAGCACAAATCAAAGGAGATAGTTTAGCTAGTAATAAGGAATTTGAGAGAACTTAATGAGTTACTATATAAATTCAAACCAATGAATGACCCATTAAATTCCATTATTTTTTATTTTTCTAATTAAAACAAATAAAATTAACCTTACAGCTCTGGATTTTTTTTTTCAGTTTATAGAAGAATTAATCGACAATATGTATATATACCTCCGAAGTTAAAACAAAAATGAGCAAAGAAGACTACAAAATCTGATAACTAGAAAATATTGATATTTGTTTAGTGATTACTATAAGGATCTATACGTATTAGTCACTAAATTTCAAATCGATATTTTTCCAAAATCCTCTCTAATTTCCTATTGTACTTTATATGACATCATTATTAAGACAATATCTACGAACAACCAAAAGAACATACAAGTCAATTATAGAATATAATATCCAATATATAGTAAAAACCACTTGTTTGGCAACAAAACTAATGAAATTTAGTCTTCTTTAGTTTCATTCTGCCATACACAACTAACATATTCAATTATATATATATATATATGTATATATTAAATGCTAATAGTAAAATGAATAGTTAATATTAAGCCCGTGGAATATGCCAAGTGGTGTGAATGAGCTAATCTAACACTGGCTAAGAGATCGGACGGGTCATAAAATTTTAACCAATTTTGTAACTTTTGAACTTCATCTCTATCCGACTGTAACTAAATGGGGATTAAGAGGAGAAAAAAGGCGGGAAGGATTTGTGTTATTCTTTTCAGTTAATGGTTATTTAAATTTAAAATTCTCAAAAAGATTCGAAATGACGATCACATGATTCACTTCTTCGTGAGAAAAACAAGAGTTGTAGAATGTGAATAAAAAGGTAGTTTATAGAAATTCCTCAAATGAGAACTTTTGTAAATTTGTAACAGACGAAGTGGTTAATGGAAGGAACATTGATGGTAATTTATTTGCCGCTAAATACGTACATGGTAATATATGCAATGAAATAATTTATTAGTTGACTACAATTATTTTAGTCTTAGCCTGCTAATCGACTAACGCTAACATGCACACTTGTCTGCTTATGGGCTAACGTCAGCCTATGTACCATCCAACGTACTGGCTAACGCTAGCAAACTTACTTACTATCCAACGTTAGCATGTTTACCAGCTTGCGTATCCGCTAACACTAACGAGCATACCCGTTAACGCCAGCCTGCACAATTCTCTTATACAATCCCTATTCCCTTGGCATTCATTAACCTCGACCATGCATTGCTATTTGCTAATAATCTAGTTTTTCACGAGCGCACCAAAGATATTGAACTTGATTGTCATATGTTCGCTGCTATTAAGATGGTTCCATCAAACTACAGTTTGTTCGAACAACAACAGACATATTCACCAAGGCATTAAAGAGTGTTCTATTTAGGTTTTTCCTTAGCAAATTGATGAGTAGTACATATGTGGTGATCTTGATGCTTAAACTCGAGGAGGAATATTGGGCTATATGTTTATAGTCCAAGCCCACATATCTCATATGTAATTAAGCATAGGTATCATGTACTATATACAGTATGTATGTATTTTATCTTCGAATTCGCTAGCTACTCTGCAAAAAATGTTTGTTTTAATATTTTTTCGTAAAAACAAAGGTAGCAATAATATCATTAACTACCCCTCAAAATAATGCATTTAACCAAACTAAACTTCTAGCTTTAGTTTATGAGAAATTAGAATCTGTACGGTACGATGTGTGGATTACAACTTTTTTTTAACAGATAAAAGGTGTAAAATAAATTATGGATTTAAGAAAATAAATAAATTTCTCATGAAAGTAAGAAAAATAATAAATAAACTTACAAAAGTAAATAAAAAGTTAATTATGTTATAACAAAAAGTAACTTGTTGTAATTATTGCATATTTACAAACAAAAAGTAATTTGTTGTGAATATTACATATATTTACATTAGTTTGATTAACTTAATTATGGTGTTTCTTTTTTTGTCATTGATTAACTTAACTATGGTTAAGACTCTATAGGTTGTAGGCTTGTAGCTATGAGGTATCTAATCTAATAAAGGTGGAATATTATGGTCCCGTTATTCTCTCAAGACGGGAGATAGAAATGGTAATATTTCATGTTTTAGAAGCATATGGAATGGAGTATGGATTAATGACTATTCTTTGATATTGAATTTGAAGTTACTCATTTTAGTATGTGTAAGATAAGGTGTCTGTTTTCACAGTTACTATTTTAACACAGCTAATTAATGCAATCAGCCAAAAGCCCAACAAAAAAAAAAACAGAGGAACTTTTATATAACATAAATCTGTAATATTGGTTTTGAGTCTTTTGATAGAATGTGATGTAATTTCTTTTATAAGTATATTAGAATTTTGGTAATGCCAAAATATATGGTACATGATTTAGAATCATACATAATTAACAAATAAAAGTTACTAAATCATTTTTGTCTACATAAATTTAACAGATCTAATTTACTACGGTACATCTTTTCTATTATAAATAGTGGTACCTATTTACTCAACTTCTACCAAAACAAATCCTTCTTTCGTTCTAATCAAAATGAAACTGTCTCATGTGTCAGCCATTGTGCTCATCATGTTAGTTGTATTTGCCCTCCTTCCAAAGCTAGTGAACTTTGTTATATGCGTATATATATTAGAAGAAAAAAAATTCAAAGTTCTAGTGTTGAGACATGCATATATTTGCAGAACCACATATAACTTTGAATTTGAGACATGCATATAATGGTTCAGTCTTGCGGGTAGGCAAAAGCTTGAAATTTGTCCCGTTAAGGCGGAAATTGCGGGTTCGGGGCCTAGACAAAGACATGATTGATGGAGTTCGAACCCGCAACTTCCGTATTGACGGGGCAATACTTTGACCAACTAAACTATTCTTTTTTTGGTCAAACGACCAACTAAACTATTCATATGCTTAAAAATTGCTTAAGAAATGCTCAAATGTTGCAAATAAAATATACTTAATAATGTCCAAAACATGCTTCAACTTAAATTTATATAGTTAAAATTTGTAAACTGAAAACTTGACAAGTGTATGAGCTAATCGAATTTTACTAAGTGAATTTATGTGTTAGCTCTAATTTTAACAATAATATAGACGCTTGTGAATTATCAACAATTAAGTTTCAATGTATCAACAACGCTTGGTTCAATAACTCTATAATTTGGGCCAATTTCTTACTGGGCTTCTTTTGTAGTAAATTAGACGTGCTTAATGAAATACACCAAAATAAGGGTGATTTAGGGTTGGTTTCATAGAAATTAATGTCGCTTGCTTGAGCATAATTCTATTAAGTATGAAAGAGACATTCTAACAATACTCAGCACCCATGTGACTCAACAAAAAACCAATTATACGATGTTGAAAGATTTTTTTATCACCATGTGTTTGCAGTTTGCTAAAAATATGTCCTTCACGTTGCTAATTTTATACTCTTTATCAAAGAATCTTACAACAAAACAATTATCTCTCCAAAAATTTCTATTCTCTCTCTCATTTAGTCAGAAAAGATGAAGTTTTCTTCTCAGCTTGTGTCTGCAATTTTCATTTCCGTCATGCTCCTCTCTGCAACAACAGGTAGAAGAATGACTCCCGTGTTTTTTTTTTTCCGTTTTTAAATCTTTAATATGTTCATTATTCTCAACTTGGTATGATTTCGCTATAGGTTCCATTCTTCCGAAGACGGAAATTGCGGGTTTGGGGCCTAGACAAAGACATGATTGATGGAACTCGAACCCGCAACTACCGCATTGACGAGGCAATATTTTGACCAATTAAACTATTCATATGCTTAAAAATTGCTTAAGAAATGTTCAGATGTTGCAAATATAATATACTTAATCATGTCAAAACATGCTTCAACTTAAATTTATATAGTTAAAATTTGTAAACCGAAAACTTGACAAGTGTATGAGCTAATAGAATTTTACTAAGTGAATTTATGTGTTAGTTCAAATTTTAACAATAATATAAACGCTTGTGAATTATCAACAATTAAGTTTCAATGTATTTTGTGAGGTGGAAATTTTAGACGAATAGTATAATCGTTCCAATAATAAAAATGAATAAAATGACTAGTTGTGAATAATAAAAATTATTTTGTCATTTACTCTGTTAATGTAAACCATACAAACAGTAACATGTGCGATTATTACATTATTTTGATTTACATAACTATGTTTAACTAGCTGGAGTTTTATATGTACTCTAAAAGCTAGACTGTAACTATCTAATTTTTACCAAATTAATATTTTCGATTTAGTCCAAATGATTTATCTCTGTGAGCTAAATTCATAGGACTTTCTCCCACAGAATGCATTTGTGGCCATATTTAGTTTGGATACAGGCCCATTTGTAAACATATCTGACCCAATAACTATAATTAGAGAGGCGGGAGTAAATCATCTGGTGCGGACGTTGTTGGAATCTTACCATGGACCCGCATCCACGCGTCTCTGTCTCTCCGTCGATCGGTAAAAGATCTCCATTGTCGCCGTTGGAGTTGATTCTTCATGAGAAAGCTTCTTCTCGACCGAATTCTCCGGGTAACATCATCCCTAGCTTTGCAATTTTTTCTTTGGTTTTTATTGTTTCAATTTGCTGGGCTAGTTTACTGGGAGCTCTATCAAAATTTTAACCTAGAATTTGAATCTAACAAGATTCTTGATTGTTATAATGAGAATGCTTGAATTGAATTTTGTGTGTTTAGGATGTATGAATGAGTTTTAAATTCAAATAGAAGCAGAGCTCTCTGAAACTGTGAAATAAGATTGAAACACTTTTCTTGAATAAAGAAACTCAACAACAATATTGATTTTTATTATATGATGATTGATAATGATGGTGAACTGATAATGCTTTATCAGTCATCACTATAAGTATAAACAACAATGGGACTTCTCACGTTATGTGTTCCATCTGACCATATTAGATTTGCAGAAGAAGGCAGTTTTGGGTTGAGATTGCTGCCTGAAACAGTCACTGTGAATGACTGCTTCTCCTTCACGGACTTCATAGATAGAACACTTGGGGAGACCTTGACTTTGAGCTTAGATCCGTGATTTATGACAATCTTTGACTTGTACGTTGAGTTTGGGGTACCGAGGTTGGTCACGGTTCTGTTGAATGTCACGGTGAAGGAGCTATTAGATTCCGAAAGTTTAGCGGACATTGAAGGATAATTGAGGTTTCTTGGTAAGCTCTTTCCAGTGCAAGTGACGGCTTCACCGGCGATGAGATGAAGGGTTTTCGAAGTGTAGTTCAAACCGCAAAGAAAGGCGATGTGGTCTGTTTTGTCTGATTCATAGACGAGTCCAGGATTAATAGCGGCTATTGGGTCGACATGTCCAGCTCCATAAGCAAACTCGGTTGATGCAACCCCGGTTCCGGTAGCATTCATCGGCCAAGCTGCAAAGTTTAATTAATAGACTGTTTATGAACAGAGTTGCCAACAAAGTTACGAGACAAGAAAGTAAAAATTGGGTATGAGTTTTGCTTACCAGTTGTCATGATGGCAGATTGGATCATGGAAGGAGACCATTCAGGATGAAAAGTCTTTATGTACGCAGCCACGCCTGCAACGTGTGGACAAGCCATCGAAGTTCCTGACAGAACAGAGTACTTCACATGTCTTTTATCAAACCATACCTCAGATGGTGAATTCAAAGGTGAATACGCAGCGAGAATCTCCACTCCTGGTGCTGTTACATCTGGCTGCAATACATCCACCAACCATTGTCTCTCAGGCCAGGAAAGAATAAATAATCAAGAGCATTAAAATGTTTTACCTTTAGAATATCAACCGCAATAGTGTTTGGACCGCGAGAAGAGAAGGAAGCAACTTTAGGAGCTTTCTGATTAAAGATTGCTTCACTTTTTAGAACAGTTCCTTGCGGGGACCTGAGAAAACAAACACAGAGATATCAAGACAAAGTAGGGGATCTAGACCAAATGAATAATAGAGAAGATCGTTCGTTACTTTGTGGAGTTAACGTAAGAGACGACAGAGTCAAAGTCATCTTGTGACAGGGCAGAGGAGGGCTGAGGGCTAACGGCGGCATAGTCTTGGTCATCAAGAGTTATGGTTGCAACAGCTATATCTGAACTAAGTTGATATTTACTCACCAAGATTTTTCCCCTAAGCAGAGGTCCTTTAATTAAATCTCCATACACAAGAGGATAATTCTTTCCTTTCAAATCGAAAGCGTTCAATGATTTCCCCTGTTTACACAAAAATCAAGAGAATCATTTGTCACTGAAAGGGACAAAGATACTATGATAATAGAAATGAGAGTGTTACTTGATACTTACGACAAGTGTCTTGCCGTTTCCGAGTACCACTTTGGTGACAAACCCACGGTTGGTGGTGCCCGCTGCAACTGTCAAGATCCACGGTGCTACACTGTTGACTGAGCCCGGATCCGGACCATCGTTACCGGCTGAGTTCACAGTAAGAATCCCTTTGACCATAGCGTGAAAAGCCCCAATCGCCATTGGGTCCTTTTCATATTTGTGGACAAAGCGTTCCCCGATAGAGATGCTGATGAGGTCAACACCGTCTGCTATCGCATCATCGAACGCCGATAGTAAAGATTCATCGCTACACCCTGTCTCGCCACAGGCTTTGTAAGCTGCGATTCTTGAGGCTTGAACGCCGCCTCTCGCAGTTCCATTACCGATTCCATAGTAACTTGTGTTCTCAACTGCGTTTCCAGCCGCTGTTGATGCTGTGTGTGAACCGTGGCCTATGCTGTCCCTAGTGCCTTCGCTTGTATAGTCTCTTGCTCCGATCAACTTGCTGAAATATTGTAAACACATCAATCTCTGCCTACACTACTAATCTTCTGTTAGAAAAATTAAGAGAATTACTTGTTGCATGTGAAGTTTTTGCCGCCGGAGCAAACACCTTTCCATTTCTTAGGAGGAGGACCAAAGCCTTTATCAGAGAAGCTCTCGGATTCTGGCCAAATCCCAGTGTCGATGACTCCAACAATAATATCACTCTCTATTGCTAAGTTACGCTTTGTATTCTTTCCTCCCTTTAGCCCCATGAAGTCCCAAGACGCAGTCGTTTGGAGTTTGTAGTTCTTGCTGGGGAACACTGACACAACTCCCTCCATTTCTAACCAACACAAAAAGGTCTCAAGTATTTTTAACCTCTAAAAAACATTTGTGTCTTGATCAAAGAACACTAACCGGCTACTCTTTCTCGTTCCGACTCGGTGAGTCGAGCCGCGAACCCGTTGAAACTCCTCTTGTAACTTCTCACCAAACGTCCTTCGATCGAACTACAGTGTACATGTGTATATATCACTTGTTATAATCCTCATCATAATGTAAGCTAATTATGACCAATCATTGATTAGAGAATGAAATTATAAAAGCACACCTTTCTCCGGTGACTTCTTGAAGAATACTCATATGATGCGACATTGGTGTGTATTCCAGTCGAGACGGAAGTGAGCCCATGTAGACAACATACACCTTCTGAATTATCATCATCAATATCATCATGTATGATGGATCGTATACTAGAGAGAAACAATATATATTTGATAATGATAATACTCGATAATCTTAAGTTATGCTAACTCACTTTTTTATCTTGAGAATCATCTGTCACTGCAGAGCCTAAAATCAAAAACGAGACAAGAACCCATGATATGAAACAAAAGGAATCTGCTCGTTTCGCCATCTTTTTCTTATAAAATGAATTAAAGGTTGTCTAATTTCTCAGCTTTATCTAGATCAACATGATATAATATATAGATTAATATAAAACCAGTAAATTACCATAATTTTAATGATATTTCTGTCAAATGCTTAATGCTGTCCTTGTATGTTGACCAAAACTCTTTTGGTAACTAAGTATTGTATGTTGACCAAATACATTTTTAGGAAACAGATATCATTAGAACTCAATTTTGTTTTTGTTTTTGTTTTTTCAACTCCTTAATGAAAATCATTTTTTTTTACAACTGATTTTTTCTCGATCGTTAAGGACTTTATTTTTATTTTGCATTATATAATGACATAATCAGAAAACAGATATGGAGTAAACATTTTTTTTGAAGAAATATATGAATAGCAAAATATTATGATATGATTGATGACTATATGGTGAACTGATAATGCCTCATCAGTAACTATCACTGTACACGACAATAGGGCTTCTCACGTTATGTGTTCCATCAGACCATATTAGATTTGCAGACGAAGGCAGTTCTGGGTCGAGATTGCTGCCCGAAACAGTCACTGTGAAAGACTGTTTCTCCTTCACCGACTTCATAGAAAGGACACTAGGCGAAACCTTGACATTGAGCTTAGATCCATGATTTAAGACAATCTTTGATTTGTATGTAGAGTTGGCGGTACCGAGGTTGGTGACGGTTCTTTTGAAAGTCACGGTGAAGGAGCTATTAGATCCCGAAAGTTTAGCTGACATCGAAGGATAGTTGAGGTTTCTTGGTAAGGTTTTTCCACTGCAAGTGACGGCTTCACCTGAAATTAGTTTTAGGGCTTTCGAAGTGTAGTTTAAGCCGCAGAGAAAGGCGATGTGGTCTGTTTTGTCCAACTCATAGACAAGTCCAGGATTTAGAGCGGCTACTGGGTCGATATGGCCAGCTCCATAAGCAAACTCGGTCGATGCAGCCCCAGTTCCAGTAGCATTCATCCGCCAAGCTGCAAAGATTCATTAAGAGACAGTATAAGAACAGAGTTGTCAACAAACGTTACTTGCGAGGCAAGAAAGTAAAAGTTGGCTTTTTGATTACCGGTTGTCATGATGGCAGATTGGATTACGGAAGGAGACCATTCAGGATGAAAAGTCCTGATGTACGCAGCCACGCCTGCAACGTGTGGACAAGCCATAGAAGTTCCGGACATAACAGAGTACTTTACATGTCTTTCATCGCTCCTGTCGTCAGATGGTGAACTCAAAGGTGAATACGCAGCGAGAATCTCCACTCCTGGTGCTGATACATCTGGCTGCAATCCATCCACCAACCATTGTCTCTCAGGCCAGGAAAGAAAAAAAAAAGAATCAAGAGCATAAAATAATATTATACCTTAAGAATATCAACCGCAATAGTGTTTGGACCGCGAGAAGAGAAGGAAGCCACTTTAGGAGATGACTGATTAAAGATTGCCTCAGTTTTAAGAACAGACCCTTTCGGGGACCTGAAAAAACAATCACAAGGGTTGGACAAAGAAGGAGAATGATAAGAGTAATGAAATAGAGAGAAGAGTGTTATCTACCTTGTGGAGTTAATGTAAGAGACGAGAGAGTCAAAGTCATCTTGTGATAAAACAGAGAGGGGCCGAGAGCTAATAGATGCAAAGTCTCTGTTGTCTGTAGTTATGGATGCAACAGCTACTTCTGACCTAGTTGAATATCTGGAAACCAAGATCTTTCCTTTCACCAGAGCGTCTTTCAAATAATCTCCGTACACAAGAGGATACTTCTTTCCTTTCAGATCAAAAGCATTCACTGATTTCCCCTGTTAAGAAAAACAATAGAGTTATTCGTAATTTAATGGGACAAATATACTATGATGATAAAAATGAGTGTTACTTGATACTTACAACAAGTGTCTTGCCATTTCCAAGAGCAACTTTGGTTAAAAACCTACGGTTGGTGGTGGTAGCTGCAACCGATAACACCCACGGCGCTACGCTCACAACTGTGCTTGGATTTGGACCAGAGTTACCGGCTGAGTGCACTGTGATAATCCCTTTGGCCATAGCGTGAAAAGCCCCGATCGCAATTGTGTCCTCTTCATATAAGGAGGGGTTATCTCCCCCGAGAGACACGCTGATGAGGTCAACACCGTCTGCGATCGCATCATCAAACGCAGACAGTACGTTATCATCGCTACACCCTGTCATGGTGCAGACTTTGTAAGCTGCGACTCTAGAGGCTGGAACACCGCCTCTCGCTGTTCCATTGCCTATTCCAAAGAAGCTTTTATCCACAACTGCGTTTCCAGCCGCTGTGGACGCTGTGTGAGTACCGTGTCCTTGGAGGTCCCTAGTACCTTCGCTTGTGTAGTCTCTTGCTCCGATCAACTTGCTGAAACAATGTAAGCACATCAATCTCTGCCTAAAACATTACTAATCTTCTATTAGAGAAATTTAATGACTCACTTGTTGCACGTGAAGTTTTTGCCGCCTGAACAAACACCTTTCCATTTCTTAGGAGGAGGACCAAAGCCTTTATCAGAGAAGCTCTCGGATTCTGGCCAAATCCCACTGTCGATGACTCCGATAATAGTATCACTCTCTACGGCCAAGTTTCGCTTTGTATTCTTCCCTTCCTTCATTCCCATGAAGTCCCAAGACGCCGTCGTTTGGAGTTTGTAGTTCTTGCTCGGGAACACAGACACAACTCCCTCCATTTCTAACCAACACAAAAAGTATTTTATCCTTTAGAAACATTTCATCATAAAATGTGTCTTGATCAAAGAACACTAACCGGCTATTCTTTCTCGTTCTGACTCCGTGAGTCGGGCCGAGAAACCATTGAAACTCCTCTTGTAACTTCTCACCAAACGACCTTCGATCGAACTTGAGTATACATATGTGTATATCACTTGTTATAATCCATATAACGTAAACTAATTATGACCAATCATTGATTAGAGAAATAATTAATAAAACCACACCTTTCTCCGGTGACCTCTTGAAGAATATTTATGTGATTCGACATTGGTGTATAGTCTGGTTGAGACGGAAGTGAACCCATATAGACAACATACACCTTCATGGATTATCATCATCATCATGTAAAAAGGATCGTATAATAAGGAGAAACAAAATATTTTGACAAATGATTATATATAGATTTAAATACTTGTTTATCTTGATGATCATCTATGATTGCTGACACTGAACTCAAAAACAAGACAGTGAGACATGGGAGGAGACAAAAGGAAGCTCGTTTCACCATCTTTTTCTTATGAATGAATAAACTTTCAAATGATATGGAGATCGAAAGGATGTACAAATAGTAGAATCATTCCTAAACCGTGTCAAGAATAAAATCCTAATTAAATACCTCTGATTTTGTTTCTTTACTTTTTAATTATAAGAAAAACTAGTATTACCATATATTAATGATTATCTGTATCAAATGGTATCATATTCATATGGTAGGATATGAGTCAATAAAAACTAGTATTACCATATCCTAATGATATTTTCTTATCAAATGGTATGTCGAAAAAATAGAATGGGATCATTGTATTTACATCTTTAGGAAACATATCTATTGTTTTATTTTATACATTTGGTCTGAACTAAATTTCAACTATATATATTTTTAAAAAAATTTACTGAAAACAAAACAAAAAAATATATATTACAACTGAATTATTATCGCTTTCATTTTTTCTAATACTAAACAAATATGAGAATTAGAGAGAAAAAAACATTCAATAACACAAAACAAATGTGGATTCGTGGTGGCTAATGATTGCTTGCGACTAATTACAAATAAACCGTGGCTATTCGTAGTCAAGACTCAAGAGCCAATGATATTTCGTAGCAAAATGTTATAAATCGGTTTCCATCCAGTTATCTGGTTTTTTTCTCCAAAATTCAACTTCCTGCCGCAAATAAATGTTTTATTACAACTTTTTTTTTTCTTGAGACTTCGTTAGAAAGAAAATACTTAAATTAATCAATTAATTTATGTGTGCCATCTGACCAAATTAGGTTTGCAGATGAAGGCAATTTTGGATCGAGATTGCCGCCTGAAACAACCACTGTAAAAAACTGTTTCTCGTTCACCCTTTTAAAAGAAAATACACTAGGCAATTTTGGATCGAGATTGCTGCCTGAAACAGTCACCGTAAAAAACTGTTTCTCGCTCACCCTATTAAAAGAGTTGTCAACAAATGTTACTTGCTAGACAAGAAAGTAAAAGTTGGAATTTTTTTGTTTACCGGTTGTCATGATGGCATATTGGATTACGGAAGGAGACCATTCAGGATAAATTTTTTTTACGTACGCATCCACACACCTGTAACATGAGGACGTGCCATCGAAGTTCCAGACATAACAGAGTACTTCACACGTCTAGGGCAAATAGTTTTGCATATTCCCGCAGATTAGTTTTGCATATTCTTGTAGATTCTCCTAATGACTTTGAGAATACCTTATCAAAGATTCAAGATACAATACTTTAATGATTAGATTTTGTGAATGAAAATATTTAGAATCAATAAACCAATAACATATATTTTAATTCAATGACAAAATGAGTTGCAGTACTTAACTAATTTTTCATCTTAGACTTAATGTATACTAAACAAGATGTTATGAAATACAATAACGCGAAATTTTATTTTAAACTTAAAAGATGTCAACTGATGATGCATAATTAGTAACCATCAGTATAAACAACAATGGGACTTCTCACGTTATGTGTTCCATCAGACCAGATTAGATTTGCAGAGGAAGGCAGATTTGGGTTGAGATCGCTGCCTGAAACAGTCACCGTGAAAGACTGCTTCTCGTTCACTGACTTCATGGATAGAACACTAGGCGAGACCTTGACGTTGAGCTTAGATCCGTGATTTAAGACAACTTTTGATTTGTATGTTGAGTTGGAGGTACCTATGTTGGTTACGGTTCTGTTGAAAGTCACTGTGAAGGAGCTGTTAGATTTCGACAATTTAGCTGACATGGAAGGATAGTTTAGGTTTCTTGGTAAGGTCTTGCCAGTACAAGTGACAGCTTCACCGGCAATGAGTTTCAGGGTAGTTGCATTGTAATTCATGCCACAGAGAAAGGCGATGTGGTCTGATTTGCCTAATTCATAGACGAGTCCTGGATTTAAAGCTGCTATTGGGTCGACATGTCCAGCTCCATAAGCAAACTCGGTAGATACTGCGCCAGTTCCAGAAGCATTCATCGGCCAAGCTGCAAAGTGTAGTTAAGAGAACAGAGTTATCAACAAAACTGTTACTTGTGCGACAAGAAAGTAACAGATGTATATGACTTTTAGTTACCGGTTGTCATGATGGCAGATTGGATCATGGAAGGAGACCATTCAGGATGAAATGTCTTGAGGTACGCAGCCACGCCTGAAACGTGTGGACAAGCCATCGAAGTTCCTGAGGTAATAGTGTAGTTCACACGCCTATTGTCCAACGTTGTTGCAGATGGTGAAACCAAAGGTGAATAAGCAGCGAGGATTTCCACTCCTGGTGCTGTTATATCCGGCTGCAATTCAACAACCATTTCTCTCAGACCGGGGAAAAAAAGAGAACTAGGTAACATCATAAAAATGTTAAACCTTAAGAATATCAACAGCGATAGTGTTTGGACCGCGAGAAGAGAATCCAGCAACTTTAGGAGCTGCCTGATTAAATATTGCTTCACTTTTTAGCACAGCCGCTTTCGGGGACCTGAGACAAATAAAGACAGAGATATCAAGACAAAGAATGAGAATCCAGCGCACATGGTAAGAGTATGAAACATCGAGATGACTTGTTCGTTACGTTGTGGAATTAATGTAAGAAATGATAGAGCCAAAGTCCTCTAGTGATAGAAAAGAGATGGGCCAAGGGCTAACAGTGGCAAATTCTGTTTTGTGTTTAAATATGAATGCAACAGCTACGTCCGAACCAATCGCATAACTGCACACAACGATCTTTCCCTTCGCCAGAGATTCGTTATTACACTTCTCAACCGATTGTTCGTACACAAGAGGATACTGTTTTCCTTTCAGATCAAAAGCATTCACTGATTTTCCCTGTTATGAGAAAAAGAGACATTGATAATGACAAGGAGACTAGGATCATAGAAATGAGAACGTTTGTTGGTACTTACGACAAGTGTCTTGCCGTTTCCGAGAACGACTTTAGTGAAAACCCCACGGTTTGAGGTGCTAGCTGCAACGGTTAAGATCCACGGTGCTACGCTCACGGTTGGACTCGGACCGCTGTTACCAGCTGACTGCACAGTGATAATCCCTTTGGCCATAGCGTGAAAAGCCCCTATCGCTATTGGGTCCTTTTCGTACATGTAGGTGGTGACTCCCCCGAGGGAGGCGCTGATGACGTCGACACCATCTGCGATAGCATCATCGAAAGCCGATAGTATAGATTCCGAGCTACACCCTGACCCGCTACAGACTTTGTATGCTGCTATTCTGGATGCTGGAACGCCGCCTCTTGCAGTTCCATTACCAATTCCATAGAAACTTGTGTTCTCAACCGCGTTTCCAGCGGCTGTTGATGCTGTGTGTGTACCGTGGCCTTCAGTGTCCCTCGTGCCTTCGTTTGTATAGTCTCTTGCTCCAATCAACTTGCTGAAACAATGTAAACAGATTAACTTTTGTACGTAATTTATTTTATTAACCAAAAGATTCTATGCCGAAACTCAAACTAATTAATTTCCGGGTGTTCCTTGAAAATAACCTCGACCAACAATACTAATCTTTATATAGAGAAATTAATTTAAGAGAATTACTTGTTGCAAGTGAAGTTTTTGCCGCCGGAGCAAACACCTTTCCATTTCTTAGGAGGAGGACCAAAGCCTTTACCGGAAAAGCTTTCTGATTCTGGCGAAATCCCAGTGTCCAAAACTCCTACAATAGTATCACTCTCAACGGCCAAGTTTCGTTTTGTATTTGTTCCTTCCTTCATTCCCATGAAGTCCCAAGATGCCGTTGTATGGAGTTTGTAGTTCATGCTTGGGAACACGGACACAACTCCCTCCATTTCTATCAATCACAAAAGGGTTTTTTAAACGTTTAACCTTAAACAACATTGTAACATAAAATGTCTCTCCATCGAAGAACACTCACCGGCTACTCTTTCTCGTTCTGACTCAGTGAGCCGGGCAGCGAACCCGTTGAAACTCCTCTTGTAACTTCTAACCAAACGTCCTTCGATCGAACTAGGAAAGAAATCACTTGTTAATTAGTATCTTCATAACCATTTTTTAAAATTAATTATAACTAATCTTGATTATATAAATGAATTAAATAAATCATTCGTACCTTTCGCCGGTGACTTCTTGAAGAATATTTATGTGATCCGACGTTGGTTTGTAGTCTGGTTGAGATGGAAGTGAACCCATGTAGACAACATACACCTTCATGGATTATTATCATCGTTAGCGTCATGTACGATGGATCGTATAATAGGGAGAAACAAAATTTACTGATTATTCTTTGTTTATAATAATAACATACTTGTTTATCTTGACGATTATCTGTGTCTGCCGAGACTAAACTCAAGAACAAAACAAGGACACAAAATGAAGCTTCTCGTAATTTCGCCATCTTTGAAAAAAAAAATGAAGATTACTGCAACTTTTATTTTCTATGGGGATTGACATGAAATGAAAGGATTTTTATATACTATACAATTTTTTTTATAAATCTTACTTTTCAAATTAATTTATTATAATAGCTTATAGTTTTTATGCTAAAAATCTATTATTGCTAATTGACATTCTTTCTACTATAGATTTGAATGACAGATCATATTTGTCTAATTTTAGTAAATACTTCAAAAACATTATAGAAATTATTAATTTGTTGTCCTATAAAGTACAGTATGAATCTTAAATGATTTGACTACTAATATTTAGTTCTAAAATTATTCTGCACCATCAAAGTTTTCCTAAACAAATACACACATAATAATTTCTTAAATTTATCATTTCTTTGACTAAAATATCCCAAGAGGACAGACATTAAATCGTCTTCTCGGGCTTGAAGATAATGAGCCCATGTTATAGAAGAAAATGGTCGGTCAAACTCATTGCCACGTCATCTATAGTTCTTAAAAAGATCATCTTCACCAAACCTGAAGACGTATTGTTCTTGAACATCCCCGAAGCTAACTCCGAACCTCAAACTGTTTCTTCTTCAGCTCCTCCTTGGCCCTTTTCACAAAGGTTAGTTACTTCTCAGAATTGCTACTTTTTGCATTGGAGCCGATTCTAATTTGGAAATTCAGTAATGTCAGTTATTGTATAATTCCCATTTAGACTAGATTTAGTCAAAGTTGCAGTGACGGTGGGAAAAATCAAACATGTTGATCAATTATTGGTCCTAGAAGAGGAATATATAACTGTCTTTTCGTCGATATATACATTTTCATTACGATCATCGGAAAGTAGCGGATCTCACAAGTTTTCATGTTCTTAGTTTCAGGGACAGGAGTTCTTGTTTTGTCTGCAAAAAAAACTGTTTCTCGTTCACCCTTTTAAAAGAAAGGACACTAGGCAATTTTGGATTGAGATTGCTGCCCGAAACAGTCACCGTAAAAAACTGTTTCTCGTTCATACTATTAAAAGAGTTGTCAACAAATGTTACTTGCTAGACAAGAAAGTAAAAGTTGGATTTTTTGTTTACCGGTTGTCATGATGGCAGATTGGATTACGTAAGGGGACCATTCAGGATGAAGTTTTTTGACGTACGCAGCCACACCTGTAACATGTGGACATGCCATCGAAGTTCCGGACATAACAGAGTACTTCACACGTCTTGGGTAACAGTTTTGCCAAATAGTTTTGCATATTCTCGTATATTAGCTTTGCATATTCTTGTAGATTCTCCTAATGACTTTGAGAATACCTTATCAAAAATTCACGATACAAAACTTTAATGATTAGATTTTGTGAAGGAAAATATGTAGAATCAATAAACCAATAACATATATTTTAATTCAATGACAAAATGAGTTACAGTACTTGAATAATTTTTCAATAAACCAATAACATATATTTTAATTCAATGACAAGACGTCATGAAATACAATAACGCGAAATTTTATTTTAAAAGACCATCAGTATAAACAACAATGGGACTTCTCACGTTATGTGTTCCATCAGACCAGATTAGATTTGCAGATGAAGGCAGATTTGGGTTGAGATCGCTGCCTGAAACAGTCACCGTGAAAGACTGCTTCTCGTTGACTGACTTCATGGATAGAACACTAGGCGAGACCTTGACGTTGAGCTTAGATCCGTGATTTATGACAACTTTTGATTTGTATGTTGAGTTGGAGGTACCTATGTTGGTTACGGTTCTAGTGAAAGCGACGGTGAAAGAGCTTTTAGATTTCGACAATTTAGCTGACATTGAAGGATAGTTTAGGTTTCTTGGTAAGGTCTTTCCAGTGCAAGTGACAGCTTCACCGGCGATGAGTTTTAAGGTAGTCGCATTGTAATTCATGCCACAGAGAAAGACGATGTGGTCTGATTTGCCTAATTCATAGACGAGTCCTGGATTTAAAGCTGCTATTGGGTCGACATGTCCAGCTCCATAAGCAAACTCGGTAGATACTGCGCCAGTTCCAGAAGCATTCATCGGCCAAGCTGCAAAGTGTAGTTAAGAGAACAGAGTTATCAACAAAACTGTTACTTGTGCGACAAGAAAGTAACAGATGTATATGACTTTTAGTTACCGGTTGTCATGATGGCAGATTGGATCATGGAAGGAGACCATTTAGGATGAAATGTCTTGAGATACGCAGCCGCACCTGCAACGTGTGGACAAGCCATCGAAGTTCCTGAGGTAATAGAGTAGTTCACACGCCTTTTGTCCAACGTTTTTGAAGATGGTGAAACCAAAGGTGAATAAGCAGCGAGGATTTCCACTCCTGGTGCTGTTATATCCGGCTGAAATTTAATCAACCATTGTCTATCAGACCGGGAACCAAAAGAGAACTAGGCAACATATATCATAAAAATGTTATACCTTAAGAATATCAACCGCGATAGTGTTTGGACCACGAGAAGAGAATCCAGCAACTTTAGAAGCTGCCTGATTATATATTGCTTCACTTTTTAGCACAGTCGCTTTCGGGGACCTGAGATAAATAAACACAGAGATATCAAGACAAAGAATGAGAATCCAGAGTATATATGAAACATAGAAAATATTTGTTCGTTACTTTGTCGAGTTAATGTAAGAGATGAGAGAGCCAAAATCGTCTAATGATAGAGAAGAGATGGGCCAAGGGCTAACAGTGGCAAATTCTTTTTTGTCTCTAAATATGAATGCAACAGCTCCTTCTGAACCAATCGCATAACTGCACACAACAATCTTTCCCTTCACCAGAGATATATTATGACACTTCTCAACAGATTGTTCGTACACAAGAGGATACTGTTTTCCTTTCAGATCAAAAGCATTCACTGATTGCCCCTATTATATTAAAAAAGAAAAAAAGAAAAGAGGCATCGATAATGAGAAGGAGACAACGATCATAGAATGAGAACGTTTCTTGGTACTTACGACAAGTGTCTTGCCGTTTCCAAGAACGACTTTAGTGAAAAACCCACGGTTTGTGGTGCTAGCTGCCACGGTTAAGACCCACGGTGCTACGCTCACGGTTGGATTCGGACCGCTGTTACCAGCTGACTGCACAGTGAGAATCCCTTTAGCCATAGCGTGAAAAGCCCCTATCGCTATTGTGTCCTTTTCGAACATGTAGGTGGTTTCTCCCCCGAGGGAGGCGCTGATGACGTCCACACCATCTGCGATCGCATCATCGAAAGCCGATAGTATTGATTCCGAGCTACACCCTGTCTCTCCACAGACTTTGTATGCTGCGATTCTCGAGGCTGGAACGCCGCCTCTCGCAGTTCCATTACCGATTCCATAAAAACTTGTGTTCTCGACTGCGTTTCCAGCGGCTGTTGATGCTGTGTGTGTACCGTGTCCTTCACTGTCTCTGGTGCCTTTGTTTGTATAGTCTCTTGCCCCAATCAACTTACTGAAACATTGTAAACAGATTAATTAACAATATTAACTTCTATATATTTACTAGAATTTAACCCGCGGTATACCGCAGGGCTATATTTTTTTAAAAAATGTAATGTTATTTTTTTAAAGATTAACTAAAGATATATCATATTAATTTGTATTTTTAAATATAGATATCTATCTATCAATTTTTGAAGTATAGATACGAAAACATATATTTTTTTAAGTAACGATTTATAGTGGATTTTAAAATTTTGAATATTTTACTCTGCAGTATACCGTGAGTCAGTTTTTTTATAACTAAAAATTTTAAATTTAAGTTGGATTTGTTTTGTTAATATTGTTTCTTTTGTTTTGTGTTTAAGATTGTATAATTGTATTTTGATTGTTAATTTTAGGATTTCATCCGTGATATACCATTTTTTATTAATATCGACCCAAACCCATCATCCCATATAAACTCGTCTATATTATCTCGTTAGCTAAATTATTAGTGTTATAAAATCCAAGAAAATAAATTATTATTGTTATAAAATCTAATAATTTTAGGATCTCACCCGTGGTATACCGTTCATTGAACGATTTTAAATTTATACTACTAATATATATTTTAAATTTATCATATAAAGTATATGATTTCAAGTTTTTGTGTTTTTTATTTTATTTAAATAAAACAGCGGCTTAATTGATGATAGATATAGTTCTTTTTCATGTATGTGTATATGATTTTTCTATGTGAATATTTTGATTATTATAAATTAGTATTTTTATTGCTATGCAAAATGTTAATATAAATATTTGCTATAAATATTTTTTTAAGATATATGGAAAGATTGTGTAGAGATTTTTAGAAACAAATTAGGCAAGATATTGTTTGGTTAATATCTTTTATTTAAATTTTGTAAAAGTAATAATAAATGTCAATGGCATGAACTCGTAAATACTTAGCAACTCTAGGATTTATTTGCTAAGTGTACTCCAAAAATGTATATATAGATTTTTATAACCAAAAGATTTTAACACAAACTAATTTCTTGAAAATACTTCCCTAGCTTTGACCAACAATACTAATCTTTATAGAGGGAAATTAATTGAGGAGAATTACTTGTTGCAAGTGAAGTTTTTGCCGCCGGAACAAACACCTTTCCATTTCTTAGGAGGAGGTCCAAAGCCTTTACCGGAAAAGCTCTCTGACTCTGGCCAAATCCCAGTGTCGAAAACTCCAACAATAGTATCACTCTCAACGGCCAAGTTTCGTTTTGTATTTGTTCCTTCCTTCATTCCCATGAAGTCCCAAGATGCCGTTGTATGGAGTTTGTACTTCTTGCTCGGGAACACGGACACAACTCCCTCCATTTCTAACAACACAAAAGGGTTTTAAACATTTAACCTTTAAAAAACATTTCAACATAAAATGTGTCTCGTAAGAACACTCACCGGCTACTCTTTGTTGTTCTGACTCAGTGAGCCGGGCAGCGAAACCATTGAAACTCTTATTGTAACTTCTTACCAAACGACCTTGGATCGAACTAGGAAGGAAATCACTTGTTGGTATCTTCATAAGTATAACAATATTTAAAATTAATTATAACTAATCATGATTATATAAAAATAAATCACACCTTTCTCGGGTGACTTCTTGAAGAATACTTATGTGATCCGACGTTGGTTTGTAGTCCGGTTGAGACGGAAGTGAACCCATGTAGACAACATACACCTTCATGGATTATTATCATCATGAACGATGGATCGTATAATAGGGAGAAACAAAATTTATTGATTATTCTTTATTTATTATAATAAGTTAATAACATACTTGTTTATCTTGACGATTATCTGTGTCTGCCGAGACAAAACTCAAGAACAAGACAAGGACACATGAGAGGTCACAAAATGTAGCTTCTTGTAATTTCGCCATCTTATTAAAAAAAAAAAAGGTTTTTTTTGAAGATTACTGCAATTTTTGATTTTATATGGAGATGAAAGGATTTTTATATACTATACATTTTTTTTTTATAAATCTTACTTTTCCAATTTAGTTTAATACAATAGCTTGAGAAGTTTTATGATAAAAAAAAAATCTATTTTGCTCTATGACATTCTTTTTATATTTAAATCTTATTTATTATTTTTATTAATTTGTTGGCCTATAAATCTTATATTATTTGACTACTAGATATTTAATTCTAAAATATGTCTACACCATAAAATGTTTCCTAAATATTATGAAGAATATTTATACACATATGAGATTTATCATTTGTTTAATCATATGAGATTTATCATTTGTTTGACTAATTAATAATTATCTCAAGAGAGAGCCATTACTCGTTTTATTGGGCTTGAAGATAATGAGCCCATGTAATAGAAGAAAATGGTCGGTCAAACTCATTGCCACGTCATCTATAGTTCTTAAAAGATCATCTTCACCAAACCTGAAGACGTATTGTTCTTGAACATCCCCGAAGCTAACTCCGAACCTCAAACTGTTTCTTCTTCTTCTCCTCTTCTTCCTTGGACCTTTTCACAAAGGTTAGTTACTTCTCAGAATTGCTACTTTTTGCATTGGAGCCGATTCTAATTTGGAAATCCAGTAATGTCAGTTTTTGTATAATTCCCATTTAGACTAAATTTAGTCAAAATTGTGACGGTGGGAAAAATCAAACATGTTGATCAATTATTGGTCCTAAAAGAGGAATAGATAACTGTCTTTTCGTCGATATATACATTTTCATTACGATCATCGGAAAGTAGCGGATCTCACAAGTTTTCATGTTCTTAGTTTCAGGGACAGGAGTTCTTGTTTTGTCTGCAACTTCAAGCTCTACTAAGCTATGGCTGTCACCAAGATTTATATAGTGTGAGTTTCATTAAACCAATCCATGCCAAGTTCATCAACTGGCGATCATTTCCAGTCAACAGTAATCTGCGATTCTCTACACTACTGGCTCAGACAGAACGAGATTCTGTGCCGGTCCTCATACCAGTTTTGTTTTGACGAAAAACCTGGTTTTTGGTTTTCCTGGTAGGTACTATTCCTTGCACGGCCATGTCGAGACAATGGCACGAGAGATTCTCCGAGGAGCAAACTCTGTTCCAGACGTGGAAGCAACACTCTGGCAAGTGCCAGAGACATTACCGGAGAAAATACTGGAGAAAGTGAAGGCCGTTCCAAGACCGGACGATGTGGCGGATATTCGACCAGAACAACTGGCGGAAGCCGACGGATTCATGTTTGGCTTTCCTTCTAGGTTTGGAGTGATGGCATCACAGGTTATGACTTTCTTTGACAATACAAATGATCTCTGGACTACACAGGCTCTCGCTGGGAAACCCGCGGGAATCTTCTGGAGTACGGGTTTCCACGGTGGAGGCCAAGAACTAACTGCGTAAGAACATAGTCCTCCTAACACATAGACATGTTAGAAGAACTCATGCAAGTGATTGATTTTAATCTGCAGGTTGACGGCAGTGACAAAACTGGCTCATCACGGGATGATATTTGTACCGGTAGGATACACATTCGGTAAAGGCATGTACGAGATGGGAGAGGTGAAAGGTGGTTCGCCGTATGGCTCAGGGACTTATGCAGCTGATGGATCACGCGAGCCAACAGAGCTGGAGATTCAGCAGGCAAATTACCATGGCAAGTACTTTGCAGGAATAGCCAAGAAACTCAAGAAACGGCCTCCTGTCTAAAGTCTAAAACAAATCAACTCTGTGTTTCATATACTAATTAATCTGTAAATGTGAAGGCGAATACTGAAAATAAGATTGACATATACAGAGCAAAACATCTATGTGTAAGCTAATGGTCAACTCGGAAACTATTGTTGATCAATGTATAGCATTACCACTTGGATATCAATATGAAAAATACCTACTTATCCTCTACAGCATTGTGGTCATTACTTGATCTCACTTGAAACTTCTACGATCTTCGTGACCCCAACCGGTATTCGCAGCTCTCTGTCCATATAAAGAATCAATAGAAAAATCAATGAGAAGAACAGATTCAAATGTTGTGCATCTAAGATGGTTATGCTTATTTACGTTTTCATCGTGAGAAAATTTGCAACCATCTCCACGAGTACACTCCTTTCTCTGAAAAGCTCTGCAAACACCACGAGCTTCTCTCTTCTTCAGCATCGTCTCTTCATCTTCCTCTTCTCTCTTTGAGTATTTACCACAATGCTCCACTTTTATGATCCTTCCCAACACCTTAGCTCCATTCAGATTATCTGCAATTGAGAGTAGAATCAGAATCAAGAGAAAGAAGAACCAATGTGTAGTAAAATCCATAAGAGAAAATGATTTTATGAACTAACCAACAGCAAGATTTGTACTTCTCTGATCTTCATAAGCAACAAACGCAAATCCTTTTGATTTACCAGTTCCTTTATCTCGAACAAGATTCACATCAACAACTTCACCATATCTTCAATGAAACCAAAAATTCAGAAATTAAAAATCATCATCTAGGTATAATATACTAAAATTGAACAATGTGAGAAGAAACTCGTACTGTGCGAAAACTGCGAGGAGGTCACCCTCTGTGAGATCGTACGGTAATTCTCCGACGTAAACGTAGGCTGAATCTTTGTATTTGGCGTGCCAAGATGCTTCGTCGGAAATCCCTAGATCTAATTCTTTCGCGTTAATGCTCTGTGTCTGCTTCACCATTGTCAACGGATTCATCGCCTCTCGGAGTAAAACCCTAAAGGCGAACGGCACGAATAGTCAGTCGCCGGAGACGCGTAACAGAATTGTGCGGGTCCGGTTATGTTGGCTTAATCATGGGTCGGTTTGCTTTTGACAGAATTGTGTGGGCCGGGTTACGATATATTAAACCGAATAATGGGTCGGTTTGCTTTTTGATTTTATATAGTTACCGGATCACCAACTTTTTTTTTCCATTTCTTTTTGTTTATGGATCGCCTACTTTTCTTATCTAGAAAAAAAAATCACTTAAATTTAATTTGACATACATAGGAAATTTCAACAATACGAAGCAGAAAAAAGTATACAATTTTGAGGTTTTCAACTATAAAAATGAAAGTCTCCTAATAAGTGTAATCAATCATTGTGATTTGTGAGAAAAATAGTTATAGCTCCTAAATGTTTTTCTTTTTTGCCAATACCGAACGTATATTAAATTGTAAGTGAAACTCTCTTCTGATGAGGAGGTTTTAAGTTCGTAAAATTGCTAAATATACATGAGCTTCTTGAAGGTTTACGAGATAGTGGGAAACCACAGCCAAAATGCAGAAAAAGCATGTAGTAAGTGGAACTTTCCCAAGATAAACGAAAGAGACTGATTACTACTACTTGTACTAACTCTAATACATATACAAAAGGAGTCCTCTTTTCCCCCAAATTTTTAAAGACTCTGCAGTATACAGATAAAAATTTACCAGAACCGGTTTTTCCGCCTTCACCTCACATGGCTATCGTAAGGAGAAGACGCAAACGCTTGATCTGGAACCACCAGTGGTAACTTCTCAATGTACATAAACAACCGTTTCTTGTTCTCTCTCACGATTGCAGTGAGATTCACTGTATCGTTTTGGTCCAAAAACATCCAGAGATCACCCGAGTCTACTCTTTTAAGGCTGTCTCTGCAGAACGGGCATGACTGTGATCTCCCTCGCCTAAGAAAAAACATTACTCTAATTCAGCAAACCGGTTACATTCAACACGTTACAAGATTTTTAATTAACTTACCAATCGCGATAACACTTGATGCATAAAGAATGAGTACAGTTTGGTAGCACCACCATGCTGTTCATCTCCATACAGATTCCACATTCTTCTTCCCGCTCGATCTCAATCTCCGAGAGCTCACACTTTTCTCTCTCATCCTTCTTTTTGTATCGCATATTGCATACCTCTTTTTGTTTGCGCTCATCTCCGTCTGTAATACCCCTTTGTAGTTGTGACAAAGACGGTAATATCACAGCTAAAACATAACCAAAACATCAAAAGCCCATAAGATTTCAACGATATCAACCTTGTTTACCAGAAATAATATCAGTGCCGGATAAACATACCGTAGAACTCTCTGATACTGGCTTTTCTTTCGTAAACCGACATTGTGGTCTTTCCATCTGCATAAGTCTGAACCAAATATAACTCAACAGGTTAATCAAACAATCACAGAGAACAGTATGGTGAAATGTAGCAAAACAAAGTGGACAGTACCATATAAATAAGAACTCTGAGTAAACCGAGGGTACCAGCAAGCTGACAATTAGTCCATTGTACAAGAAAAAGAAAAAATTGAGCAGCCGGGCTGTACGATAATCTCATCTGAACGCGCGCTCCATCCTTCTCCCGAGGACAATCTAAAGCTCTGTTATTCATTTACAAAAATGAAAACACAAGAAGATCATAAGCACCTCCAACCATAAACACATTTTTTGGTCGAAGAATCAAAAATATTGAAAGAGCAAATATAGTTTATCGGTTCAAGTACACATAATAAATCACAAACTGTCACAGCTTTAACACTAATATACTGCAGCTTCAACACTAGCAGCCTATACATTGATCTGTGTGGAGACCAATACTAGTTCAGCTAAAGCAGCTTCTTCAAATCAACTAGATAAGAGCAAGAATCTCAAGAATCAAGTACGAACTTAAACTTTCACTCCTTGTACTAAAAACTGTTCGAATCTAGATAAATCCAAAACTCAATGATCACTTTCTCAACTAGTGGACCTATGAGAATCAAACTACAGAATCTAAACGAAACTACGAACAAGAATGAACCTTCAATTCTATGCTCTTACATGCAAACCAAACCAAACAAAATTAGGTAACAACCAGAATAAAAAAGTTAACTTGAACGCTGCAATCAACTATCAAGCAGAGAAGAGTAATAAAAATCGAGACTTTATACTAAAAGTAGATAAAATTCAATAAAACTGGAGAAAGAAAAGGAAAAGATTTCGAGGATTTTACAGTGTATTAGCGTGTTGAATATCGGCTTCAAGAGCTTTCAGCGAATCCTTGAAAGATAATTTAGCCATGGCAGGTGAATGAATAATTTCCCCAGAAAATAATTCCCATCAAACGAAACAGAGAATCAAGAAAGCGAAACGAAGATTCATAGCATCCAAAACAAAAAGTAAATTTTCTTCTTTTGTTTTGTTTAAAGAAAAAAAAGGAAAAATTTAAAGGCTTCTCTTTTAGGAGAATTTTAGATGTTTCACCCAATCCGATGATCAAAATTACATTAATGAAGAAAGAGAAGAAAAGAAAAATTCGTAACTTTGGATTTTTCTCGATAAACCTCTCTTTAGCGATTTATCAGTTACGATTCTCGAAGCTGCTTTTTCAAGAAAAGTCACGAAATTATGCTTAAAATGACGGATATACCCTTGTTCCGATATTTCGTTTTTGGCGTAACCATCGTTTTTCGTCAGTTTCCATTAAAGGATTTTGCCACTTGGAAATAATTATTTGACGACCACGTTATTGTAATATAGTTTTTCACGCAGTATCATTTGACCTAGATTGTTAGTACCATTTATCACTAATAATAATATTACGTACTTGTAGTATCTATATTTAAAACAAATCTTAAATACTCTACACAATTTGAAAAGATATTAAAAAAAAAACACACAACAAGAAAAAAGTAATGGAGACATCAGACATGTGTTACAAAACCATTTGAAAAAAAAAAATTATGGTAAAGGAGTTTTGCGGGTTTAAGTTCATTCCTCATACCTCATTTGCTTTTGCTAATCGTATAGTTTTATTTACTGAAATGAGCGTTAAAAAGATCTTCGAAAACACCTTAAGACTTCCACATGTCAAGAAATTTTCGACATTGATCAATAAAGAATAGATAAAAAGTGGGTGAGTAAAATAAAAGATAGAGGTATGGATCAATTAAAAAATAAGTGGATAAGGTCAATGTCCCCAACAATCTATTTAGTGATCCTACTGTATAATGCATAGCAATAATTAAAGTGGGTAGTGCAATAAAAATAAGTTGAATAAAAGCATATAGCTAATAATCATAGCTCCTTATGAAGTGTAGTCAATGGGCCTTATAGACCAAGCCCTGTATATTTCTGTTCAGTGTTCAGTTAGAATTTTTTTTCTTTTATCGTGCTACTTCACAATCACTTATCTCATAGAAGATTTTAACAATTTACCATTCAATCAAACCTATAATACATAAGAATTAAATTTTCTTTGATGCCCTACGCATAACTAAAAATTTAGATTTTTTTGTTAATGTGAAAAAAAAAATATTTCCAAAAAAAGTGTTTAATTAATGTCAGTTTCTAAGCGATGGCTTCACTTGCTTGCCCTCCGGACCGGCCTACGGTACATTTCGCAATTTGCGGTATGTTAGAGATTTTGAAAATTTTGTATAATGATCTACGGAGACTGAAAATTTTTAGTGTGCGTCATAGCCGCAAGACTCTAGTGCTTGCTTAAAAGTTAAAACATTTACAGTGTTAATTAAACGGAGCTTGTTGATTACTCTTTCTTTTTTATGATGTGTAGATGAACGATGCATGCGAACAAACTGCGAGAGGATGTATATATGTCAATATCTATGAGTCCGATTGGTAACTAAAAGCTGTTAACTGTTAGCTGGAGCTGTTAGTTTTTCCGGAATAGTGCAAAGCTGTACAAAAGAGCTATACGAGAAAGCTGTACAAAAAAGCTGAGAGTAAAGTTTTTAGTAACGTTTTTGGTAAAGCTTTTGTGATTGGTAACTGTCAAAACTGTATACTTTGTAACGCTTTGTACCGCTTTGTAAAGTGGTTACCAATCAATGCCTATATCTATACCATTAGCTTCGACATTAATGGTAAAATAATTCAAGTTATATTGATCGAAAAAGTCAAAATCTGAACTCATGAAAATGTCGTAGTGTAATGAGAAAATCACGTGACGAAACGATTTAGTGATTTTCAAGTGTCGTAAGATCTTATTAAAACTTAATACGTATGATCTGTATTTGCTTAACATGAAGGAGTACTAGACAGAGAGCAAGTGGGAGAAAGAAAGAAGGTTCCATTGATCATCATGTGCGTCTTTGAACCCTAAGCTCTTTAAATACATCACAACGCTCCAATTCGAACAAACATTGAAACAAAGACAAAAGAAAATGTTGTATCTATTCTCTGTTGTTTTTACCTTTCTTGCACTTTTTCTCATCCCTGGTCTCTTCATCTCTCGACGACTAAGAGTTCCTTTGTCCTTGACAAACATCCTAAGATTCATCAAAATCACAGCTTCCAAATACGATGATGAGGAAGAAAGGAACGACGACAAACGGTAGTTTGCTTTTTACTAATCATATTTTTCTACGTATTTATGAATCTTTTGTTATATGAAAGCATGATAACTTTTTTTTCGTATTACTAATTCGTAGTGATGCTATGGGAGAGAAAGAGAAACGAGCGAGAAATAGAATAATGCCAAAGCATGTGGCGGTTATGTTGGACGGAAACAGACGTTGGGCAGAGAAACGAGGACTAGGGACATCGGAAGGCAACGAGGCCGGAGCCAGAAGGCTATTGGAGAATGCTAAGGATTGTTTCGCAACGGGGATAAATACTATCTCACTCTTTGCTTTCTCCACCGAAAATTGGGAAAGACCCGAGGTGATTACAGAAATGAAATATGGTTTTCACAACAGGTTTCGAGAGTTTTTGCTTTTGAGTAACCAAGAAGTTATGGAACTAACGACTATAACATGTTAAAATTAGTGAACTTGAAAACTTTTCTTTTTTTGGTGGTCATCTAATATATACAATAGTTGAGTTACCCACACCAAATTTTTTTCTTATATTTCATTTTGGTTTTTCTTTTTCTTTGATCAGGATGAAGTTAACTGCTTGATGGCCTTGTTTGAGAAACACTTTAGGTCTGAGATGCCTTACTTGCAAAGGTATCTACTCCAACGTGCTTTTTTTTTGTTTATCCTCTTTTAAAGCCCTATGTCTTGATGTTAATTAGTTTTCCCTTTCGTTTTTAGAGAGAACATCAAGATCTCGGTTATCGGGAACCGAGCAAAAATCCCCGAGTCGCTTCTAGGTTTGATAGAAGAGGTAGAGGAAGCTACAAAGAGCTACGAAGGGAAGAATCTCATTATAGCAATAGACTATAGTGGAAGATTTGATATCTTACAAGCATGCATAAGTCTTGCAACGAAAGTGAAAGACGGGCTGATTCAAGTGGAGGACATTAACGAGAAGGCGATGGAGAAAGAGTTGTTGACAAAGTGTAGCGAATTCCCAAACCCTGACCTGTTGATCAGAACAAGTGGAGAGCAAAGGATCAGTAACTTCTTCTTATGGCAATCTGCTTACACTGAGCTTTACTTTCCAACTGTTTTGTGGCCTGATTTTGGCGAAGCTGAGTATCTTGAGGCCTTGACTTGGTATCAACAAAGGCAGAGGCGATTCGGGCGACGAGTTTAAAGTTTTGAATCGTCATGTCTCACTAATAAAATGTTTAAAATGGTGCAATTAGTACGTGGTACGATTGTTTCATGAGACCTATATATTTGTGTTTGTTTAAAAAATGCAATTTTTTCCTTTCCACAAATTCATTATAGAAACTATCAATCTTACGTATGTAACTTTTAGAATGATAGTTTTATTTTGTTAAGTTCAATAATTTGACGTATAAATCTTTGCCACATAATTTATGCATTTAAATATTTTAGCGGCCAGTTCAATTAACACAAAAATAGTTTGAATGGTAGATAACACAATTTATGACGACACTGACAAGTTTATTGACGAACATCATCTACTTAATTCAGAGAGCTAGATAACTAATCTTTTTACTTTCAGAGAGATAACTAATCTTTTTACTTGATTACTCTGTTTCACCTAAATGGCAAAATAAAAATATCAATGCTTAACTCGTGTTTGCTTAGTGAAAAAGTTAATTTTTGGCAAGCTGCTCCAAAAGCGCGAGAGAAACATTGAAACAACCAGAGCCAGTCATTAAAAACTTACTCTTGAGATGATATTCACAAATTCTATAATCCCTGCAAAAATCATTCAAGTTATATTGATCGAAAAAATCAAAATCTGAACTCATGAAAATGTCTTAGCTAGTTTAATGACAAAATCACGTGACGAAACGATTTAGTGATTTTCAAGTGTCGTAAGATCTTATTAAAACTTAATACGTATGATCTGTCTTTGCTTAGCATGAAGGAGTAGACAGAGAGCAAATGGGAGAAAGAAAGAAGGTTCCACTGATCATGTGCGTCTTTGAACCCGAAGCTCTTTAAATACATCACAACGCTCCAATTCGAACAAACATTGAAACAAAGACAAAAGAAAATGTTGTATCTATTCTCTGTTGTTTTTACCTTTCTTGCTCTTTTTCTCATCCCTGGTCTCTTCATCTCTCGGCGACTAAGAGTTCCTTTGTCCTTGACAAACATCCTAAGATTCATCAAAATCACAGCCTCTAAATACGATGATGAGGAAGAAAGAAACGACGACAAACGGTACTTTGCTTTTTACTAATCATATTTTTCTACGTATTTATGCATCTTTTGCTATATGAAAGCATAATAACTTTTTTCGTATTACTAATTTGTAGTGATGCAATGGGAGAGAAAGAGAAACGAGCGAGAAATAGAATAATGCCAAAGCATGTGGCGGTTATATTGGACGGAAACAGACGTTGGGCAGAGAAGCGAGGACTCGGGACATCGGAAGGCCACGAGGCCGGAGCCAGAAGGCTATTGGAGAATGCTAAGGATTGTTTCGCAATGGGGACAAATACTATCTCACTCTTTGCTTTCTCCACCGAAAATTGGGAAAGACCACAGGTGATTATGGAAATGGAATATGATTTCACAAAAAGTTTCAAGAGTTTTTGCTTTTGACTAACCAAGAAGTTATGGACCTTACGAATATAACTTGTTGATTAGTATCTTCTTCTCACCGCGGGTGTTAAAATTTGTGAACTTAGAAAACCTTTTGTTTTTGTTTATCTAATACAACAGTTGAGTTACCGACACCGATTTTTTTTTTTCATTTTGATTTGGTTTTTCTTTTTCTTTGATCAGGATGAAGTTAAATGCTTGATGGCCTTGTTTGAGAAACACTTCAGGGCTGAGTTGCCTTTCTTCCAAAGGTATATATTCCAATTGTTTTTTCTTATCCTCTTTTAAAGCCTTATGTCTTGATGTTAATCTTCCCTTTCGTTTTCAGAGATAAGATCAAGATCTCGGTTATCGGGAACCGTGCAAAAATCCCCGAGTCGCTTCTAGGTTTGATAGAAGAGGTAGAGGAAGCTACAAAGAGATACGAAGGGAAGAACCTCATTATAGCAATAGACTATAGTGGAAGATTTGACATCTTACAAGCATGTAAAAGTCTTGCAACGAAAGTGAAAGACGGGCTGATTCAAGTGGAGGACATTAACGAGAAGGCGATGGAGAAAGAATTGTTGACAAAGTGTAGCGAATTCCCAAACCCTGACCTGTTGATCAGAACAAGTGGAGAGCAAAGGATCAGTAACTTCTTCTTATGGCAATCTGCTTACACTGAGCTTTACTTTCCAACTGTTTTGTGGCCTGATTTTGGCGAAGCTGAGTATCTTGAGGCCTTGACTTGGTATCAACAAAGGCAGAGGCGATTCGGTCGACGAGTTTAAATTTTTGAATCTCACTAATCAAATGTTCAAATGATGCAATAGTACTTAGTGGTACTATTGTTTCATGGGACCTAAATATTTGTGTTTGCTTAGAAATGCTTCTTGATCTTCTTTTTTTAGTTTCAATAAAATTCATAATAGAAACTATCATAATTCATATAGATGTATGTCAAGTGTTATCTTGTAAATATACTACCATGGTACAAACTTCTTCTATATGTACGATTTATACAAACTTCTGTATGTACGATTTATTTTTGTTCAACCACTGAACTCATAAATAAATCGTTTCTTACCAATTATTATACCACGTAATACTACAAAATTTATGCATTTTCAAAGAATTTAGCTAGCGGCCGTCTCAATTAACATAAAATAGTTTGAATGGTAGATAACACAATTTAAAACCACACTGACAAGTTCATTGATTGAGCATCATCTACTTAACAGAGAGATTACTAATCTTTTCACTTACTCTGTTTCACCAAATAGGCAAAATAAAAATGTCAATGCTTAACTCGTGTTTGTTTAGTTATAAAGTAACTGAGTTCGTTTTTGGCAAGGTTTCCAAAACTGCGAGATACAGAACCAGAATCAGTCCTTTAACAAAGAAAACAACCAGAGCTAGTCATTAGTCATTAGAAACTTACTCTTAAAATGATATTCATACATTCTATAATCCATGCAAAACACTTGCAATTCTTCACACTCTCTACAATGTTGTCTCTGCTCTGTTTCCTTGTGTCTCTTCTCTTTCTTCTTCTACTTCCTTGTCTCCGACCTTGCTTTTCTGCTAAAGGATCTCTGAAAGATAAAAAGAAGATGTAATTAAACATCTTATTTTTGTCCTGGTTAAACTAAAACTTTCATGACTTAGCTTTGGTTTTATGTTTTGTAGTGACGAGGGAACTTATGTGGTCGGAGAGGAGGAGCCACCTAAAGGGCTTCGAAGAGAGCTGATGCCGAGACACGTGGCAGTGATAATGGACGGAAATCGGAGATGGGCGAAACAGGCCGGATTGTTGACGTCACAAGGCTACGAGGCTGGAGCTAAACGGCTTATAGAGTTAGCCGAGCTCTGCTTCAAACTAGGGATAAATACTGTCTCAGCTTTTGCTTTCTCCACTGAGAATTGGGGAAGACACAAGGTCCTTGTGGCAATTTCATACGAATTGTTTCAGTTATCCTAAGATATTTCGCCTTTATTATCTCTAACAACTTAATTACTCAGATTGAAGTCAAATGCTTGATGTATTTGTTCCAACGTTATCTCAAGTCAAAGATCCAATTCTTCCAGAGGTATATATAAAGCGAGTGAGCTTATTCAACATAGTAGAGCTTCTCATCTGCTCATTTTGTTACCAAGAATCTTGTTTGTTTCAGCAAGGAAATCCGAGTTTCTGTTATCGGGAATCTTGCGAAGATTCCAGAATCTCTCCTTGGAATAATCACAGAGATAGAGGATGCTACAAAGAGTTACAAGAAGAAGCATCTCATCTTGGCCATAGATTACAGCGGGAGATTCGACATCTTGCGTGCTTGCAAGAGCATTGTGAAGAAATCAGAACACGGTTTGATCCGAGAGAAAGACGTGGACGAGACGTTGTTCGAGAGAGAGCTTCAGACCAAGTGTACAGAATTCCCAAGTCCTGATCTCTTGATTAGGACAAGTGGAGAACAGAGGATTAGTAACTTCTTCTTGTGGCAACTCGCTTATACCGAGCTCTTCTTCTCGCCCGTCCTTTGGCCTGATTTTGATAAGGACAAGCTTTTAGACGCCCTGGCTTCGTATCAGCACAGGGAAAGACGATTTGGCTGTCAGGTCTGATCCACATTTGATCCTCTGCTCCGCTCTGTTCTGTTATGTTCATCTGAGATTTCTATCAAACTGCTTGCTCCACTTTCCAGAGATCATTAATACTGTTGTAACTTTCTGTCGGTAAATCGAAATATTTCGAATAAAATCAGCGGTTAGTTTCTTGTTCCTTGCTTCACCTATGCATAAATCAGTTGTTACTTGTTACTAAAACAGATATCTTGCAACACAAGGAACTGTACTATCTCAAAAGCAGTGTTCTTGAGGTATTAAAAATATCCATTATTACACATCATATACAGTTTTCATTACACCAGTTGCAAAAGAATCAAGATTTCCGACCACCAAAGCGTCGTTGTCTCTGCTGAAACGATGTCAAAGCTTCGATAAAACCGCTCCTCCCAAAATCAGGCCAAAGTTCTTGAGCAAAGAAGAGCTCTGTATAAGCCAATTGCCACAACAAGAAGTTACTCACTCGAAGCTCACCACTCGTTCTTATCAGCAAATCCGGGTAAGGAAACTCAGTACAATTGGTCTCCAATTCTTCCTCAATCAGTCTCTCATCTATCTCCTCAACTCCGATCTCGCCATCTTTAACTCTCTGCGCGATACCTCTACACGCTTGTAAAACATCGTACTTCCCACTGTAACCAACCGCTACGATTAGCTGAAGCCTCGTGTTGTTCTTTGTAACTTCCTCAACTTCGTTAATCACTCTTAAAAGAGATTTCGGAAGTTTCGATGAATCTCCAATAATCGATATCCGAACATTGTTCCTGACACTCAAAAGATCAAACTTTTGAGACATAATTAATCAATCACAAACACTTGTTGATAACGAATTATACCAAAACTTACTTGGCTAAGTTCTGAAATTCTGATTTGAGTGATCTCTCGAATAAACTAAACAAGAAATCAATCTCAATCTGCAGAGACATAACAACTCAAAATCTCGCATCAAAATTGAGCTGTAAAATCTGAAATTTCGAAAAAAAACTCCAAATTTAAAGTTAGGTTTTCACTCACCCTTGGTCTAATCCAATTATCGGTAGAGAAAGCGAAAACAGTGAGGACTTGAATTCCCCATTTACCGGAAAGTTCAACGATCTCTTTCAAAGCTTCAACGCCAGCTCTGTGACCATCCCACGGTTGAAGACCTCGATTCTTCGCCCATCTTCCGTTTCCGTCCATTATAATCGCCACGTGTTTTGGCATCAGCTCCGCCTGTAGCTCTTCCGGCAGAGTTTCTTCCTCCTCCGCTGCCGTAAACGCAACATCTGATTTGGAAGATCTGACTCCGAATTTGATTCCTCTGTTTTCCTCGAATTTTGGCGAGAAAGAGAGAAAGCAGTCTCTACTTAACCGCCATCGCCGCTCTAAATATCCGGCGTTAAACCGACGGAAATCGAAGGAAGTAGGTGGACGAACTCGTAGAGATAACATCTTAAGAGATTCGATTAACTCAAGGCTTGTGGTTGGTTGATAGGACTTAGGAGAAGCAATTGTATTAAAGACGTAGAAGATTGGAACTTTCTTAACTCCATAGAAGGTTCTGGTGAGGGGTTTGAAAACGATGTCGTGTTTTTGTCTTTGTTGAAGAAGATGATGTAAAAAAAAAGAAAAAAAAGAAGATGACGTTGTTTTCGAAATTGAGCGCCACAAACAAAATTTATCGTTAAGAAATTCCTAGCTCCTGTTTTTATTTCTTTATTTTGTGTGGTTTATACGAGTTCCTATTCGTCCACGTCTCCTACTTTTTCATTTTAAAAAAAAAATGCATTAGAAAACTCCTATTGTATTAAAAAAAAAAAATTTCCTTCTAAATCAGGCCAGCAAAGAGTAAACAACTTCAATATTGGGGCCGGAGCCTATTAGTGATCTTAATAAAAGGGCCCAATGTCGGAATTGCACGTGAGAGCCACGTGAGTTGTGTTTCCGGGCAGTAATTCGCCACGTCTCAGCTTCACCCTCCACGAGACATTTAATTAAATACCAAGAATACCCTTATATTATCATAAGTATAGACCTGCAGGGGGTATAATGGTAAATTAATATAGGGTTAAAAGTGTCGTTTATCAGCGTAATTTCAATTTTAACCGTGCATCGACCTAACCGGCTTTAGTTTGTGTCGTCATCGAACCCAAATAGAAACAAAACAGTTTGATTCGTATTCTCTCTTCCTTTTGTCGGATCGTGAGATTTTCCTAACAAAAATGGGTTTAACGAGGAACAAAAGAAAAACGGACCCAGAAATCGTCATCGCTAGAGATACAGATTCCGAGTTAAGTTCGTCATCATCATCAGAAGAAGAAGATAATTACCCTTTGTCGGAGTCAGAGGAGGAAGATGAAGCGGTTAAAAGTGGAGGGAAAATTGAATTGGAGAAAAATAAAGCCAAAGGGAATGCACCCATTACCGTTAAGCTTATTAAGAAAGTTTGCAAAGTAACGCTCTTCTAAAAACCCTAGCTTTTCAAATGAGTTTTCTTATTTGGCTTATGATTTCAAGTTCTGGGTAGGCTTTATATGGAATCAAAGTAATGGCTTTTGATTTTGATTTCAAACATATTAGAATTATTCACTGTATAGGGTCACTGAAATTCACTACATTGTTAGTTAGGATTCTTCACTTAGATGCAGAGACGGATGATTTTGGTGTTTGGCTATGATTGTTTTATATCTGTTTTGTTTCATGGTGGATTTATAGGTTTGTAAACAGCCTGGTCATGAAGCTGGATTTAAAGGAGCAACGTATATCGATTGTCCTATGAAACCTTGCTTCTTATGCAAAATGCCTGGTAAAAACCCGCAATTTCTTATCGATACTCGCTTTTTTGATGATGATGAATGGATAAAATGTTAATTTACTCAATGTTCTCACTTTTTACTGCATCAATTGAAGGCCACACCACGATGTCCTGTCCTCATAGAGTGGTTACTGACCATGGAATACTCCCAACTTCTCATAGGAATAAAAAGAATTCTATTGACTTTGTGTTCAAGCGCCAACTCCAACCGAGAATTCCCCCAGTAAGTCCTTTTGTGTTCAAGCGCTAACATATTTTGATGACTGATGAGATTTATTGACTGGATCTTTTCTCCTTTTTCCTTTGCTGGACAGATCAAACCAAAATATGTGATCCCGGATCAAGTTCATTGTGCAGTTATCCGATACCACAGCAGACGTGTTACATGTTTGGAGTTCCATCCAACAAAGAACAACATTCTTCTCTCTGGAGATAAGGTTTTACAATTAAACAGAAAGTCATTTGTTGCGAATTTATCGCATGCATTTTCTCATTTGTGTTTTCATTTCCGTTGGTCGAATGATTCACACTCTGAAAGAAAGGGCAAATCGGAGTCTGGGATTTTGCAAAAGTGTATGAGAAGAATGTGTATGGAAACATACACTCTGTTCAAGTTAATAATATACGGTAAGTTTTTAAATCTGGCTTTCGATCTTATAGTATCTGTTGTGAGTTTGCTTCTGCATTCAGGTGTCTATATCTGGAAAGCTCATGTGTTTTGTTATATTAAATTTCTTTTCTTTTGTCGGTATTGCAGGTTTAGTCCCACAAATGATGATATGGTTTATTCTGCATCCTCTGATGGAACAATTGGTTATACTGACCTGGAAACTGGAACTTCATCAACTTTGCTGAATCTCAACCCTGATGGATGGCAGGTCACACCATCATCTCTTTTTCTCTGAATTGTCTTCTCTGAACCATTTTACTGATATGACATATCATCGGTTTATAGGGCCCAAACAATTGGAAAATGCTGTACGGTATGGATATTAACTCGGAGAAAGGTGTAGTGCTAGCTGCTGATAATTTTGGGTTTCTTCACATGTAAGTCATTTCATCCCCTTAAAGTATTTGTAGACGAGCCTCTTTGTTATTGTTCATATGAGCGCCGGACTTATTTGCTCGTGATGTTTTGTGCATAAGGATCGACCATCGTACCAATAACGGAACAGGTGAGCCAATTTTGATACACAAGCAAGGAAGCAAAGTTGTTGGCCTCGACTGCAACCCAGTCCAGCCTGAGCTTCTTCTCAGTTGTGGTAACGATCATTTTGTAAGTCTATCGAACAGAATCAAGATTATGCTTTCACTTGGATTCGTTTAGATATTATCTGAATTCTGTCAGAACTTGTTCAATAGATTTCTTGGTTATGGTTTCAGGCACGAATCTGGGATATGCGTAAACTACAACCTAAAGCTTCTCTTAATGATCTTGCACACAAACGAGTAGTCAACTCTGCTTATTTCTCTCCGTCATCAGGCACGAAAATCCTAACGACCTGTCAGGACAACCGTATTCGAATATGGGACTCTATCTTCGGGAACTTGGATTTGCCTAGTCGAGAGATTGTTCATAGCAATGATTTCAATCGGCATTTGACGCCATTCAAAGCTGAATGGGATCCTAAGGTTTGATACTTTCACCTCTCCCTCGTCTCCTTTTCCATCAATTCCTTCTTTATACAACATTTTTAATATGTTCATCCACAGGATACCTCGGAGTCACTCATTGTTGTTGGTCGTTACATCAGTGAAAACTACAATGGAACTGCTCTTCACCCAATAGATTTCATTGATGCAAGCAATGGGCAATTGGTTGCAGAGGTTATGGATCCAAACATCACAACTATTACTCCAGTCAACAAGTTACATCCACGCGATGATGTTTTAGCTTCAGGAAGTTCAAGGTTGGAGATTCATTTCCCAACAGATACAATAGTAACCACTGGTGGAAACTTTTTTTATTGACTGATCTCTCATGGTGTGGATTTGGTTTCAAAATCTGGTTTTGCAGGTCGCTGTTTATTTGGCGGCCACAAGATAAAACAGAGATGGTTGAGGAGAAGAAGGATAAAAAGATCATCATATGTTCTGGCGACAGCAAGAAGAAAGGAAAGAAGCAAAAGCGTGGCAGCGATGATGAAGACGACGAAGATGACATGTTCATCTCTAAAGGCAAAAACATTAAAGTCAACAAGTCTCAAGCAAAAACAACCAAGTCTAGTCGGAAGACAAAAACTTAAGATGAGTAAAGAAGGTTGTTATGTATAACTAACTTTTACTCTGTTTTTTTGTTTCTTTGGGTAGGTTTTCTTGTACAGAGTCTGTTTTAGTAGCATCCCCTGTTTTGCCTTTGGCTGGCAATTTTGCTTTTCTTTTTTTTTTTTGAGGCATGATCGGCTTTTGTGTGGCATTCTCTTGAACTCCTTTTTGGTGTATCTAAAGTATGAATTGCAGTAAGAATGTGGAATAGATCCATCTCGAATCTTCTCTTCAGTTTTTACTCTCTTGTTTTCTCTTACTTGTTGGGGTGGTTCTTTATCTCACCGAGTGATGAGTGGAGACAGGGGATGAAAAGTCTTTACTCTACGTCATCTTGACAGCCAAAACTCATCTGTAATAACATCTATAAACAAACTGACTCCAGCTAATCATCTTGTTGTTTCAAGTATGGTCTGCCACTACTTCATCTTATCAATGGCATTTCAAAAATCTATTTTAACTACTTAATTATGGAATGGATTTATGTTTAATGATTTAGCTCAAAAGGATTTGTGGAAAGCTCATTATTCAAACAAACAAAACTTACATGAAGATTATTGATCAAGTACTTACCGTGATCTACATTGCTAATGTATACATGTGTTACAAAGGAATGAGTTTTTCATCTCTCATCACATCAATCCAATACAAAATCGAATCTAGGGTTCTATATTTCCTCTTAAACCCAAACTTATCTACTTTCTCTCTCTTCCCAAGAAGCTTAAACGGACATCTAAACAGAGCATCCAAGAAAAACCAATTCGCCAAATCCTCAATCTTTGTCTCAACAAGCTTCTCCTTCACCACAATCTCATCCCACACATGTTTTCTCTCAGCCATCTCTTTACCAAACCAGAAACCTTCATCAAACATGGTTGTTTCGTTAACTTGTACTCCAAGTTTTTTCCCTATTTCCGGCCAAATCTCCTTCCAAGTAAAACCTACTCCATTAATTGTGTTAAAGGCTTCACCTTTCTCGCGTACTTTCGCACTAGTTGCAGCGAATATATGCTGTTCCGCTACTAAATTCGAATCAGAGCCATCAATGTAACTCTCTTCCCAACATTCTCTTGTCCCTCCAAACACAAAAGGAAGATTCAAATACTTACACATCGCTCCATAAACACAAAGACTTCCCATGAAGTTGTACAGAGTTCTTGTTGAGCTTCCCATTAGCAAACCGGGTCGTTGAACCGACCAAACAACTGTACTGCCAGTGATCTTCTCCTTCAGCAAATCCTCCAAAACGTAATAAAAATTCATCCCAGAGCTCTTTCTTGGACACTCCTCGCTGTAATAACACAAACTGGAACCTTCTCCACGTAGTAGAGTCTCTTCCACCAAAGACACGTAATGCTTCATCCCCGTTTGAAGCGAGAAATGCTTTAACCTCTTAGCGTTTGGGAGAATCGCGTCCAAAGCGTTCATCAGCATCGTCTTGTTCTGGACGCAGCACTCGTCGGTATCCAGTGGATACTCACCAGACCACGTGACCCAAAACACGTGACTCACGATGCCTTGTAATGGAAACAACCTCTGTTTAGTCTCAGATGCGTTAAGCAGATCACAGGAGATGAAGTTGTACATCTTCGTCATGGAATTGATCTCCGGGTTTCGCGCTACGCCATAGATTCTCCATCTTGGTTTTGACGTTAATAGCCTCTTAACAATCTCTCGACCCACGAGCCCCGTGACGCCAAAGATCAACGCGACATTCTCGTCTACTTCGTTTCTTCCCATCAAGCTGCCATTTTCAGACCCCATTTTGACTATGAGAGAGTTATGGACTTTGATTACGATCGAAGCTTTATATAAACGTTGTGAGACTGATTCAACGGGTTTTAGGAGAGTTTCAAGACTCGATGCTTACCTGTTTTAAAGGCTATGTTATAATATCCAAAGCAACTTGCTTTGGAAACAGCTACGATTTAGCATAACAAAGCACAATTCTTTAATATAAATGAGATTAGGGTCAACAGTGTTTAGAGTTTCATGTTACAGTGCTATTAATTTTAGGATGGCGTTATAAGTACTATTGCGTGCGAGTTGAGTAATGCTGCAAGTGTAGATTCATTGATAGATAGTTTGAACGTCGTCCTAGCCAAACCAGAGAAAACATATGTTATAGCTATAACTTATAGCTTATAAGGTTATCTATTTGGTTAAAGGGGTCGTACATATACTTCTTTATTTAACAATTAAACTTGCGGTTCTGGAATGTGTTACGAAAGCCACAGTTCTTAATAGTAGTTTTTAATGAACCGTCGTGTACAGCATTTTGTCCGCTTCTCAATCGGACGGTCAAGATTGCGAGAAGCAGCATCTGGCCCGTGGCCGTTACGTTGCTGGCCGGCTTTTAAATATACTCCTCAAGTGGGTCTCTAATATCCATTTTACTTAACAGTCTTACCGGTCAAAACCGAATATTAGCCGACAACTTGATGATTGTTTTTTCATAACTAGAACTCATGTACCAGAACCCAAACCGATCTGAGATCTAACTGTCCTTTGATTTATGTAGTGGCCTGTATCATATCGAATTTCATCAAATTGAAACAAGTTGACCATGCATGATTATTGTTTTTAATGTTAAAAATTTGGAATAATAAAGTAGTTTGTTATTAGTCAAAGCCTTTGATCACGCATACGTCAATCTTGTTCATGAAACTTACTTATACATTATAGTATGAGAAAATTGAATTAGAAGTGACAATAATATTGCCTTGGAGAAACTGAAAGGGGAAATGGGTACAGTGTATCTCTTGTCCCAAAGGACATTGAAAAGCTAAAAACCACACACTTGGCTCCGCTAAGGCTTTAAAATGGACCATGTTTTGTGGTAGACCTACACATTACTCTTCTTTCAATTTTTGTCTTCCTCTTTATTCTATGCATTTAATAGACCCACTTCTCATTTTTATACAAATAGGAGTATTTCAATGTTTTATTTAATTTTAAAGAATAGTAGTATCTTCGATCTGTGGAATTGTGAAAGAGTGTTCTACCTTAGTGACAAAAAAAAGTTTGTTGGAACTTGGAAGAACTTAAAATAATAAAATAAGTCCCAACTACTTAAAACCGGCATGGAGTTTTGACATCCATGTTACAAACGGAGTGTGCCTTGAGAGAAAGGGATCAAAACGTAAATAACTAAAAGTAAGAACCCTTAAACGAAATTACATGAATATGAAAGGATATAATCATAAATGCCTCTCCCGTTTATGTCGAGACGACGTTCAAAACTACAATCAACGGTGATCGATTTCACCGGGAACGGAGAAGAAAACCCTAGATATGGCGGAGAAGCTTGCGCCAGAGAAGCGACACGATTTCATTCATAATGGTTTCTCACTTTTTCTCTCCCCTCGCTCTCTATTTTCTCTAATTGCAGTCTGATTTCATTCACGAGATTTGATTTGATCGATTATGTTCTTCGATTTCCGATGGTTATAGGTCAAAAGGTATTTGAGTGGGATCAAACCTTAGAAGAAGTGAACATGTACATAACTTTGCCTCCCAATGTTCATCCGAAGGCTTTCCACTGCAAAATCCAGTCGAAACATATCGAAGTTGGCATCAAAGGCAACCCTCCTTATCTCAATGTCAGTTTCTTCCACTAGCTTTCAACGTTTTGGATCTGTTTTTCTCACTAATCGGAGAAATTCGATGTGATATAGCTCGACTCGATTGTTTAACATTTGACAATTTTCAGCATGATCTTAGTGCTCCTGTGAAGACAGATTGCTCGTTCTGGACTCTAGGTACTCTGATTTCCTTGTAAAGATTTGATTGTTAGGTCACTGTGACTAGATTTACTATATGTATAAACCCGTTTCATTGCTAGAGAGGATAATTTAATTCTGAAAATTGTTATCTGAGTTTGGTATAAATATAGTACATATAGTTTGGAATATGGAAAATTTGAGACTATGATAATGGATGATGGAATGTTGTGCAACTATTGTGTTTGGATCTTGAGTATGCAAGAGTATGAAGTTCTCGGTTGCAGTGATCTAAGAATTTGTAATTGGGTTATTATCAGCATTTGTATAAGATTTTTACTGTTTAGGTTCATATTCAGCCACGGGTGGCTAACTCTTATGTTTGTTTTGGCAGAGGATGATATAATGCACATTACCCTGCAGAAGAGGGAGAAAGGGCAGACATGGGCATCGCCGATTCTGGGACAGGGTCAGTTGGATCCTTACGCCACTGATCTTGAGCAGAAACGGCTCATGCTCCAGAGGTTTCAAGAAGAGGTTAGCTACCTGTTAAAGTCTTCTTGGTTTCATGTGGTTTCTGCTTTTGCAAAAGAAAAAAAAAAGTCTTGTTGAAGTCTGTCTTGGTCATCTAATTGATCTCCAAAGCAAATCTTAGGCACCATCCACTGGGTAGAATGAATCTATGTGAAAATATGATTACTTTGCCATAGATGATCCGTTTTGGAAGAGTCATGTATAATCGCATGGATTGTTTTCTTCGTTCAAACTCTCTTATTTTGTTTCTTGTGTCTCTCAAGTAGTGATTTTTTTGTGTTCATGGATAACCAGTCTGCATAGAGCTGGTGATAGTTAACCTATAGTGTAACCAGATTCTTATCAGTTTTATGAATAAACAGTCATAGATCTGGTGATTGTAAAGCTATGGTGGATGAAATTGCTCACTCTTAGTCTAACCCGATTGAGCAAATTAATATGAACACATGGGTCTGATCCATGTATGCCTTAATGGCTTTGTCTTAGTGGTTTTGGTTCTACTTGTATGCATGATTTATGCATGACTTTCTATTTACTTTGTCTTGAGCTCAAGTATGCTTTTCTTTTCTCTTTCGATCAATTTTCTTTTGACATATTCTTTCTCTGTTGGTTTTTGCAGAACCCAGGATTCGACTTTTCGCAAGCTCAGTTCACGGGTAATTGTCCAGATCCAAGGAGCTTCATGGGGGGTATTCGTTCTGACTAAATATAGTCCCACTATTGTTGCTATAGTAGTATGTCCAATATAAACTCAAAAGTCACCATGACTTAACAAAAACTCTCATGGCTCATATATAAACGCCCTGACTCTCTGTTTCTATAACTCGTAATGGCAAATCTTATAACTCGTCTTTCGTCTCTGTTTAGTCATCTTTTTCTTCCCGACAACTGAATCGAAACATCAACTAAAGTCCACTGAGCCGCCATGCATTCATCTCCACTTCGAATCTTGTTTTGGTATTTGACAGCTTTTTCAAAAAGAAATTCTCTTAGATAAGTGGAGGAACATAAGGAATTTGAACAAAATAAATTGGAGAAAAAATGATCTTTCTCTATATTAATTTTTTAATAAATGGTTTTATTTCTTTTACTTAAACAAGAGAAAAGAGAGCTTTATTAGGCGCGCGTCATCTCCCTCGCGACACATATCATAAGACAGAGAAGAGGAACAAATCTCAAGACGTTACGTATTAGCTTATAGCCATTAGTTTTGTCTCTTCTTCTAGTTCGTTGGTCGTCTTCTTCGACTTAGTAATTCCATGATTCTTCTTCCTTCTGCTTCACCTTCCCGATGATCCTCTGCACAAGCCGCGATCATGACGCTAAATCCTCCTCCGTCGCAGCAAACGCCTCACTCGCCGCGTCGAATTCCCAATCGCCGCGTTCTCATCGTCGGAAATTACTGCCACGACGTTCTGATCCAAAACGGATCAATTGTTGCTGAAACACTCGGCGGCGCCGCCTCTTTCATCTCTAATGTCTTAGATTCTTCCTCTGTCTCCTGCGAATTGGTCTCCAAAGTCGGACACGACTTCAGATACGAGGTCAGCCACTCTCCGATCGTTGTACCGGAGAAGGAAACCACAGTTTTCGAGGCGTATTTCGATCTGGGAATCGATGGGATCGGTCACGCTGATCGGGTGTTGAAACGGGTCTCTGCATGTGATCCGATTCTTCCTTCGGATATACCCGATTCGAGATTCGATTTTGGGATGGCTGTTGGAGTCGGCGGCGAGATTTTACCGGAGACGCTTGAGAAAATGGTGGAGATTTGCGATGTTGTTGCTGTGGATATTCAAGCTTTGATTAGGGTTTTTGATCCCGTTGATGGAGCTGTGAAGCTTGTTGATTTGAAAGAAAGTGGATTTTTTCACATCTTGCATCGAATTGGATTCTTGAAAGCTTCATCAGACGAAGCTCTTTTCATGGATATTGAACAAATGAAGCAATTGTGTTGTGTGGTGGTGACTAATGGTGAAAAAGGGTGTAGGATATATCATAAGGATGATGAAATGACGGTTCCTCCGTTCTTGGCGAAGCAGGTGGATCCTACCGGCGCCGGAGACAGCTTTCTCGGAGGTTTGGTAGTTGGGCTTGTAGAAGGTTTGAGTGTTCCTGATGCTGCATTGTTAGGGAACCTCTTTGGTTCCATCACTGTAGAGCATATTGGTCAGCCTAAATTCGATTTGATGATGCTTCAGGTTTGATTTTTTTGTTTCGTTTTAGTTTATTGACTTGCATGTTGTGAGGGAATTGCAAATCTAAAAGACAGTAGCACGAACTTAGAGCCGATATAGTGATATGCAAATGTCTAAGGTCTTTAACATAAATTCTATTAAGAACTGGAACCAGATTCTTGTTAGTGTATAGTTTCTCTTGCAGCTTACTTTCAATATAGCCAAACCTATAGCTGGTGAATTAGAATCTATATTTGATGTTGATAGGTTTCCGATATGAAAATGTGTCAAATCTTCACATTTGTTGTTTGAGATTCTGCCGAGAGAGTCTTTTCTTGTTTTACCTCATTGTTAATCTAGCAGCAGTTGCATTCAACATAGGGTATATTCAGGAAAAAGTGATGTTTTAAGGATTAACCAAACAATGTGGTTAAGCAATTAGAGAATTCAAAAGTATGAACCTCTTGATGTATTTGTGAGTGTTTCTGTGTATCTTTTATAGTTTTATCTGTTGAAATGAGGGAAGTATTGGATAGAAATTGGACCACTGGCAAGTGAACATTATGCGATTTAGAATATTTATTGCGTTTGTGTATGCATAAGGATTCATCCCTTTCATCGGTTATTTTCACCTTTTTCACGCATTTCGCTGTGTGAATGTCTTTGTGATTTGCAGAGAGTCAAGGATGAGGTACAGAAAAGGAAGAAGCAATGTAACCTCTCTAGCAGCCATAACAATGATTACAACGAGTTCCATGAGCGTCTAAGTCCAGCTCGGTTTTCATGCGTAGACTCTCAACTTCAACCAAAGTTATTGGTCAATGGTCACTCTTGTGATCGGTGATGGTGATCGGTCCCTGTGAATACGAATCTTGAATCACCTTTTTTTTTACTAACAAAGCTCTTCTGAGTTGTGTAAGCTTCCACACGTTGAAGAATTTTGGAAATTTTAGTGTATAAAACGCGATGACCAGCGTCTTCAAACGCTCTTTGTTGTCGCTATCGTAAAGTTTCTTTTGCAAGTCCGCGTTTCAAATTCGAAATGAAGATGTCAAATTTTTTAAAAAAGTTTTGGATAAGATGATTTGATTAAAAAAAATCTGATGAAATTAACGAAAGTCAACATGGGAAACGTAAATTTGACTGGTTCACAGTTGAACCGGGAGACAAAACCGGTTCAATATATGTACAATCAGGAGGAAACCGCGTTCGGTGTTTGATTCGTGCGCGTGGATTAAAAACGTGGTCACGATTAGGCGCGTGGATTGACGTGGCGATTCCGATTCCCAATCAAATCTGGACGAGCAAAATTTCCTCTGATATTGGCATCTTCCATTACTAACTCCTGATTTACGGTTAAAACTCTTCTTCCCTCTCTCCGGCGCTTCTCGTCGGAAATCTGGGTTTTAGTTTCTTCTGCAGATCGGAAGAGATTCTATTGACGCGGCGTTGACTCGATTTTCATCTATAATCGTGCGATAATGAAACAGAAGGGCCAGCATAAGAAGAAGAAGAAGCGATCCTGCGCCGCGAAACCTTCCGGTGATGGAACGGCGTCGGACGGGAACAAAAAAGATGTGGAGGAAGAGAGGAAAGACGGTGAAGGTACGGAGGAGTTAGAAAAAGTTGAAAAAAAAATTATCGAATCGTTAATGGAAGCCTTTTGCTCGGTTTCAATGGAGGAAGCGATGGCTGCTTATAAAGAAGCAGGCGGAGATCTGAACAAAGCCGCTGAGATTTTGTCGGATCTGGTGGAAAGCGGCGATGATCCGTCGACGAGTTCGGTGGCGAGTGGTTCTTCGGGTCAGGAGACCGCGTCTACCTCTGAGTATGGGGCTGGTTCAAGTTCTAGCTGTAGCGAAGATTTGACGAGAGATAGATGGTTTAAGGGAAGTAAGCAGAGTAGAGTTATTGCTGCTACAGGAATGGTTTCTTCTGTGATTGCTAAGGATTACTTGAAGCCAAACCCTGTGCGAAAAGAGTTTCCTATGATGGAAAGGTCTAAAGAGCTCTGTGGGAACGGGAAAAAAGCTGCGGATAGAGAGAAAGCTGAACAGTTTCTGAATTCAATGCTTGGTGATGATTGCGAGCTTAGCATGGCTGTTGTTAGAGATGTTTTGTGTGAGTATTTCTTCTTCTTAGTCAGTTAATTTCTCCATGGGATAAGATGTTAGTGGAACGGTATGATCGTTAATAGTTATAGGATTACCGATTACGTTTTACTTCCGAATGTGTTTGCGATATTCGAAAAAGCTGTAATATTGTTATGAGGAGAGACTTTATTGTTCGAGAAATTGACATGGAAGTCTCTATTTTTGCAGGTCAATGTGGCTATGATGTCGACATGGTAAGCAGAGATTGTCTTCAAACTTACATGGGGGAGTATTTGGTATATTGACAGGGAAGCTCCTGAAATATGCTGAAACTTGCCCGACTATTTATTTAAAAGCTTAATATTGTTTTCTTCTTAGGCTTTGAATGTCTTGCTTGACATGTCTTCTTCATCAACTGATGATTCATTGAGTGGTAAATGTTTCGGCGTAGGCGCCAGCGGTAGTGTAAGCGATTGCTTTTTTTTTTGGTTTTCTTCACAGATCTGTTTATTTTGTTTTCCTACACGGTAGAATAAAGTGCAATCCCTGACATTATTTAACAGCTGGCAGAGACATCTTTTGATACTGATACTTCTGAAAGTGAACTTTTCTGGGGTGCAGATAGTCAAAGGTACTTCCATTTGATTCTTAGGCTTTCTTCTGGTTATTTCAATTCACTAATTTTGGAATTATCAGAGTTGATTTACACATTAGTTACAAGATAATTAGCTCTCTGCAACTTCTCCTTGGTTTATCTTTAATCAGTCCTTATCCTCTTCTGTAAAAGAACAACAAACGAACTATTTCATGTGGAGGATTCAGTTCATGAACACATGATATTCAGTTCATGAACACATGATATTCAGTTCATGAACACATAATTGCTTAATTTCAACATTGTGGACGAGGTCAAAACTAAATATGTGGCCTTTTTTCTGAATGGTAGGGATTACGCAAAAGCTCTCATGAGTTCTGAAGATCCTTTTGCAACTACCCAAGGAATTGATGAGCTTGGTCTTCCACAAAAAGTGTTGGAGTCTCTGTTCAACATTCGCCAGAGTCCTAAACATGAACCAAAGACAATGAGTTGGAGGAATGTGGCAAAGAAAATGCAGTCACTTGGCATTGATGCTTCTTCATCTAGTGGGGAAGAGCCTCAGCCTAATACGTTTGGTACTTTACTATGGTTTCTTGATTTTAGTATTTGCGTATATAGCTGCAAATAGCAGGCTCATTTTGCCATGAGTTTGCAGGCTCCGAGCTTCTGATGTATGTTGTTTTACCCGATGAAACACTTGGCAATTTTTGCTTTGGTGTCATTGGCATAAACATCTGAGGTTTTGACTGCTTGTTTGTGTTGCAACTCTTGAATTATTCTTTCTTACTCATGAATTGCATTACCAATCAATCAATACGTGTGTTGCAGTGAAGGACGACAGTTATCATGAACTTAGAAAAGGTGCAAATGACCAGTGGAATGTTACGAAGTCCTACTATCAAAAAGTAAGTTTTACTTGCTTCCGTATATCTGGCTCTGGTAGACTCCTCAATTAATGCATTTATTACTTGGTTTAAGGCTGCCGAAGCATATTCAAAAGGAGGGAGGGCTCATGCGGCTTACTTTTCTGACAAGGTGCATCTCATTCACGATTTATGTATATTATGCTATTATGGCATGTTGTTTGGAAGTATGACATAAACTTGTGTCTTTATTCTTATAGGGGAGGGTGGCATCTAAATTAGCTCAACGGGCTGATGAGAGGGCAAGCCAAGATATATTCGTCGCAAGGTTAGCTGTTTTGATGCATTATGAAAGTATGCTGATACGCGTTCTCTTTTTGTTGTGGACTAAGCCATTGTTTATGACTATGCAGAAACAAAGGTATAGAGAATGTGGTAACCATTGATCTGCATGGTCAGCATGTTAAACCAGCAATGAAGCTACTGAAGCTACATCTCTTATTTGGATCATATGTTCCTTGTGAGTACTTACCAAACTCAAAGAAATCTTTTCTTCTATAGTAGATCATCATCATCATCTCATCTTGTCTTCATAAACCCGAGATAATTCCTTCCTCCTAACAATTGTGAAATCATACAGCCATTCAGACACTACGAGTGATCACAGGATGTGGAGCTTCTGGGTTTGGGAAGTCTAAGGTGAAACAATCAGTAAGTTATTTCAACTCCCTTTCAAAACAAGAATTTGGTATTGCAGTCATGGTATATGATTGTTATTTATGGATGATCAGGTGATAAAGCTGCTAGAAAGAGAAAAAGTTGGGTATTGTGAAGAGAACAGAGGGACATTGTTGATCAAGCTTGACGGACGTAGTAGAGAGTTCAGTTTCTTAGACACAGAGAGTGACTCTGACTAAGTGAAAACTAAACTAAAGTCAGGTTTTAGCTGTAGATCTTAAAGTTTATATCTGTTTGTCTATATCTGATGCTAGCTCTGTTTGTTAAGTAAATGTTGAGCAAAACTTAGATTCCTTAATTTTCCTTTCCGAATTTCACGCTATTTAAGTTATGAAAACACTTTGTCTGACACAGACAGAATGTATATTTTCCGTAAACTCTTTTTTAGGAGTTTGTTAATATATATGTTATTGTGTCACTTTTATAATTTCTAAAAAAGTAGACAAAGCATAACGGTATAAGTGCAGGATTTTTGCTAGTGAAAGACGTTTGTGCATGAGACAGACATAGCTTGTGTTAAAAGCAGACGGAAAAAATAAAGCCAGAACGGTAGAATCTTTCATTGATTAAGAGATCCGTTTTAACACAAAAGTCATCAAGCACTAGAGCTCACATCAATGGAGGATCAGATGGAGAAAACTCCATGAGAGCTGAGTTACAGAGGAATGAGAGCTGAGTTACAGAGGAAGTTCACCACTGTCCACGATCACCACTTTACTCTTAGGAGTTCCACTCTGATTTCCTTCAGCTTCGATTTTGTACACCACGTCCATTCCCGTCACTACCTTCCCGAATACCACATGCCGCCCATCCAACCTGCAAGCTCTCTAATCAGCAGACGGAAACAACAATTCTATTCCACAATTGAAACTCTTAAGCTTAGTAAGTACCAATATGCCCACTATTGTCAAACAACTTGGAAAGTAAAAGATAAGAAAGTGGATTTATGTGTTTGAAATTCGGCTGATTCGGTACTCACCAGCTAGTTGTTACAGTTGTGATGAAAAACTGTGATCCGTTGGTGTCTTGACCGGCGTTTGCCATTGATAGGAACCCTGTGAAAAAGTAAAACAATTGATAAGGTAAAAACCTCTGCATACGCAAAAAGCCGAGGTAAACACAGAATACTGAAGAAGACCTCACCTGGACCAGTATGCTTGAGTTTGAAGTTCTCATCAGCAAACGTCTCACCATAGATGGATTCTCCTCCCATTCCATTTCCATGTGTAAAATCGCCTCCTTGAAGCATAAAGCTTGGTATGATCCTGTGGAATGCACTCCCCTTGTAATGGAGAGCCTTCCCTTTCTTACCTATCCCTTTCTCCCCTGCGAGTATACAGTTTACGTAAGCATTCATATCAAGGTACATAAACTGCTATGCTGGCGGAGAAAAGTTATCAAATACTCGATTGACATAGGATGAGAATGAGCAATATATTCTTTTCTTACCTGTGCATAGAGCTCGGAAATTCTCGACAGTTTTGGGAACTGTCTTGCCAAATAGACCCATGACAATACGACCTGGACAAAAATCATCAGTCGGTATGAGATGTTTTCAGGGGACAAGGCAAGAAGAAATCACAAAGTATTTCATGTAGTCTAACATATAGCACAAGAACTAAATGCACCAGCATGCATCATAAGAATAAACTCAGGAACAAGGTTATACCAGCTGCTTTTCCATCAATTTCGACATCGAAATAAACCTTGTGTGTGATCTCCTTTACGTTTTCTTTAGACTTTTTGGCCTGAAACATAGAACCAAACATCCATAAATCAATATAAACACCAGCTAGCAACCGTTTCATAATATTAACATCATTCCAACACATTTGGACACAAATTAGGCGCACTTCATGCAGTAACTAGCTCTGTAGTGTTGAATCTAATCACATGTTAAAGGATCAAATTCAGATTTTCCAAACAACCATATAGTTACTCCAGTTTCTTTAATCACTTAAGTCTCGTGATTCAACAGACCTCCTTCAGATTCACATCTCAAACACTAGATAGCTCACGATGAACGTATATAATGGTTTGTAAATTATCCAAATGCCCGCGATAAAGATGATGGAAACTAATATCAGAAACATGTCACATCAAACACCGAATCAAAAAAACAATCAACATGAAGACCTAAGACAAAAATTTACCATTAACCAATCGCAATCAAATTGGTATTATCCAGATCGTGCAAAATCTAAGAACTCAATCATAAATCTTTGCAGCTAATAGATCGAATAGTGAGAAGGAAACACACGAATGTACCTGAATAGCGCTTAGGGTTCCGAGAAGAAGAAGACTCCATAGAAGCAGTGTCACTGAGCTCGCCATCTCCTCGCACCGTGCAAAGTGTTTCTTCTCCCCAGTCTCTTTTTTTTTCCGTGTGCACACCTCTATTTCCACCAAAGCCACGTCGATATCCAATTAAATCCCGCCACCTGGCTTGTACGTGTACAATTGTACTTGGGCCGCGGAATTTTTTAGAACCGTAATGGGCTAAAGAGTGGTCATTTATAGCCCATAATCTATCAACGTGAAAGAATTCTATGATTAACAAATGATAACTCTCTTAGAAACCAACAAATTTAATAATTGAAGGAGTTGGTAACCCTAATGGAAGAGATGGGAGGATCGGATACACAAGTCTTTTTTAATAATCTTAGTCAAATAGACTCAACATCAATACCATAAGCATGTCACATTACCTTTGTTCCAGCTAATATTATTCTGGTTATATAACTTTATAAGTGGTTTTAATAAACATTAATTGTCAGTATCATTTAATTAAGCACGTTTCCATTCATATTAAGAATTCGTATATATTAAAATATTGTCAACTTTCCATGGCCCAGTCTTTTAGTAGTAATTTTCTTTTGCTAGATTATTAATACAAGTTTTTTTTTTGTTGGACAAATAATACAAGTTTTGTTTTACAACTAATAACATGATATGTCTTTATTTTACTATTAGTAAAAAGGCAAGATAATTTCTTAACTTTTGGCCTAAAGATGGATTTGGAAAGACAATAGACCTGCATTTTGGACCACCAATATAGCCAATCCTTTTTTGTTGTCGTCTTCCTATTGCAACATATCTAATCTGTTTTTTTTTTTTGGCCGACATCTGAAATCTATTTTTCAAAAATTAAATTGAATTTCGCTTTTCCTTGTTTTTTTACATAAAACATCATTTAATGTAGAATTAAAGATATTCAACCAATAAATTTTTTTTGCAAAATATGTATATAGTTAACGATTAATAACAAAGCAAGATAATTTTACTTTTGGTCTAAAAGTGACATCATGAATAGGAGGTACCGAAACCATGAACATGATGTTATGTTCCAAACAGATTCGAAAGATCTTATCCAAAGCTTTCAAAACTATACAGTTTGGCCCGCCACTCAAATCTATCAACAAGATATTCAAACACCAACATCTTATTTTGATAAAGAAATTATGAACTTTAGCTCTCCAAGTGTAATAGTGAGGTGGATAATTTTGTATCGCGGTATGTATGGTTACAAAACTAACAATAATAGACGATAATCTTGGAGTTATTTCAATGGAAGAATGTATGTATGTGTGTTGTGAGAGAAGAAATACAAAGACAAAAACACAACAAAAGCTTTAGATCTGCATCTGTCCCACCAATGTAGCCACTTCTTTTTTTGTTGCTTTGCTATTTCAACATATCTGAATATTGCTTCTTCTTTTTTAATCTCTATTTTGTGTTCACACTTCACACAATCATGAAAATATTGAAGAGCATATTTCAGTTTGTGTTTTAGTTCATCTAGTAGTAGTTAGCTCTTGAGTTTTCAAATATCTTTTATAATAATGGTAATTATGGGGAGGGACAAACAACTGGCAATATATATCTCAGTAAGTACTATTTTTACTCATCCTTTTAAATTAGTCAATTCTTTCTCTGGGTTTAGAATTAACAAGGATAATTGTGACTAAATTGTAAAATTATTACACATCTAAAAAAAGAAACGAGATTCAGTAAAAAAAGTTTTTGTTTTTGTTTTTTTGTGTTCAGGTGTGAGCGTGTAAGAGAGGTTTGACGAGGTTTTCTCTGAAATGGTTTCGAAACTTTTTTAAATATTAAAATCGAGGAACAATCTGAGTATTTAAGTAGAATCAGAAAAGGTACCACCTTTTCACATTCTTGGATCTGAAACAAGACGACGATACATACACATATACATACACATATGGAGGGAAAAAGAGAGATGGGTAGTTACAAATTCTGTCTGATCTTCACGAGGAAGTTCAGGATGACGGAGTCTGGTCCTGTCCCTGACGTCAGAGAGCTTTTCGAGAAATACGCCGACGGTGAAGCTCATATGTCGCCAGAGCAGCTACAGAAGCTCATGGCGGAGGAAGGAGGAGAAGGAGAAACAAGTCTAGAGGAAGCGGAGAGAATCGTTGACGAGGTTCTTCGCCGGAGACATCACATTGCAAAGTTCACCAGAAGAAACCTTACTCTTGATGATTTCAATTATTACCTGTTTTCTACTGATCTTAACCCTCCAGTCGGCGATCAGGTTTAAACTTTATAAATTTTCAAGTCAAAACTCTTTTTTGGAATCTGGGATTGTTTGTTTCTTGATAAAGATTGAGATTGAAAGATTACGACTTTAGATTCTCTCTGTTGATTTTACCGGAAAATCTCAGAATTTTTTCTCTCTCATCGCTATTTGACTCTTTTTCTCTTTTTGCTAATTTCTGGATTTTCTGGCCTAAATTTAGTTTGATCAAAGATACAAAATAAAAGTCTCCTCTTTTGGTAGCTTCTTGTGCTTATGAATAATCAAACCCAATAAAGGAGGTGAAATTTTTCTCAATGATATGTTCTTGGTGTACTCTGCTGCTGAAATTCTGGAATCTGACTGTTTGATTCACCTGTCTAAATTTAGAAGTTTTCATTTTGGATACTTTCTATTCTAGGAGTTGTTTACTTCTGCTCTCTAGCTATAAGATTATCAATTCTTCAGTGATATAACTAACCATTGTTGGGTGTTTATTTCAGGTCCATCAAAACATGGATGCTCCACTGTCGCATTACTTTATATACACAGGCCATAATTCTTACTTAACTGGAAATCAGCTCAGTAGCAACTGCAGTGACCTTCCTATTGCAGATGCATTGAGACGAGGCGTGAGAGTGGTTGAGTTGGATCTTTGGCCACGTGGTACCGATGATGTCTGTGTTAAACATGGAAGGTATATTATCTAGTTTGTATCTTGCTTTTGTATGGGTTGGTTCCATGGAACTGTTATTATTATGTTTTCTCACTTTGATGAAACTACAGGACCTTGACAAAGGAAGTGAAATTGGGAAAATGTTTGGATTCCATTAAAGCTAATGCCTTTGTTACTTCAAAGTATCCTGTTATTATCACTCTTGAAGACCATCTCACGCCAAAACTTCAGTTTAAAGTTGCCAAGGTTTTCTTTCTTTTCACCCTATATAGTCTTCAGACCTTAAAGATTATGGTTCCATTTGTGTATATATGAATACCGCAAATTGTTTGCTCTTTCTGCAGATGATAACTCAGACATTTGGAGATATGTTGTATTACCATGATTCTGAAAGTTGTCAAGAATTTCCTTCACCGGAAGAGTTGAAAGAAAAGATTCTAATTTCAACAAAACCTCCAAAAGAGTACTTAGAAGCTAACGATGCGAAGGAGAAAGATAGTGGAGAGAAAGGGAAGGATTCGGATGAGGATGTATGGGGCAAAGAGCCAGAAGACCTTATTTCTACGCAATCTGATCTTGAGAAGGTTTGTTCTAGCTTTGCAACTGTATATCAAAATAATAGTTGAAGCAAAAACTTTTAGCATCAAGGGTTTTGCTTTGATTGTGCATGTTCATTTTCTCCAATTCATATTGTTGTTGATTGATTTCAGGTCACAAGCAGTGTAAATGATCTTAGTCAAGATGATGAAGAAAGAGGGTCTTGTGAGTCTGATACGTCATGCCAATTACAAGCACCAGAATACAAACGTCTTATTGCCATCCATGCTGGGAAGCCAAAAGGCGGTTTACGGATGGCTTTAAAGGTTGATCCGAACAAAATCAGGCGACTTAGTCTGAGTGAGCAATTACTTGAGAAAGCTGTAGCATCATATGGTGCAGATGTTATAAGGTATATAAATATCACATACTAAATAAGCACTATATAGCTAATGTTTGCTTCTTGGATTTCAAGTTAATATATTAAAAACCTCACAATTGAGCAGATTCACTCAGAAGAATTTTCTGAGGATATATCCCAAAGGCACAAGGTTTAACTCTTCAAACTATAAACCTCAGATCGGTTGGATGAGCGGAGCTCAAATGATTGCATTCAACATGCAGGTTTTTCTCATATCCTCATTTCCAGTATCGTCATCCAGGTTTTACTATGATGAAGCTAAATAATAATTGAAAACATAAATGTAGGGGTATGGCAGAGCTTTGTGGCTGATGGAAGGAATGTTTCGAGCTAATGGAGGGTGCGGTTATGTCAAGAAGCCAGATTTTCTTATGGATGCAGGTTCTAATGGACAAGGTTTTTATCCCAAAGATAATTCGTGTCCAAAGAAAACTTTAAAGGTTAGGCTATAGAGTTGAACATTTGTTGGTTCCTTCATCGATGCCTTCCACACTTCTTGCTTAACATCTAAGAATGGCAGGTGAAAGTCCTTATGGGAGATGGATGGCTCCTAGACTTCAAAAAAACTCACTTTGATTCTTATTCTCCTCCAGATTTCTTCGTTAGAGTATGTGAACGGAAATCTTGATTTTTCCTTTATCCCTTATCTTGATTGAAATGGAACTTTAACTGGTCAATACAGGTGGGTATTGCCGGAGCACCTGTTGATGAGGTGATGGAGAAAACAAAAATAGAGTATGATACATGGACACCCATTTGGAATAAGGAGTTCACATTCCCGTTAGCAGTTCCTGAACTTGCTCTTCTCCGTGTTGAAGTCCATGAGCACGACGTAAATGAAAAAGATGATTTTGGAGGTCAAACTTGTTTACCAGTGTCCGAGATAAGGCAAGGCATACGCGCTGTTCCACTCTTTAATCGCAAGGGAGTGAAATACAGCTCCACACGGCTTCTTATGCGCTTCGAGTTTGTCTGAGACGCCATTTTGGTGCGTGTATCCATCTAGATTTATATCTTCTTACTTTATTTGATATGTTGTGTTTTATGTGTCTTATGCTTCTTCATGGAGGAATAAAATTTGATCTTTTACATGAGAAATATATAGATCTTCCGAAATTCCTTTCCTTTATGGTTTCGTTTATATATGTTACCAGTTTCTTGGTCTTGGGATGAAGTTTTGTTAAAGAAGAACTAAAACCAAAGAACTTCTAATGAACTTATAATAACATTAATAAGCATCTCTCATCTTATCATAAAAACATAATCTGTTTATTCTTTTTCTGGATTATTTGGTATTGGATAGCTTAAAGTAGTTATTTATACGCATGAGGACTTATAGATCAAGAAGCTTCATATCTTTAGCTACATTGTTAGTTGTTTAAGCCTTTGTCTCCCTGTTTGCTGCACTAAACACGTGAAATTCTGAAGTGGAGTATATATTCTGGAATCTTTTGTTGTTATATGAATCTCTTTATGCCTATTAATCAATTTTCTTAGCATTGCTTTACATTTAACAACTTAAAGGTATATATTCTTAATCCATAGACAAAGACCACACCACCCATATATGCTTATTAGTGAAGAAAAACAGATTCTTGATTCTGTTTTATCTTTGGAAAGATTGGTAACTTACAGATGTATTGAGATTCTTCGACGACTTTAGGAGCATTTTAACAGTGACTTGAAAGAGTTTGCATACCGTGAAATGTGGAAGGAAAGAAAGAAAATGAAAAGTGTTGAGAAACCCAATCGTTGAATCCATGAAGCTTCCCTGAGCTACATTATATGCTTCTGGAATTAGATACCATAATAATTGTTTAAGCTGGTTTTTTGGAAAGTGAGGTTTTTCAACATGAGTCTCTTGGCTGGGAATATATGGAAAAAGAAGAGGAAAGCTAAGAGCACTGAGCAAAAAGAGGCATACCACTATAATTATAATAAAGTATGGAAGAAAAAAGAACGATTTATATTTGATTTATGAGTATGAAGATCATGCCAAATATGCAGGAGTTGCTATTTAACTAAATTGCAGGAACTTTTTGAAGAGGTGATAAATATAAATAGAGGTTGGCTGGTGTGATTGTGCAGTATCTTGTCGCCTTTCCTCGAGCTGAGATTTCGATTTGGGGATACAAAGATCTGGGATGAAGAGAGAGATGGGGAGCTACAAAATGGGTTTGTGTTTCAGTGACAAGCTCAGGATGAACAGAGGAGCTCCACCTCCGGATGTAGTGACCGCGTTTGTAGAGTATACCGAGGGCAGGAACCACATGACGGCAGATCAGTTATGTCGGTTCTTGGTTGAGGCGCAGGACGAGACTAAGATGTTGGTTTCAGATGCAGAGAAGATCATAGAAAGAATCACATGTGAAAGACATCATATCACTAAGTTCTTGAGGCATACGCTGAACCTCGATGATTTCTTCAGTTTCTTGTTCTCAGATGATCTGAATCATCCAATTGATAGTAAGGTATCCAGTTTCAGTTTCTTGTTCTTTTTCTTGCAACATGGAAAGTATCAATCTCTGAGATTTTATTGTTTCAGGTGCATCAAGACATGGCCTCTCCCTTGTCCCACTATTTCATTTACACGAGCCATAATTCGTATCTGACTGGAAATCAGATCAACAGCGAATGCAGCGATGTACCTCTCATAAAGGCATTAAAGAGAGGTGTTCGAGCTCTTGAACTTGACCTGTGGCCTAACTCTACTAAGGACGACATACTTGTTCTCCATGGCTGGTATGTCTTTGTGTTATGATGTATATTACAAGATCTATAGGTCGAAAGTTTGTCGAACAAGAGAGTATATTTACTGCTTTTAGGGCATGGACACCTCCAGTGGATCTGATCAAATGCTTGAGATCTATTAAAGACCATGCCTTTTCTGCATCTGCATACCCTGTGATCTTAACTTTGGAAGATCATTTGACCCCAGATCTTCAAGCCAAAGCAGCTGAGGTGCTTTCTTGATCTCATTGAGGCATCATTGCTGTGTTAGTTTCAGAAGGTCTTTGAAGATATTGAAAACTTTTTTCTCCTTCTATATATTGCTGCAGATGATGAAAGAGATATTCATGGATATGGTGTATTTTCCCGAGGCTGGCGGTTTAAAAGAGTTCCCTTCACCAGAAGATCTCAAGTACAAAATTGTAATATCTACAAAGCCTCCCAAAGGTAATTTAAAAAAGGACAAGGATTCTGAGTCAGATGTATCAGGAAAGGCGTCATCAGATTATTCAGATGACCAAGTAGACGATGGGAAGGTACTTGCAGTTCATATATAGGAGTTCTAATTTCTCAGTGGCATCTTAAATTTCTCTCTTTGCTTGTGATGACTTGTGTAGACTGAGGAAGAAACCAGCGAGGCCAAAAATGAAGAGGAAGGATTTGATCAAGAATCCAGCAACTTGGATTTCCTCAGCTATAGTCGCCTGATAACGATTCCTTCTGGAAATGCTAAAAATGGATTGAAGGAAGCACTTACAATCGATAATGGTGGAATTAGACGGCTGAGTTTGAGGGAGCAGAAGTTCAAGAAAGCCACTGAAATGTATGGAACCGAAGTCATGAAGTAAGTATCACTTCCCATTCAAAAAGGCAATTACTTTTAAGCTAGTTCTTTTGTTTCCTGCTCTAAGCTCACTTCATTTGTAAACTAGATTCACACAGAAGAATCTGTTGAGGATATATCCCAAGGCCACACGAGTAAATTCCTCCAACTATAGACCCTACAACGGTTGGATGTACGGAGCTCAAATGGTCGCTTTCAACATGCAGGTTTGCAGTTTATCTATTCTTGGCCTTTTAAAAACATCTGTATCAAGTTGCGTCTTTTGATATTCAGGGCTATGGAAGAGCACTATGGATGATGCATGGTATGTTTAGGGGGAATGGTGGATGCGGGTACGTGAAAAAACCGGACTTTATGATGAAAAATGGTCTCGGTGGAGAAGTGTTTGACCCGAAAGCGAAATTACCCATAAAGACAACTCTAAAAGTGAAAGTATACATGGGCAAAGGATGGGACTCTTGTTTCCAGCGAACATGTTTCAAAACTTGGTCTTCTCCTAACTTCTACACAAGGGTAAGCAACTTAGATGGTTCTGTTTACATAGTTGATTCTCTTCTCTGGCTCTGTTTTTCTCTGTTTCATGTTGATAGCAATATTGTGTGAACGCAGGTGGGGATAACAGGAGTGAGAGCTGATAAGGTAATGAAGAAAACAAAGAAAGAAGAAAAGACATGGGAGCCATTCTGGGACGAGGAGTTTGAGTTTCAGCTAACAGTACCGGAGCTAGCGTTGCTCAGAATAGAAGTTCACGACTATAACATGCCGGAGAAGGACGATTTCTCGGGTCAGACATGTTTGCCTGTGTCAGAGCTAAGACAAGGCATACGTTCTGTTCCTTTGTATGATCGCAAAGGCGAGAGACTAGTTTCAGTTACACTTCTCATGCGGTTTCACTTTGTTTAAAAAAACAGAGTTTCTTTCTTCTTCTTTTACTTTTTGGCATATGAAAAACGGACTAAATCAAAATTTGTCAGAATAATAAAAATAAACGTGTTGGTTGAGTTGACTTAGTCTTTTTTGACAACAGATTCTTTATTTGACTTCTAGAATAACACTGAAACTGGATCATCGTATTGGTCGAAAAATCAATAAAAATGAAAACATCCAGGTTCTCTCTTTCTCTGCAGTTGCATCCTCACACTCTTAAAAACAATCCTCTAACCAAATTCAATCTCATAGCAATGGAGAATCACAAGAGTTTATTCACTTACATGGACCATAAATTCAGCGATTCAAGTCTCAACTTTGATTCCTCTGCTTTCAGCGATTGTAACAGTGACAGATCCTGCGAGTTTCCAACAACTTCCTCCGAGAGCCGTCAACGAAAACTCTTCCACTCTTGCGCCGTTGATAATTCCGATGATTTGATTCGATGTCTCATAAGACATCTTGAGTCATCTTCTTCGATCGAGGAACAGAAGCAAGCTGCTATGGAGATTAGACTCTTATCAAAGAACAAACCAGAGGAACGTAACAAAATCGCTAAAGCTGGTGCGATTAAACCGTTGGTTTCTTTGATCTCGTCTTCCGATCTTCAGCTTCAGGAGTATGGAGTCACTGCGGTTTTGAATCTATCTATCTGTGATGAGAACAAAGAGATGATTATTTCTTCCGGTGCGATTAAACCGCTCGTTAATGCGTTGCGGTTAGGAACACCGACGACTAAAGAGAACGCTGCTTGTGCTCTGCTTCGGTTATCGCAATTGGAGGATAACAAAATCGCGATCGGAAGATCAGGAGCGATTCCTTTACTAGTGAACCTTCTAGAAAATGGAGGATTTAGAGCGAAGAAAGACGCGTCGACGGCGTTGTACTCGTTGTGTTCGACGAACGAGAACAAAATCAGAGCTGTGGAATCTGGGATTATGAAGCCGTTGGTGGAGTTGATGGCAAATTTTGAATCGGAGATGGTTGATAAATCGGCGTTTGTTATGAATTTGTTAATGTCGGTGCCGGAATCGAAACCGGCGGTTGTTGAGGAAGGAGGAGTTCCGGTGCTTGTGGAGATTGTTGAAGCGGGAACACAGAGACAGAAGGAGATGAGTGTGTCGATATTGTTGCAGCTTTGTGAAGAGAGTGTTGTGTATCGAACCATGGTGGCTCGTGAAGGAGCGGTTCCTCCGCTTGTGGCTTTATCGCAGAGTAGTGCGAGTCGTGGTGCTAAGGTAAAGGCTGAGGCGTTGATAGAGCTTCTTAGGCAACCCAGACAACAACAACAACACTTTGAATCTAACGACAACGAGAGATAACAGTTTAGTTTGGGCTTTTTATTAATGGGCCTTTGTATGATATATTTCACATATCTTGTTAATTAATGGACGCCCTAAGTTGAGCATGTTCAATTAAACATGTCCATGTGTTTTGCATCAAAGTGTGTCGATGTGTTCTGCATCAATGTTGCATTACTTGCGTAAATTGTATACAAAATTCGCATCAAAACAAGTACACGTACTGTCTGTTTAGGAGATATTGTTGTGGACAATTTAGAGAACAAGATCCCTATAGAGCTAACAAGACATAACAAAAGAACAATAGAGCAATAAATTCTTCTACGGACAGTAATGGAGTACAACGCAGAAACAAATGCAAGACTTTAAACCAAAAAAAAAAAAAACAAATGCAAGACCAAAACAAAAAGAAAATTATAAACCATGCAATATGTTTTTTTTATCAACACCATGTAGTCTGTACTCTGTAGAAGTAAGCAGGGCATTTGGGAGAACCGGCCCAGTTCGGTTTGGAAACTTAAGTATTTCGGTTAGCAACAAAAACCACTGAAGTAGACCAAAATTAAAGTAAACCGGTCACCCAATTTTCATATTCTTATTGCTGATGGACTTTCAGCCCAAAAGTTAAAACCGAAACTAAGCCGCCGAATTGCCAAACTTGAGGTCAGTTGGGTTCGACCAAACTTCAGTTCAATTTGGTTCGACCAAATCTCAGTGGCCAATTGGATTCGGTCTGAGTGCCATGATGCCAATGGAGAATGACGAGTTTGAAAACTTTTCCAAGATTAAAAAAAAAAAAAAAAAAACTTTACATCTTTAAGAGCAGTGAAGTACAATCACATCATCCTTAATAGTATTGACAAAAAAATTCAATAATATTGACAATAAATTATCTGTGTTGACAAATGACAATTACATCATGAGCGAAAAAAACAAAAAGGTTAAATAACCAACAACATCACATGAGCTGTTTCACATGAGAGTAAATGATTAGCTCATCAATGACAATAAAAATTGTTGATTTTTTCTACGGCGACACGCGTACCACCAATTTCTCAGATATTGGCTACACACACTTCGCCACGTTTTTTTTTTTACTGTGGGTCAACGTCTCTGTTTTAGTCAACGCCTCTGTTTGGTTTAAATACTAACTTTAATTCGGACAGCCGACAGATCATTCACATTTTTCTTTTTTTTTTTTATCTATTTTTGTACTAAGAAAAAAATTTATAGATATCATGGTTCTTTGAGATAGTCAGATAGAGATATAAATGTGTTTCACAAACACATCAAATCTCTCTGTTTCTTTTTTCTCTCTGGCTTAACTTTCACAACAACAACAGAAAAAGAACAAGATGAAGGAATCATTCAAAGTGTGTTTCTGTTGTGTAAGAAGCTTCAAGGTGAAATCAAGTGAGCCACCTGAAGAAATCAAGAACCTTTTCCATGATTACTCTCAAGACGACAGGATGTCTGCTGATGAGATGCTCAGATTTGTGATCCAAGTTCAAGGAGAAACACACGCTGATATAAACTACGTTAAGGATATCTTCCACAGACTCAAACATCACGGCGTTTTCCATCCTCGTGGACTTCATCTTGAAGGATTCTACCGTTATCTCCTTAGTGATTTCAACTCTCCATTGCCTGTGACCCGCGAGGTAAGATTTAAGAACATAAGATCTCTTTGCTTTTGAGAGAGAGTTTTCTTTCCTTACAAGATTTTGGTTTCAGGTTTGGCAAGATATGAATCAGCCTTTATCGCATTACTTCTTGTACACGGGACATAACTCTTACTTGACTGGAAATCAGTTGAACAGTAATAGCAGCATCGAACCGATTGTGAAAGCTCTGAGAAAAGGAGTTCGTGTGATTGAGCTTGATTTATGGCCTAACTCTTCAGGAAAAGAAGCTGAAGTTCGTCACGGCGGGTTTGAATCTTACCATAAACCCCCTTCTTGAATCACTTAATAATTTAGGTTTATTCTTGATTTGTTTTGGTTATGATCTCAGGACGTTAACGAGTTGTGAAGATCTGCAGAAATGTCTTAATGCGGTTAAGGAGAACGCTTTTCAGGTGTCTGCTTATCCTGTTGTGCTTACTTTAGAAGACCATTTAACTCCAACTCTTCAGAAGAAAGTCGCTAAGGTAAGATTCTGAAAAATTCATGGAATCTTGTTTAGAACATACAGTTTGATTGATGGTGAAAATGTTTGTAGATGGTAAGTAAGACATTTGGAGGATCATTGTTTCAATGTACGGACGAATATACAGAGTGTTTTCCTTCACCAGAATCACTTAAGAATAAGGTTTTGATCTCAACAAAGCCACCAAAAGAGTATCTGCAGACCCAAGTCTCTCAAGGTTCAACAACGGATGAATCCATTAAAGCTAAAGTAAGAAATAAAAAACAGCGTTAAAGTAACCATTAATTAGTATTTCTTGATATTTTCTGAGAGCCTTGTGTTGTGACAGAAAATTGCAGATGCAGAAGAACAGGTTCAAGAAGAAGATGAGGAGAGTGTAGCGATCGAATACAGAGACTTAATCTCGATTCACGCTGGGAACCGCAAAGGAGGACTGAAGAACTGCTTGAATGGAGATCCTAAGCGAGTCATACGGTTAAGCATGAGTGAGCAATGGCTTGAGACTTTGGCTAAAACCCGTGGATCTGATTTAGTAAAGTTCACGCAGCGGAATCTTCTCAGGATATTTCCCAAGACAACACGGTTCGACTCGTCTAACTATGATCCTCTCGTTGGATGGATTCATGGTGCTCAAATGGTTGCCTTCAATATGCAAGTAATAGTTTTAAGTTTTAACACTATCCTCTCTACTATTAGCAGAGATTTTCAATAGTAAACACCAACTATACTTGTTTTGTGTAAATGCAGAGTCATGGGAGGTATTTGTGGATGATGCAAGGAATGTTTAAAGCCAATGGTGGATGTGGCTATGTGAAAAAACCTGATGTTTTGCTCTCCAATGGTCCTGGAGGTGAAATCTTTGACCCATGTAGTCAAAAACTCCCGATCAAGACTACTCTTAAGGTTTGGTCTTTGTCTCAGTTTCTGTTTCCTGTTCTTGAAAAGCGAGAAAACATCTTAGCTTTGTGTCTGTGGTGTATGATTAGGTGAAGATATACACTGGAGAAGGATGGAATATGGATTTTCCTTTAGATCACTTTGATCGATACTCTCCTCCTGATTTCTATGCAAAGGCAAGTGTACATTCATATGTAAAACACGCAATAAAAACCATGGTTTAATGGGTCTATGGAGCAGCTAATAAACCCTAATTAGGTTTCTTGCCTATCAAGTCAACCGACGAGACTCAAAAATGTAGATGTTTTTCTTTCAGGTCGGAATCGCAGGGGTTCCATTGGACACAGCAAGTTACAGAACAGAAATAGATACAGACGAATGGTTTCCGATTTGGGACAAGGAGTTCGAGTTCCCATTGCGTGTTCCTGAGTTAGCTATTCTGTGTATCACAGTCAAAGACTACGATAGTAACACTCAGAACGATTTCGCTGGCCAGACATGTCTTCCGCTGTCGGAGGTCAGGCCGGGTATTCGTGCTGTCCGGCTCTATGATCGTGCCGGAGAGGTTTACAAGCACGTGAGACTGCTCATGCGGTTTGTCTTGCAGCCTCGTTAGTCGCTTCGTGGATAATGTTCATTTCATCACTCCTGTCAATGTCGGTACACGTTTTTTATGTTTGTAATGTTAAGGTGTCGGTACACATTAGTCAGTCATATTAAGCCACACAATAATAAGAGATGGGAAAATAAAAATTAAACGTAACTAAGATCAGCAAAATTATGAGTTTTATGACTTTAGTATAATCAATTTGTTCAAACAGTTGATAAAGATAATATTGTTTAAGCTGTTGTTATGGTCCACTAACCACTAACGCCAATTGCTTAATTATGGCAATTCACACTAACGCAAAAATTCATTATGGCAATTCACACTATGACACTAAAGCAAAACTGCTTCATAATGGCAATTATCACTAAAGCAAAATTGCTTTATTATGCCATAAACAAATTTAAAATACTGTTTGTTGAAATATCACTATCACAATAGAAAATAAGTAGATGGATCGTCGTCATTGTAGTGCAAATAAAGAGTGTTTTTAATATTCAACAAACAATGTTAAGAAATATAGATGTTGTGGATAGAATTTGCGCTCTACTAATCTATTTGAAGGTAAATTCTATCCACAACATCTATATTTATTATCAAGTTCTCTACGATCATCAGGGCCAGCCCAAAATTATTTGAGACTCGAAGGCAAAAAAAGAAAAAATATGCGGCCTTAAAAAAAAAGAAGATATATAGCTTTCTTTGTTCGAGGCTTATAGATGGACCTTTTTTAATGTCTGGGTCAAAATGTCTTATGGGCCCTGGTGGCTGGATCTGTGCACCTTTGTGATATTCTTTTAGACTGTATAAATACGTAAACTGTGAAGAAAAGTAAGAGTTATTCATTACTAGCTAGCTAAAGTATCCAAAATCGTTATGCATTTTCGCCAGTATCACTACAGTATGATAGTTAATTGTAGCCAAAAATGATTATTATCAAAAATCGACCCATATCCAAATCGAAGAACAAATCTAAATTTGCACAAAAATGAATGGTCTCAATTTATATAAAACTAGTAAAATAAGAATCAAAGCAAACCGGATCCCATACCTCGAGCTCCAATTGCACCACATGATATTAATACGATGAGACAAGTTACAAACTTTTGCTGACTTTAGTATCCAGAGTATGTTAAACAAATATAAAGATACTAAATTTTCAGACACGGTCAGAGAAACAATGGAGAATTTGGGTTGAATCTAGGAAGGCCAATCTTGGTTCCAAGAGACTGAACATCAGCCTGAACTTGAGCTTCAAACTCTGAGTAAGCGAATGGCTTATAGTTTGATGACTTTATCACATAATCTCTCTTTGGAAACACAAAATAACACACTGAGTGTCTCTCTGTCTTCCAATTCTTCTTCTTCACTCTATGTGTCACACTCTTGTACTCATCATCGCTTATCACCTGTATATACAATTTCATATTACATCAATCAAAATGATAAAAGTAATTGAACCAAACTCATGAATATACTTTATTTACCTGCATCATATCTCCAAGATTAACAATGAGAGTATTAGCAACAGGCTTTACACAGAACCATTCTTCACCTTTCATTATCTCAAGCCCACCACTTTCATCTTCTTTTAATATTGAGATAACCGAACTGTCCGTGTGGACTTCCATTCCTAGAGCTTCTCCGGCTGCTTGGTAGGAGCTCCGTGGATACCGATAAACCCGCATGAGCCCTGTCGATTCCGATAAGTATTCTGATCTCCGGTTACCGGATAATTCTAGGTCTAGTGTTTGTGCTATAGCTTCGAACAAGGACACAGCAATTCTAGTTATGTGCCTTCCATATTCCTCCATCAACACTCTGCTTACTCACAACAAACAACCAAAAAGAAGTTACAAAACCAATGAATTATAAATAAATAAATAATGCATGGTGGATCCACAAAGAATTCTAGACAAGTAAATCCTCAGTCTTAAACATTTACAATTATTGAAATAAATGTTATGTATGATATATATAATTTCAGAAGATGTATGGATTTAAAAACACTGCATAGTCTAAAAAAAATAATTAAATAAAATTCAAGTAAAATGACAAGGTGCATTAATTAGCGTAATGGAGGCGTTACAACAAGAAATGCTTCAAGCAACACTATGTGGAAGTAATCAAGCGGTAGTGGCATAATAGTAAAAGATATGGAACCATGGCGTTCGCTCTTCGGCCGGGTTCGACTTAAACAAATCCGATGAACAGATTATCGACGGCTATACTCACTCACCCAAAAATTTTTTTATGTTCGGATTACTTCTTGTTAAGAAAAAAACAAAAAAAAAAACATCACTATTGCGGAAGATTACGTGCATGCATGTGTGAACAAGTTGATGTAGATATGTACAGCCTGGCATAGAATATATTCTGGGACTTTATAATCTTAGTATTTATTTAAATTCAAAAATGTTAATTGGATTTTATCATATCTAAGTTACTCCATTATTAGAGCTGCTAGGAAGCCGCTATCCTTTTACCATTTCTAGATGCTACTAAATTGCCAATTGACCAAAAAAAGATGCTGCCAAAATCTTTTTAGCCATTTATAGTTTAGTAGAACAAAGTCGAATATAGTGACCACAAACTTTTGTCTAGTGGATGGATTACACAAAACGTCTCATAAAATAAGTACTTAATCTAAACGTATTAACTATTAAACAAAATACATAGTATCTTTTACCAAAAAAAAAAATACATAGTATCCAAACGAAGAAAAGTAAACATCTCGTCAATCAAAACTCTATGCAATGCACGTGTCAATACTATTCGTCGTCAACTCTACAGTTTTTGTTTTTTTCGTCATTTTTAGTCTAAATGGTTTTACCATATTTAGACCAATTTGTCATCACCCCACCCCCCACACGAGATTTAGATCCTATAGGAGGATTGACGACTAGGCGGCCATCTTAACTCGCACACTTACCAGAACTCTGATATTTAAAATATCTTATAACATATCAAATGATATAAATTTTTATCTCCACTGGTTTTCAAAAGACTTCATAAAATATACTATAATCTAATATTCACGTACATATCTCGAAAATTTTAAGATACAAAATTTAATGACCACATTCAGCGAGGTTTATTTATTATCTTTTGTTGTTATGTCGTATAAGCCCATATAGTTTTTGTCTTATAGTATAGTCCATGTGTACACCAGCTAGTTACACCTATATTTTAATTATTGAGTAATTTAACGTTGATTGATTGATTAATTTAATCGCGGAAACCAATAATGACGCTATTAAGCAACTAAGCAAAACAGAAACGACGACGTATGTTACCTGAAAGACTCGAGTTTAGGCTCTTGATCAGCATCATTATCGCAAGAAGTAGAAGTTGGAAGATTCGAGAGAGACGAGAGAGGAACGTTGAAACCTTCGAGCATGGCTACGTTTGAAGCTTGAGCTCCTCTCTTCAGTGCATCTCCCGAACGATTTAGAGCTGGCGTTCCCCAGAAATACGATAACGGAGAGTTAACGGCGGCGAACAATTCCCGTTTGTTCTCGAACGGAAGACTCAGTAATGACTCCGAGATTTCTTGAAGCCGTGACGTTAACGCCAACGGTACTCCGTGATTCTCAAGACGGAATATTCCCCACTCCTTGCATGCCTCTCTCAGTATCTCCTTGTCCAAACGTTCCATATCGATAGCCGGGATATTGATATCCTTGCCCTGGACAAGAACCGATTCAGCCTCCGCCGTTGCTAGAGGATCTCCGTCGTTGATTACACGCCGGAAAGCCGGTGGATATGACTCACTGATGCTCATCTCTCGGGCGATGAAATTCTTAAGCTTTCTCTCCCTCTAGATCTCTTTCTATTTTATTCTTTAAAATTCTATAAAATAATTACTTGATAAAATGGTGCATTTAGTTACAGTTGATAAATTAATTAAACAAGAAAGCATATGAGTTCAAAAAAGATAAAATTTCCACACTATATATCAACGTCTCCTTATAATATAATATTCCTTAATGAATTGATGTCACTTTGTCACGGATTTATGTCTGTAACACAAATAAGGCATAGATTCTGTACAAATGAAGAGACCAAGTTGCATGCGAGATGGGTACGTGTACCATTTAATTTTACTTGTCGGCCCGTCACTCGTAAAGTTCCAATACTTTTCTAAATTAAACAAAACATTTTTTTGGTTTTACATGCAAATTAAAAGAACTTATTCGTAATTACACCCGCACGAGTGCACGACGAAATTATAAATAAGTAGACATAGAGTAAATATATACAGCATTATATAGAAAATATTGTAAATAATCTTGCTACCTTTTAACAAAAAAAAAAATCTTGTCTACTTCTTATATTTTTTTTGAATTCAAGAGCATGGTTGATGGGTATCACCAATTATCACCATTAGTCGGATCCAATATGGGTTTCTAAGGAGCCCAATAGGATCGATAGCATTTTCGAATGAACATAAATATTTTATAGATCTAATTAGAATAGAATGTATAGCATAAAAAGTAAAAAAAAAAAAAAATCAAGACTATATGATTCAAATCATAGTGAATTTGTAATCAAAATTTTATACTTATTATATAAACTTCAACATCCAATACATTGATTCTTTGAAGTAGATGAACTACAGTAAAACCTCTATAAATTAATACTCTCTAAATTAATAACCTCTCTAAATTAATAAATTCTTCCGGTCCCGAGTTGGGACCAGTGTAAAATATGACATAAATCGATAAATTAATAAAATAATAATTTTTTTGAAAATCTCATATAAACATATGGTCCTATCTATATCATAAATTAATAATTGTATAAACTTATCAATATATATATATATATGATATAAATTTATATATGTCATATTTGAATTACTATGATATATATTTAAAATATTCTATGTAAAAAATTTAATAAAATAAGACTCTATTATTCGAAAAAAGTTTGTGTTGTTTTTTTAAAGTTAATAATTGCTTCTCTACTTGTAATTAGTTTTTAAAAGATATTACTTATAAAGAAAAAAATTATTTTTAGATAGAAATTTTTTTAAGAAATTACAAAATTAGTAAAATCTCTCTATAAATTAATAATTATTAATTTATCGATAAATTAATACCTCTCTAAATTAATAAAATTTGCTGGTCCCAACATTATTAATTTATAGAGGTTTTACTGTATATCTATATATTTATAGACAATTCAAGCACTATACAAATGTATAAATAGTAGCAAGTCTTTCTACCAAATGATACAGCTACATGAAAGAAAACAGAGAAGAAAGGAAAGAAATAATGTATCTCGTTGTCAGGCACAATCGTTGCATCGAATATTGCACTTCTCTCTCTCTGAAGGCGATTTTTTCTTCTTCTCAGATCTAGGTTTTCCTGTGTAAAGAGCTTCAACGTTAGCCGCCGGGATTGCAATTCAAAGATGCAGTGGTGGGTCGGACTCCTTCTCCGTCAGTGGTGGTGTGGTGTCTTCTTCTTCGATCTAGCGGTGGCTCCGGTGGGACAGTGGAGAGATCTGTTGCTGTCGCCTTTGGTTGAGGACGCTGGAGGTGCAACGAGGTCTTCCCGTGGCTCAGCTGTTCGTCTGGTTGCTGCAGCTACGGCGGAAGTCGATGAAGAAGTGGTGGGTTTCACTGATTCGTCACGGTGGTTCACGGAAGAGACTGGCGATCTCGGATGGCTACCGCAGGTTCTGGATCTAGGGTGTACAACTGAGCCGTCGTCCTCTAGATCTGCTGTGGTGGTGTCCACCGGACCGGATTGAAGGTTTTCGTGCTCAGAGGGTTTGGAAGATTCCGGTGTTTGTTTGAGGGGATAGATCCCAGTTTGTCAGATCGCTAGGCATGGGATCTGACAACGTGGTGCCTGTTGTTGGCGAGTTGAGTTTCCCGGGAGGTTTGTAGCGGGTCTGGTGGCGAGGAGGAGTGGATTCGACGGCGGGAACCGGATTCTTCCGTCGCCGGCTTCAAACTTTCGCCGTTACTGCAAAGCTGTGGCCCTTGAATCCGCCGGAAATGGTGCTCTGACTTTCTGCCTCCGGTCGACAGCAAGATCCGAGCTTCTGCTCCGATACCGGCGTTTTTTCCGATTTCCTCTCTTTTGTAACTGTGTTTTCGTATTGTAAGCCCAGGCCCAAGCCCATTCAGGGGTTTTTTTTTTAATATATTTTGGTTTTAAAAAAAAAAAAAAAAAAAAAAAAAAAAAAAATAATGTTCTACACAAATATTGGAGGGCATTACGATGTTGGCATAATCGGTAAAGTACCAATTTCATTAGGAATTTCACATATGTTGGCTTAAATGGTCTCATGCACGGCCAGCCTTTGCAACATAGCCTTTTGAGTTGGCAATTGTGAAATAGTACTAGTTTTTCACTTTGAGAAATCTTTTGACTTTTGAGAATCGAATCAACAATGTAAAAGTAAACATGTTTTGTTCTCGTTTAGAACAGTGAGTGAGCTATTAATAATCTTATTTACGGCGAGAAGTTCGAGAAAAACCCATAAAGAAATAATGAAAAAAAGTCAACAGAAAAGGTTGGGAGTGGGAGAAATTGGTAAAATGATCGTAAAATTGGTAATAAGCGTTGACGATTTGCACAAAATGACAGTCACTATCTTGTGCATCCACACTTCCACTTGCTTGGCACTGATGTGACATACGTGGCACCACGCTTTGCACACGTCATCCCCCACTCCCGCCTTCTTCTTTGACACGTGTCGTCATCTACATGGTCTTTCTTCTGACCTGGTTTCATCATCTCCGCTTACTTTCTAAATATTATTCAAGTTACGTATATATATTGATTTAGAGATTTGAGAGACAAGTAAAATCAGTTTGGATAAACACAACTAAACACACATAGTTGTCGTTTCTTTATAAATAAGACGGACACGAATCTGTAACAGAAGCATTTTTAAGATTCTTTAATTATATCAGACAGAGAGATATGAGTTTTGTAGTTCGTCTTCTTGTGTGTCTCTTATTGACGCTTACAATTACATCTCTCGCCCGCAACCCTGTTTCCGTTTCAGGTTCGAATCTCATCTCCTTGTTTCCTTCTTTCGATTCAATCATGTTTGTCTGAATGATTTCGTTTGGTTTTAGGTGGGTTTGAGAATTCTGGATTCGAAAGAAGGAGGTTGTTGATGGTGAACGTTGAGGATTACGGTGACCCGTCTGCAAATCCTAAACACAATCCCGGCGTTCCTCCGTCAACTACCGGCCAACGTCTCGCTGGAAGAGGCTGACCTAATGTTTAGTTAACCAAGAAGGAAAGAACTCGGTCTTGTTTACATCTTCAGTTTGTCTGAGATCAAATCTCAGTTTCTATAACTTTCTCTAGTTTGTTTATATAGATATTTCTCGTTCTCCCCCATACAACTTCAATTTTTTTCTTGATAATGGTTATGACTTGGTACCTTATTTTGCCAATTTGTGTCTATGCAAAATGATTGAATCAAAAGAGCAAACTCTAGTTATACCAAGGTATACTACATCAATAGACTAAATGGGATGTAATTAAAACATAAAAACACTTTTGGCACATGAGTTGGCACATGAGATTGTAACACCATCTTGTGTTAAAATACTTGTGGAACTTCACGGGAAGGTTCCAGCTTTTCTATTTTCTGATACTACTTCAGTAGCTGCTACCTGCGAGTATGCTCGGTCTTGTTACAGTTTTGCTGATGAGATCTCTCAGCTCGATCTCTCCTGGGAATCTACCTTCTTTCAATTTAGAGAACACCTGTAATACAAGCACAAGAGATTTTAGTACAAGTTACTGTGACAGATCTTAACAGATCTGGAAATCATCTTGAACCATTGATAGTGGGTTAAATTACTAACCAGTTCGCCATTGCAGTGAACTTCAAAGGCGCCTGAGCTTTGAAGGTAAGACTGTAGAAAGTTTCCGATAAGCCAAGTAGAAGCCATGGATCCAAATCTGTTGGCCCTCAAGGAGTGGAACCAAGCAGGTGGGTGCGTTATTCCAATCATGGGAAGGATACGATCACCTGCCACTATCATACCAATAACTCCCATCTGAGCAACAGGCACAACCTTAGCTAGAAGGCGTTTTGGTGCTGGTGGCGGGTAATTTGCGAGAATCACATCTAAACCGGGAAAAGCAGTCTCTAACATCTTCTTCATAGTGACTGCAGTTCCCCTGCACATCAAAAATTGGAATGAACAAACCTTTAAAATATACAGAACACCAGTCACACTGTTAAAAGCTAGAGTTACTTATGCCTTTTGCGTAGAAGTTCAAAAGGTATCAGCTTTTAAGTAGCATACAAGTATACAACATCAACAGAAAATGTATGTTACGAAATGTTACAGCTAAGAATAAATCTCAAAAGAGTATTCAAAGAAGTCGTGTCATTTAGCATTCATATATAAGAAACAAAATCAGGGTTTTCAGGTTTTATAGCATCTAAGAATCAGCCCCAACCAAAGTTGATCGACCACACATCTCTAATCTAAAAATCACATATATTTCACCTTGCAACTATAATGAATCCTACAAAAAAGGAAACCTCAAGAACTTCAAATGATGTAGCTTTTATCAATAGTCAATTGGAACTCAAAAATTATATACATGCATACACATTGCAACAGGAATAAGTCTTGAGACATAATCAGTGTCAACAACAGTGATAGAGATGTCATTACTGTTTGGAACAGGTTTGCTGATAAGCAAAACCTCTTAATAGTTTCATGAAATCAAATCTCAAACTGCCTAATAGCAATGACTTACTTTTTGAAGAAACTGAAACTTATCAAAATGTTAATTAGGATGTTCATGTATCTGACTACGACTAAGCAATGACCTCAAGCATGAATCAGATCATTCTTATGCAGTGTCCAAATAATCCAAGTTTTCTTTCTCACCACGAGAACCTCACTTAGTAGCTGCTTAAGGTTCTCTGACTACACTAGAATACTATAAATCCGATTCTAAGTAAAAAAAGAAACCAATAAAAGCAAATCGAATTACTTGTAAGAACAGGAGACGCAGAAATTGATCTCTACTGTATTTCCATATCCAATTGCTCCTAAGCCACTCGTCTTCTGCAAAACAATGGGAGCTGAGAGATCAAAACCAGAACCAATAGAAGTGAAATACACGAAAATATAAAAGAAATTTAACCTGTGAAGGAAAATCTAGGGTTTCAGGGATGATCGCAGCAGGACGATGCTGGTGAGGGATATGCGGTGGCTGATGAGGACGGTGAGGCTGAGGTTTTGGAGGCGGAGGAGTGAAAAGGTTGAAGAGATCCGAACAAAATAAGAATATAGGTAGACCTAACAAGATCAATTGTGCTCTGTCCATGGCGGATATTTTGATCTCCGATCACAGTCAAGCGAGAGAGATAGAGAGCGACGAGGGAAGTTTGTGTAAAGCGAATCGGAGAAGAAGGAAGGAGAGTATAATAAGACTTGTTTGGATGCTGGAATATCACTAACCTGTTTATTGTTGACTTCTTATATTTTGAAATATTTGCTTAAATACCCCCGTGTTTATATTTTACTACATTTACACCCCCGCTTAAATTAATAGATGTGACATAAAGCCCACCGAAAAGTGTCCAAACGGCCCAATTCAATAATTTTGATCCGCACTATTTTCTAAAACTCGAATCAGGTAAATAATCAAAAAGAAAAAAAAAAAGTGACAGAGGTTTGTTATACAAAAGAGGCACCGGACGACATGAAGTTCTCCGGGAATTGACTTGTCAAAGCGCGTGCAGTGCACAGCGTCTCTCCACTGTTGTCTGTTGCTCTCTCAATCACAAAAAAAGTACAACAAAAAAAGCTGATTACATTTTGTTTTTGACTGAGAATGTTAGTTCAAATTCTAGATCCCGCTCTGAGTTTGTTCACACTTTTTGTTTTGCTCTCTATCACTCAACCGAAAAAAAAAGCTAAAGACAAAAGTTATTTTCCTTCTGCGTTACTTCTCCGTTAGTTTCGAGACACTGACACTATAGACCATGAAGATGAAGTCATCGTCTTCTTCGGCTAGTTCACTCTCTCTCGGCTCAAAGACTCAGTCGTTCGGCTGTATTTCTCTCATTCTTCAAAGATTTCTCTGTTCCGGCACCTCTTCGACCTACCCATCTGATCAAATCACTGAACCCAGTTTCAAGTCTCGTGATTTCAGCTCCGAACCACTCACAGCCAGAGGAGATGAGCCAGGAGCTGTGGCGAGGCTCATGGGTTTGGACTCTATTCCCGTAATTGATAAAAGCAGAGTCCTTTCAAGGAGCCATTCAGTGAAACATTTGAAGAGGGACAACGATGAGATTCAGGGAAAGCATAGAAGAGTTAAGTCCACTCTGGAGTATGTTGAGCTTGAAGAAGATAATTTCTTCATTCTCAGCTTCGAGCAGAATAAAAATGATAAGGGTAAGGAGCTGGGAACTGGAAAATGTAAGAAGAGAAGAGATACTAGAAAGAACCAGAGTGAAACAGAGAATCAAACACACCTAGATGGTAAAGAGAACAACATTAATGCCATGAACGTTTCACGAGGACGTGAGAGGCTCGAGATTGGAGAATTGAAGCAGCATAAAAAGGAGAAACGTAAGCACAGAAGAAAAAGAAGGGAAGTTAAGTTGAGACAGAACATCAAGAAGGAGGATTTGATCAAGAGCAATGATTGTTGGTCCAGGGGAGAAGATTTAGTCAATTGTGAAGTGAGATCAAAGAACGAAGAAGAAGAGTGTGGAAGCTGCGATGATTCGAGCCCTGTCTCAGTTCTTGATTATGACCGGTTCGCTGGTGTTCGAGTAACTCCATCACAAGGTTGGTAATTCTTCAAATTCAAAATTGCATTTTCCTTTCTTGTGTTATTGTTAAAGCATACTTGTTTCCTTGTAACAGGAAACACCTCAAGAAGACGGTTATCTTCAGAACTCGAATCCAGTAAGCGTGATGAAACGATTCAAGAAGATCACATAACATTGACGAGTAGATCAAGCGAGTCGGAAATCCGAATTCATGGCTACCAAGAGATGTGGCTCATGATTTGCAAACTCACTGTATCTGACATTGAAGGTTCAAATTGGGGTTACGGAAAAGCTTCAAAGCTCGAAGATTTAGAAGGAATCATAAGCGAAGATATAGTCTCAAACATCTTAGATCAACTCTTAGAAGAAACAATTACAACACTTTCACTAACTTCACAAGTGTAAAATTAAACATTTCTGTCTTCCAAATATATTATTACTAAACATATATATTCAGAGTGATCATTACCAAGAAAAAATAAATGGATTACTCATTGTGAATAGTAAAGAATCAAGGAAGTGAGGTAGTTTAAGGTTTCTTTGGTTCTGAAACCCTGTTACCTCTGTTTTTCTATGGAGACAGAGAGAGAGACAAACAAACTCTGTTTTGCCCCCAAGAATTTTTCTTTTTATTCTAAAGTAAAATAACAAAACATTAAACAAATAAAATGTAATAGATTAGCAACGACCTCTCGGAATCTTTCTCACTTAGCTTCTTGTGGAACGGTTAATGAAAGTTCAAAACTTTTGATTCAAGCCACGGTCTGTTCTGTCTCCATGTATGATTGCTCCATCCAAACCGGAGCTAGTCTTGTCTCCTGTGGCTCTTTCACCAGCGGCTCCACCCAAGAGACATCTGGCTCTTCGAGCCCCGTCCCTTCGTTGGTCAGTCTTGATTCCATGCCACCGGCTCTCAGACGGAAAGAAGTGGATTTTCTGAGCTTCTGTAGCTCGTCTCCTTGGACGCTCCAGTCAAGTTTTCCGTCCAATGAGCCCCAATCGTTTAGACAAGTTGTAGTCATGGAGGAGATTGCGAGATGGTGATTCAATCCATTGCTGCGTTCTATGAAGCTTTGGCTTCGCTGTTTAGCAAATTCAGCCGCTCTTGAAGCCAAGACTGTGGAGGTATCCATTGAAAACAGAGAATTGGCTCCCACGGGTGATGAAGAAAGACTGTTGGAATGCAGCTGCGGGTTAATGACGCTGCGTCGGATCTGCAAACCCGATGTATTATCCTCTGTCCCAAACATATCACTGAGACTATTCACCGGGCTCATTGCTCCTCCCGCAAGCCTGTTCATGCCTTTTCCGGAGAATGGAGATGACGCAGCTGACATGGGCGTGTTGTTCCATGTAGTTGGAGAAGTAAGACTTTGCATCTCTTCAGAGAAATCGATTTCTCTTGCATTCAATGCAGATTTCAATCTGCTCCCTGGAAGCTGCAATGCAGGAGGGGTTATGTTAGGCCAATTCATCCACGTTTTTCCGCCACCCATTGGAGAGGATACGCCGTTAGGACTCAAAGGAGGTGTGGTTGATGCTCCGATAGGAAGTGGGCTAATAGGTCCCATGTCGAAAGCAGAGGAGGAATTGCAAGATGAGAAGGAAGACCGTGGGGAAGGAACACCTGATCCTGTTGAAGGGTACAACGGCCGCAGTTCTTCAGGTTTGTGGGCAAAGAAACAAACTCTTCTCGAGCAATTCGTCTCGTCCTTGCAGAGACGGGTACGGTACTGAGCTGGGTGAAGCCAGCACTCAAAGATACCATGAGCATACTCGCAAGTATCACCTCTAGAACAAGACCCTTTCCGGAATTCAGGACATGGGACACAGCTGTAATGGTACTTCCTCGGATCACGCCTCCTTGCGTTCTCACCCGGATGAACAAACGGGCATTCTGTCCAGTCATGCGAATATGCTCTAGAGCACGGCTTGATCTTGAAAGCATACATCCGGAACTCATCTGTCCCATAGACACCGTTCTTGATATCTGGAAGCGTGGGATCAACTGGATACTCCTTCCTCTCAGACCCCCGAGGAGGCGAAACTGAAACCTCAACCTCAACCTCAACCTCTCGCTCTCCATCTTCTTGCCCATTAACTTCATTAAAATCATCATTTCCTTTCAACAAACGCTCCAAAACCTTCATCCTCGCGCTAAAAACCGGACTCAAACACGGGAAAATCATGTCTCCAGGCTTATTACCATAAGCATCACAAGAATCCGGATCCGCAGCGCCCTTCAGCAGAAGAGTAACGATCTCAAGGCTATTCGCAGACAAGCCAGAGACCGCACAGTGAAGCGCCGTAGCACCATCAGAGCCACAAGACCGGTTCACATCAACAAGACCAGTACTAATGATGTAATCAACGACCTCTTTGCTTCCAAACAAGGCAGCGATCATAAGAGGCGTCCTCTCCTCAAAACCCATCTTCTTTGATCCTAATCTCCTCCCATACCACAAAGCAGAGCCATCAATGCTCTCAAGACCTTCTTCTTCAACTAGAGACTTAAAACCAGACAAATCATTGCAGGCTGATGATTCTAGCAGAAGAGAGAATTTGAGGTGAGACAGCTCATCAACTCCCATGGCAAAAAGCAACAATCTTTTCCCGCTCGATTGATTTCACTGCAAAAAAATTGAAGAAATAAATTTTGAAAAGGATGAATCTTTTTTTCTTCTGATTAAAAAGGTATAATTATACATAAACATATTCATAGAAAACAGATTTTAAAACTGCAGAAACGATTAAGCTAAGGAGAGAAGGAAGAGTTTGTTAGTTTGGGATACAAAGTTTCCAACTTTAAACAAACCAAACCAAAAATAAACACCAACAGAGATCCATAATTAACCATTTTGCAACATCAAAAACTAATCATATACCCTTTTTTGTTAACTCATTTGCCAATCAGCAAAATCAATTAAAAACTGCAACTCTAAAACAAATCGACATATACGGATTCAAGTGAAACAAAAATATCTAGTGACTAATCAATCCATAAATGGAGCACTCAAATCTCCAAGTTCATCAAATTTTTCTCAGATTAATCAAAGAAACAAAGAGTGGAGATTTTCTACCTCTGAGAAATCTGATCACAGAGAAAAAGCTCTCTTTTCTCGACCACCACCACCAAAAACCGCTCTTCACTTCCTTTAAACTACTACTCAATTTATTGAAAAAACAATTCCGACTTTTTTTCCTCCAAATATGTTTTTTTTTTCCTTCTTCCTCTCCTTGTCACTTTCTTCTTAAGGTCAAAATATTAGAAAAATTAAAAAAAAATGAAGAAGCTTACACTAAATAATTAAACAAAACCACCATCTCCATCATTCTTCTTCTCCTTCTCTCTCGTCTTTTTTCCTTTTTCCTTTTTTATTTCTATTTTATTTATTTCACCTTCTCAATAAAAATTTCACACTCAATTTTAATTTGTAAAGTCTGAAGGAAATGAAGGTGTACGTGAGACCTGACACAGATGATCATACCTCATCGGTTTTGTCACGCTTCACGCGTTTTTTCCGGTTTTTGGTGGGATGACGTGGAAACCATGCATCGTCAGCATGTTTTTAAAATGAGCTACTTACTTTTTCTTCTCCATTCACGAGCTAAAGATAAAACCACTGCCTGTTACATAAACCACAGCTTTGTCACCGCCCCATAATAATCCAACATACACCAAAACACAGAATCGGAACCGTCTCAAGTGGGTTTTGCTAGATAGCAACTCTTTGTCGTAGCCTTTGATTTGAGTTATTCATCAAAATTAATTATCATAAAGTTTTTAGATAATTGAGATGATTATTATAAAGTCGAGAAATTGACCTTTATGTTCAGTTTTTTCGGTCGACAATTCCAACAAAAAGACGATTAGGTAATACAAATATCTTACGAGACTTAAATAATGTGTATTTAAATTCGGGTAATGGCAAGAATTCGAACAAACCTGACCAAACTTTGTATTTTCTGTCGCTATTCTTGTATTAATATATTAATAATTATTTATTTGTCTGATTAGAGATAGTGGTACGTGATCCAGGACAATGTTGTACTATATACTATGTATTAAAAATAATACTAGAATATTGCAATTATATAAAATATTTGTTTTTGAAACGACAACTGTTTGTATTGCAACCACACCCAAATGCAAATGCATGCAACCGAACCCATCAATGCTTTTTGCAGCGGCATTAACGAAGCTGCTCCACTGGCTCTCTCACATCAGAACACAAACCATTTAACTACTACTATTACTTTCTCTTCTTCTACAATTCTATTCTGTTTCTTATAATTCATCATGAAATTGTATTGTTTCACTTGATGCGATGGATAACATAAACACTGTTGGTTCCCACTGTATAGTCAATATTTAATTTTTGTTATAAGTCACTCAAAGACAATGGTCTGAAAAATGCTTAAAACCGACGGTCGGGATCTTGTATTGTAGGATGAGATATATCATATATTATTAGTTTTAATTTTGATGTAAGCAAAAAAAAAAAAGTAAAAAAAAAGTCTAAGTGTACCAATAGAAAAGGACCACAAGAATCCATAATCTGACTAGAATGAATGGAATAAGAAGCATGGGGGACCTACTGAAACGACTAACCATTCTATTTTATTAGCCGACGTCGCTGACGACAAAACGCAAATGGCACGAATCTATTGGACAGACCATCTTGACTTTTATGGTCCCTTAATGCAGTGAATTATCCTCTCCTCTCCGACTAGGCGCCAAGCATTCTGGGCCAGAAGAGTCAGATAACGACACCTATGCGTCTATACGAGGATAATGATCTGTTTTCAAAGCCCATAATTGAAGACCTGGGTTTGGCCCATTAGTTCGGCTTCTTGATTTTAAAAGAAGGATGCCGATTTCTTCTCCCTAGACATAAATTTAAAAAAAACTGGTATAGTAAGCTAGTATCTTTTTTTTTTTGTTTTTTTTTTTTGGGTAATCATCACAAATAATATCTTATGATTCACAACGAACGAATCTAAAAGTGTATGTAGCTCTTGAAAACATGTTAGACGATACCGCAAATGATTCCATAATTGAGAATTCTACAGGCATTAGAGTTATAGATGATAGACGGTTCTACATGTACCACAATCTTCACTTCTACTTGCACTAGATCATGACAAATATTTTACACGAGACACATTTGAAATCTGTAGATAAGCTAAGTTTGCCTCCATTAATATTCATAGTTGCATATTCTGAAAACCTAATTCTTATACTTCCAAAATTGATTTTTAAACAACCAATATACAGTATCAGTTTATACAACAATAACAACTTTCCATTTGTGGAACTCTTCTGATTAATTGTTGAATACATAAAAAGTGTAACCTCTAAAATCAGTTTTATTGTATTAAAAATGTATTATTTGTACGTAATTTCACTGTTGATACAAAAACTAAACTAACTAAATCAGTAGTTATTTCTATTTGTAATTAGCTAAACCTGAACTGAGTTTAAAACCAAAACTGCATGAAACAAAAAAATAGCCATTATAGTATTATACCACACATATATATATATATATATATATATAATTGCTACTTATTTGAATATTTGTTATTTAACGCGGTATAATTATACGAAACAATAAATGAATAGTTAATAACGTTTTAAATACTTTTTATACTGTGCAAAGACGTAATTTCAAATTTGATTTTTTATTCAAAATTATAATACACATATATCAACAACTAGTTTTTACAATATAAAGCTGTTAACGAAAAAAAGCGCGGTTAGCTTTCGAATAACGTGAGTGAAAGTTCACCCATCTTCTCTATTTTTTTGAGCCTAGAGGCAGAAGTTAGAAAAATCATCGCGTAAATCAGAAGAAAGAATGTAGTATTCATCACTCATCGGCTATATCTCTAGTTGAACAAAAAAAAAACCAAGGAAAGAATAAGAATCAAAGCAGAAAAGATGAGGAAATCTAAAATTCATGGTGTGGGAAGATACAATCAGAATATGATCTGGAAAGAATCTGAGGAGCCGGTGGAGAAGAGTGAAAAACAGAGTCAAGAGAGTGATGAACAAACTTTAATAGACAAAGGACCACAAAAAAAAGAGAAATAAGAGGGTGAAATGGTAAATTGTGATTTTTAATTAGGAAAATAATGCATGACTAATGTAAATTTACCAAAATTAAAATTCCCATTCTTTTCGCGTGTATCAGAAAAAGAAAAAAACAACAAAAAGATAATCAATGTCCTTATTAAATAAATCCCATGTTTAATTGGGGGATTTGACTAAATAAAGCTGGCAGTGTACAGCGTTGCTTGGGGAGAAAGCTGCTACTCACACAAGTACCTCCCAAAATCTCGTCTTTTACCCTCAAAATCTTCTCTTCAATCGTCTCTGAGCTCTATCGGAAGACTGCGTTTTTGTTTTTTTTTCTTCAAAATTTCTCACTCGAAGCTTTCAATGCCAGCGCCGGAGGAAGAAGAGCCGATATTCGGCTGGAACAGCACCGGTGGACGAAATCTCCGCCGGAAAAAGCTTCTCGTCGGTGATAGAATAGAGGTAGGTAGAGCCACTGCTTGTTGTTTCCTCCCCTGACTATTTCGTTTCCACTATGGCTTTTTTCGATTGTAGGGTTTATAGGGTTTTTCAGTTTCTCAATTTCGGGGATTTTGCACTCTTTTTTTTGGAGATTTTTGATGAATTTCGGATTTTTTTCAAGGTTTGGGTTTGATCTTGGAGCCTAATTGGTGGATTCGACTTTTGTGAAAGCTGCATTGTCTGTTTCTCCATTATAATCCTTTTGGTTCTGTGTAGCTTTTTGAGGAGCTTAACTTTAGGATTTATTTAGTTTCCATTCTTAGTGCAAACTTATATCTTCCTTTTGGGGAGTTTTATCTTATCTGTTTTGGTGAAGTTAATGTTGCTTATGCTTCTAATCCTGGAAATTAATTGTTTTGCTTGTTTAGGTAAGGAGTCTTGAGGAAGGGTTTCTGGGTTCTTGGTATTTAGGAACTGTTACTTCAGCGAGAAAGCGACGTCGGCGTTCTATCAGATATGATAACATTCTCTCTGATGATGGTACTGATTCTCTTGTGGAAACTGTTGATGTTTCGGATGTAGTAGAAGGGTTGGATGATTGCACTGATGTTTCTGATACTTTCCGTGGACGTTTAAGACCTGTGCCGCCAACGCTGGAAGTTGCTAAACTGAACCTTGCGTATGGGCTCTGCGTCGATGTGTTTTTCAGTGAAGCTTGGTGGGAAGGTGTGCTCTTTGACCACGAAAATGGTTCTGAGAAAAGGAGGGTGTTTTTCCCTGATTTGGGTGATGAATTGGATGCTGATCTTCAATCTTTACGTATTACTCAGGATTGGAATGAGGCTACAGAGACGTGGGAGTGTCGTGGGAGATGGTTGTTTCTTGATTTAATTGAGAAATATAAGGAAGATAACTATCTCCCGGTTTCGGTAAAGCAACTTTGGTATGACATACGGGACAGGATTGGTTTTGTAAGAATCCAAGAATGGACTTGCTCTACTAGGCATTTATGGGAAGATTTGATGCTAGAGGTGATTGAAGATAATCTTAGAATCACCATTGACCAGTTTCTTCATGATTATGACGCTGAAAGATACCCTCAGTTGAAGCTCTTAAATGAAGCTTCTCAGGCGGTTTATGAGACCAATGCTTGTCTCAGCAGTGTGCTAACGATTGCTCCACAAGAACAACAATTTTCATGCATTGACAAAGATTGCAAACCGGCAAGCCAGAAATGCCAGTCCTTGTCTCTCTTGACTTCTGCTTCTGGCATAAGGTCAGATGCGAGTTACATCAATAAGGCAACAGAAATTTCCAGCAAGAAATCTACTGCCGCTCATAAAAAGATGATACTACACAAGAAACCTGGAATCTGGTATCATTTCGATTGTCTTGCTAAATCAGGCCCACAGGCTGTGTCGAGTTTTATCAGGTCATCGTTACCGCCAATGGCCATGCGTGTCAGGATGCATCTTAAGTATATGGGATGGACCATAGAACATATGGTAGATGAAGCTGGAAGGCAAAGGTTTCGCTACCTCTCACCAGATGGAAGACTAACAGAGCATTCTCTTCGTCAAGTATGTTTCAGATTGAAACAGCGTGATGAATCCCTGACTACTCCGGGTATGG